CTCAGTGCTGCTGGAGTTTTTAAACACCTCAGTGTCACTGCTGGACTGAGAATCGTCCGCCAACCAAAAATATCCAGCCAACAGCGTCCTGTGGGCAGCGTCCTGTGACCACTGATGAAGGACTGGAGGATGACCAACACAAACTGTGCAGCAGCAGATGAGCTATCGTCTCTGACTTCACATCTACAAGGTGGACTGACTGTCTAATGGAGTGGACAGTGAGTGGACGCAGTGTTTAAAAACTCCAGCAGCACTGCTGTGTCTGATCCACTCGTACCAGCACAACACACACTAACACACCACCACCACATCAGTGTTACTGAGAATGATCCACCACCCAAATAGTACCTGCTCTGTGAGGGTCCATGGGGGTCCTGACCACTGAAGAACAGAGTAAAAGGGGGCTAACAAAGTATGCAGAGAAACAGATGGACTACAGTCTGTAACTGTAGAACTACAAAGTGCACCTATATAGTAAGTGGAGCTGATAAAATGGACAATGAGCGTAGAAACAAGGAGGTGGTCATAATGTTATGCCTGATCGGTGTATATATATATCGCTGCTGTCGGAACAAAACTTCATATTTCCAATAGAACCAGAATTTTTTCCAAGTAATTTGGGGCTGTTTCTTTTGGTCTGTTCATCATGAAATTTCAACACAATGTAAAGGGCAACAGACATTTTCAGATTTTGTCAAAAGCTGAAAAACGACAAAAATGAAGATACGAGGTTTTGTTCCAACAATAGCGATACATTGCCTAGTACCGTGCAAAAGTCAGTGACCATCCTTCATTTATTTAATTCCCAGTTAAAGCCTTCAAATACATAAATCTAACAGAAAATGATTACAGCTTCCGTTCTTTTCAGGAGACCTGAACTGAAAACTGAAGAACTAAAAAGAAGGGATATTGCAGAGACGTTTTTCCACACCTCCAAAGTTCAAACTTTTTTTTAGCATTTTTCCCCAATTTTCACCTCAATTTAAGGTAGGGTTAAGACTGTCACAAGAGTTACATGAAGTGGTATTGCATCTTTTCAAACTGCTGCTAATGCAAGGCCATAAGCGTTCTTGGAGGAGGATGCTGACTGCCAATTCTGTTACACTAGCCTATAGGCGCTCATGTTGGCTAGCTTTGCGCTGGGTGATGGAGGGAGAAGAAGGGCCGTTCTACCCTGGGCCACAAATGACGGTGGCAACACCGATGGGGCCAACATTTAGACTGTTGCGCCTCTCAGGAACCCCAAAGTTCAGTCTTAGAGTTTTTTTCTTCTAATGATCACAGTAATCTCGAATTCAGTGGTGTTGAGGTCTGGACTCTGGGGTGGACAGTCCATTGTTCTGAGAACACCAGCAGCTTCTTTGCTTGATTTGCAAATTTTCTTTTTTTTGTCTGTTTCATTTTTTCAGTCCCATTTTTTTCTGTATCTTTTTTTCCACTTTGTTTTCCTTTGACTTTCTCCTTCCATATGCAAGTGGATTTTCTCGTCTCTAATCTCCTCAGAAACATCTGAAAAATGAATGACTTAACGGCCTTATCATTTAATACTCTTTGTTTTTCCAGACCAAAGTATTCATTATTTGTAATTCATGCAGATAACATCACTGGAGTGTGTGGGGTCTCCGGTCACAAGGTTCAGAAAGGGCCCTGTGAGCAGCCCTGCACACACACAGAGAGCAGGAGAAGGTGAGGAAGCACAGCTGTCACTCTCACTAATTGCGAAATCTGAAGCACTTGTTACACTAAACCACTTCAACCTCATTGTAACCACACAACATCACTCAGGTGTTCCAGCTGCTGCTCCAGAACACGGCGGTGAAGAAGGTGATGACGAGTCCACCTGAAGGTGCAGCAGATTCTGTCGTAATGAGTGATTCAACCCACGGTGTGTGGATATTACTGAATCACACCCTGAAACTACACCCTCAGTAGGAGACCGACACGCCCAGGCCAAATGTTTTTATTTCCAAAACAGACCAAGACTTGTTCAAGCGTGTACTTTTGCAATAGCCAGATGATTATGTTTATTGTTCTTCAGAGTAATACGCAATTGCCAAGAGTCATGAGGGTAACGAAGTGAAGTATACTCAAATAAACATTCCATCTAAACAATATTTCCTGTTTATGGGAAAAACAAGAATTTTGTCCCCATAAATGATTAGATATAATGAATCATGCCAACAAAGAAAAAAAGCACTTTATAATGAATACCAGGCCCCATAAAAAGCAAACTAAGCATTATGTAGTAGATTATTAATGATAGTTAATAACTGTTACTTATATATCATATAATAACTGCTGCTAGTTTTATCTCACGAGCTCACATTAGAGTTTGACTGAGATGTCTGAATGGCTGGCTCAGCTAGAAAATCCAGGTAATACATGTGAATGCAGTTTAAAATGCTGTTCTGCTACCCTGCAGAATACATAAAGAAATAAAAATGAAGCCCAAGTTACAGGACATGAAACACAAACACAAAACTAGGAGTGGAGTCACCCCCCATGCCCCCTCTTGGCACCAGGCCTGTGTGTGGGAAGCACAGGTGATGGCAGCTCTAGACATGAGGGCAGCAGTATGATGTGGGCTTTAATGGAAATTAAAATAAGCATGATGCACAGAATCATAGAGAAGATCAAATAGTGGTGAGAAATCCTGCTTTTATGGAAGCGTTTTATCACAGTGGTGGTTCAAACGCAGTCAGACTGACTCATTCAAAAGCAAAGCCAAGACTGGCTCAGTCGACTGAATATAATAGCTCATTTACTCAGAGGAAGTATTCTGAATGAGATCTCCCCTTAATCTCATGTACTTCTCCTAAACATGGTTAAGTCCTGTATGAAATCAGAGTGAGATGTAAGCCATTTTCTCCTGTTTCTGAAATGTGGCTCCTGAGAAATAACCCTCCGATTTTCTCGCTTCAATCAAAATCTTGTCAAAGTATGTGATTTATCTCTTTAGTGTCTCACTCGTCTCACCCCAGTCTCAGCTGAATAATAGTTCCATAAGAATAGTTTAAGATCTCATTGTTTTCTTACACATCACAGAACTCTTTCAGCCGTCTATCAGTGCAGAAGGAGAACTCACGCTTTTCTCATTCATCACCAGAACGTCTTACAATCAAATGTTGTTGTTAATCTCCTCTTTTCTCCTAAAGGGGGTTTCAAAAAGCAATGACCCTTTATAATACCATACTGAGATCTGCTTTATTTCTTTGAGATAATCTTAAGAAAGACATTTTTTCTATTTGATATACAAAAAATCTGCAGTTTTGACCACAAATGTAGCTTGGCACTGGAGCTATGAAGCTAACAAGCTAACAAGTACTGGGAGCCTATAGCTACGAAATACCATCAAACTGCAGGCCTAAATATTCACACACTTGCCTCAAATGACATCATGTTCAAGTAGAATCTCAGACAGACTTGCTTTAGTGGTTTCTGACACTCTGACTTTCTGTTATCTATAAAAATGGACAGCAGTACATGAGCTAGCACAGCTAAAAACAATAGCAGCAGCCATCTTGAAGCCTATTTTTTGTCTGCACTCTTGTTCATCTTAACAGGGATGAACAATGATATTGGAATTGCTTACAAAAAATCACTTCCATTGGACAGATGTGTAGATTTGATGACTGATATGTGATGATGTGTTTATTGTACTCCAGACAAGCAGAATGTTTAGGCCTTTTTATTCATTTCACTCATTGGTGCACAGAGGGCAGTGGTCCACTGTTGGCCCACTGATGGCAAAGCTGCCAGTCCACTGGCGTTTTGCTCAGCGTTTTCCTGGCGGCCCACCGGTGTTTACACAGAGTATTAGACAAAAATTCCACTTATCATCACTCATTTTCCACTCACAGTCCAATTTACTTACTTTTCCTTCCTTCCTTTCTTTAGTTATACTTTCTAAATTAGTTTAGTAAATAATTTTAGTCCAGCACAATGTCAGCAATAAGATTTTCAACTAGATCATTTTATGTCAGGCCTAGTCATTATTTTCTTTTCTCTCAGTTGTTGGTTATATTTGTTTTAGCCATTTCTTTAAAAAAAAATAATCAATATAAACTATTATGCATTTAAAATCTGTTTGAAAAGATAAAAAATAGTTAGAGCTTCTATGCAGGACAATAATCCGGGTGGTCCGAGATTGGACCAATAGTGGGGTGCTGACCTCATCAAGCCAGTGGACCGATATACTCACTATCTGGTAAGATGTTTTGATGTGAGATAAATTTGAACACATCAGTCTCTTTAGCTGATGCTTCTGTGTTATGACAAATGTTTTGATGTGCATGAAAAGCATTAAAAGTCGTAGCCTGCCCTGCCTGAATGAATTACTTTGCAACACATTTGCTGTACTTCATTGACATAAGACCATAACATTTACAGTTACTTCCTTTCCCTCTTGTCACATTTATCATCAAAATGTTTTTCTATCACAACATGCAGATCTGACAAAGAATGTGTTGCATTTCAATGTATTTCAGTAACAATCGAACAAAACCTGCCACTGAAAGAGGCAAGAAAGTAATTTACCATATACGCATCAGGAAATATGACATTCTTGTTAATAATGTTGTGTTTATTCTATTCTTAAATTGTTTTATAACCTATTAGATCAGAATAGGGTGCCTGTAACTGCAGATTACTTTTTAACCTAGTTTTACTTGAATTCGCTATAAGCTTTAGCCTGTAGATGTTGGCTTGACAGGTCAAACGTGCACATCTGATGTTACTGCATTTATATTACCAGCATCAGTATGTACAGGAAAAAGGTTGGATATTAGCATCAAACCACATTTATTATATCGGTGCATCCCTAACTGTTTAAAGAAGTGAACTTCGTTCTCCACACATGGGGCTTGGAGACACCAACTCATTTGGGGAAGGTGGAAAAGATGTAAACTTTCTCCTTTCATCAAACTATCATGTTGAACTATAAACTCTGCAGTTTAAATGAAAAGCTACTTAAGACTCACAAAAATAAACACAGAAGGCAATGCATTTAAATCCTCTTTATATCAGCATGCAGTTAGATTTCTGACACTTAAACACTAAAACAAACATATTTACACACTTTAAGACACACATACACTATACAGCCAAAAGTGTGTGGACACCTGTTCATCCAATGTTTCTTCCGAAATCAAGAGAATTAATAGAGAGTTTGCCCCTCTTTGCTGCAGTAACAGCCTGCACTGTTCTGGGGAGGCTTTACACTAGATGCTGGAACATTGCTGTGAGGACTGGATTGCATTAAGCCACAAAAGCAGATGAGGTCAGACACTGATGTTGGGTGATCAGTTCTGGATCTCAAAGACCACTCCAACTCAAACCACTTCTACTGCTTCACAGGCCAGCGCTGGGGGGCTTTATACCCTTCTAGCCCACACCCAGCAATGGGTTTGGTGACTTTTGGCTCATGTGAGGCTGCTCCAGAGTGTCCCATTCTATCCTCAGTGCTTTTTCTATGGAGATTATGCAAGATGTGTGTGCACAATTGAACCCCTGTGTCAGCAGTAGTGACCTTAATGCAGCCGAAACCAAAAATAAGAAGAATGGGTGTCCACAAACTCTTAGACATGTAGTGTACATACATGCATACATACATACAGAAGGATGTTCTGAAGTCTCTTTCAGTCCAGTGCGGGTGTACAGTACTAAAACCAGTGTTATTACTGATGAGTCTACACTTTAGGAAGAAACAGTGAACAAACATCCTCTTTTTCTCTCTCTCTTTCTCTCTCTTACACACACACGCACACACACAAACCCAGACACACACACACACACACTGCTGATGTCCTTATTTCTATCAAAGCAGGAGGTCAGTAACTGATGGCAGCAGCTGGATTAGTTCTGCCTGGATATTGGCAGTTTTGGTGACCGGGTTGCCACGGAGATCGAGTCTGGTGAGCTTGGGACAGGACGCCAGGGGCTCCAGATCAGAGAGCTTTGAGATTTCTGAATACAGCGTTAAGAAAGAACCTTTTTACATCAAGAAACCATTTTCACTGGAACATCATCCAACCAAAACAGAGATTCATCAGAGGTCTCACTTTGTTCTGCCTGTACTAATCTTAAAAAGATCCAGGGCAACAAATACGCTCCTTGGCTGTAAGTGTCTTGTGTAACACAGTGCTGATGAGGTGGTTTATTATCTGAAGCTGTCAGGGTAAGAGTAATGAGCTAGAAGATTCATGACAATGGCCTGATCCCAGATTAGAATCCATTCTTTAAAGAGTTTTTTATGGACTTTTATCCAGTGTTCTCACCCAAATTTAGTCGTGTCCAATTCCAGCTGCTAGTTAGGTCCCCCTGATCACACACAGAAACCAAGCTAGGAGGGTGAAGGCTAGCATGTGCTCCCTTGAAGGGGCAACCACATCTTTTCAAACCATGGCTAATAAGTAGTAACTGTTTGAGATTACCTGACAACACAATTTGAGATGAGTGTGTGATGATTGAGAAATGCAGTTTGCACAATGCTAATTGGTGGATATAAACTTCCATTTCTTCTTAGCTACAGACACCAAACATCTTGGCTGATCGACTGCATTTGGGCTGGGGGGGGGACCGTGAAAATTAGATTTTTTATAAACTAGCCTCATTGAAAAATGAAGTGCTATGAGCCCCTTTCATAACTGCATACACTGTATGTGCCGACAGTTCAACCAAAACCAAGAGCTGGTGTGGTCCAAGCTGGTGTGGTCCAAGCTTTCATTCCAATGAACAATTAACAAATCTGACTCAACTAATCTTAGTCTTAATGTTGGTATTATATGACCAGCCAGGCCACGTGTTCCACAGGACTTGCAATCCAAGATCAGTCAGGTCAGGTCTGGACAAAACACTGTCACAGTGTCACAGCAACACAATAAAAAGGGAGTGAAAGGCACCCCACGCTGTTTAAGGAGCAGCAGGCATTAACCAGGATGAAGTCACTACATAAAGGATACGATTATTTTTCAAAGACACTTCTTCTAGTTTGGGCAGATGGTACAGTCCCTCCAGATTCTCTATGGCATTATCATCAGCCTCCAGAACCTAGGCGTGTCCAACAGAGAGGCATAAATGGTGAAGGACACAGAGCAATGGAGATGAAAAGAAAGGAACAAACAAATACTGACAAAGGGATTGAGGTGAGCGACATGACAAGGTGTTATTATTATTGTGACAAATTACACCACGGAGGGGTGCTGAGGGGCTGCAGCACCCCAACTGTCCCCAAACTGTTTAACTGCAACAGCTAAAAACAGTAACAGAAAAAGCAACAAAAAAACGAAGGTTTTTCAATATTTTGAGTATAGCAAAGACTCGCGTGTGCTTCTTGCAGAAGGTGTTGCGGGAGCCTGAGATTTAAGGATTGCGAGTGCGTGTTTGTATTTTTATATTTATATATTTTCAAAACCCACAGTAGCCATGCACTGTTTTAGCAGCCTAATACTGTTTTTAAACTTAAACAAATCATCTAATGTAATAATGATGATTTTGAATAACAGTTATATGTCCCTCCAGTGCGTTAAATCTCACCATGTGACTGAGGGCGTGACACCATCAGTTACTGCGCCGACCATCAATAATGTGGTTGGACTCATTTGCATAAGGTTTATCCAGAAGGAGAGGACAGAGAAAAGATGTGCGTCAGTGGTTTGATGAGTCAATTATATTTATATATTGTTATTTCCCGCCTCTTTAGACGTTATGATGACACGCTCTGTTTGATGTAAATTATCAAAACAATTCAAAAGAAAAAAAAAGGAAAATCATTTTGCATGACGCTGCTTAAAATCTCAGCAGATCCAACTTATAACACCTTGCTGCATGTATTTTGTCCATTCCAATCCTTTGAAAACCAAAATATTGTGATAAATATGGTGTATCGTGAAAATGTCTTGTGTATTGTGTATCGCATTAATGTTGAAAATCATTCTTATCAGTCCACTAATAATGAAAAGACTTTACCTCGAGACAGTGCAGCATGGCAAACTGGGTCGGCAGCGCCACAAGCTGATTGGAGGACAGATTGATATGAGTGACCAATAGCAGCTGATCCAGGTGGCAAAGGGTGCTCAGGTTCTTTTGGCAAAAAGAGAAAAAGTCAAATTGAGAAAAGAGTTCAAGTTCCATAAGATACCCAAAATAATTCTATATGCATTACATACCTTGTCAGAGAGACTGAAGACTCGCACTTCTGCGTACTCCATTTTCAGAATAGTGTTCTCGATCATAAACTTACTGCAGAGATCACTGTAGTAGGAGCTGCGCATGGGGTCCACCTCCTGACAGCGAGAGACAAATACAAAATATTGAAAATGAGAGCTACAGTAATGCTGAAAATGGGGTACAGACGACTAGATAGAACACTTTTTTACTGTGTACATCATGTAGTAAACATTAGAGTCTATTCATTCAACGTATATCCATGTTATTATTCAATCAGTGATGTACAATGTCATTTCCTTCCCACCCTGATTTAAACCAGTAAAAATATGATCAAAAGCTGTGAACTGTCTGAGCAGTTGATTGTATCATATAAAAGATTTATTAACCTTCAGCGTCTGAAAATGAGCAAGTGTTTCTTTCTCGTGACCCAAAGGATCCAGAGCTCTCATCAGGAGGATTATAGTCAACACACACCCTGAAAGAAAGAAAGAAAGAAAGAAAGAAAGAAAGAAAGAAAGAAAGAATATTAAGTTCATTAACAGAAGGCCTAATAAGGCCCAACAAAAGTGTAAAGTTTCGGCCAATTTTCCACATACATCATTTCCTTATGAGCTTTTTTTTTAATGTACAAACCCAATTCCAAAAAAGTTGGCACAGTATGTTACTAAACATACTAATGCTACTAAAAACAGAAAGCAGTGATTGGTAAATTCTGTTTGACTTGTATTAAACTGAAAACAAGATTTTATTTTGTAATTATATGCTCATTTTGAATTTGATGCCAGCAACATGTACCAAAAAAGTTGGTACAGGAGCATGTTTACCCCTGTGTTACATCACCTTTCCTTTTAACAGCACTTAACAACTGTTTTAGGACTGATGACACCAACTGATCCAGTTTTTAAAGTAGAATTTTTTGCCATTCTTCAGTTACACAAGCCTTCAGCTGTGCAACCATACAGGCCCTGGTTGTTGGATTTTAAGCTTAATATTGCACCACACATTTTCAACAGGAAACAGGTCTGGACTGCAGGCAGACCAGTTTAGCACCCACACTCCCTATGCAGTCATGCTGTTGTAACACATGCAGAATATGGCTTGGTGTAGTCATGTTGAAAAAAGCATGGACGTCCCTGAAAAAGATGATGTCTAGAAGGCATTTGTTGCTCCAAAATACGTTCAGCGTTAATGGTGCCTTCAAGTTACTCACTAATACCTGCCCAGACTATGACAGATGCTGGCTTTTAAACTTTATGCTGGTAACAATCTGAATGGTCCTTTTGTTCTTTGGCCCAGAGATCACAATGTCCATTATTTCCCTAAACAGTCTGAAAGGTTGACTCACAGACCACAATACATGTTTCCACTGTTCATCAGTCCATTTCAGATGAGCTTGAGCCCAGAGAAGTCAGCGGCGTTTTTGGATGTTGTTGACAGATTGATTCCACGGTTCATGTGATCTTAATTTGGATTTGTGGATGCTGTAATGGAGAGTCACGACTGACAACTGTTTGTCAGAGTACTGCCGAGCCCATGCAGTAATATCCATCACAGAAGCATGCCAGTTTTTTTTATCCGGTGCCATATGTGGGATCAAAGGTCATGGACATTCACTATTATTTTTGGCCTTGCTTTTTACACACAGATTTCTCTGGATTTCCCAAACCTTCTGATGAACGTTTTGATGAGAGTGAAATATCTAAAGTCTTTGGAAAAGTACTGTGAAACTGTTGGACTCTTTGCTGATGCATTTTTGGCAAAGTGGCAGGCCTCGCTCACGAAGGACAAAACATGATTGTGATTCAGAAAAACATGATTGTATCACCTTTGAATGTGGCTCAGGAACTGTTATTTTACAAAGGAATACTGATCAAATCATATCATAATGCACTTACAGTGCACCGAGACTCACATTTGTTCTGAGGCTCCAGTTCCAGGAGCTGAGTACATGACTGGAGTTCAGACTGCAGAACCGACGTCTTCTCTACAGACAGTTCACTCCTATCAAGCACACACACACACACACACACACACACACACACACACATTATTTGCACATGTAAACCTTCAATATACGCCAAACGAAAATGACGTTCTAAAAAGCGAAACAATGTCTTCTTGGCCAAAAAAACACAACAAGGTAGTTCAAGTTCGTATGGCGCAGTGCTGCTGAACAGAACTTCTAATCATTGTATCACTTGTCCTGATACCTCCCACTGACTGTGAATGGTCCTGATCATCATGCAATTCATTCACACACCTTCCTTTGACTGTGATTGGTCCTAATCACCGTGTCATTTGTTTGGAGACTGTGATTGGTCCTAAGAACCAATTAAAAAAAAAAAACCTTCTTTCTTCTAGGGCCCCCACATTTCTGTGATTGGTCCTAACCACCAGCTCATTTGTTCTGAGACCTCCCCCTGACTGTGATTGGTCCTAATCACTGCGTTGTTTGTTCAGAGACCATCCCAATCAGTATACTAATGGCAGCTTGTTCTGCAGTAGTTTGATTTTGTTTAGTTCTTAGTTCTGATGGTTACTGAGGAGCCCAAAAAATGCACACACACACACACACCTGAAAAGCTCCTGGTCTGTGGCAGAGTCCCGGCACCAGCTCTCAAGCCGACCTGAAATTAAGCATTATGTCAGAGCTTAGATGGTACATATGAATCCAAAATTATTTGAACAGATTGCATTTGTAAACATGCTGGTCCACACACACACACACACACACACACACACACACATACACAGGATACTGGAATTCTCTATTCATACATTAAGATGAATGTGACTGTACTGTTACACCCCTAACAACACGTTCACACAACTCCCTTCACGACAACAACATCCCAATTCAAATCAACATAGATAAGATCGTCAGCTAAGAACAGACATTTAATGAGTACAGACTGGACATTATTAAAGGTAGCTACTGACACCTGCTGCTTCAGCACTGTATGGGCAAGCAGCACAGATTTAAAGAAGAAAAACAGCTGTATAGAAACAGGAAATGTGAAAGTATTGATAAATTACATTAAACTGGTGTGGGTTGGCTTTTGCACGGTAAATGTTAATATCAGTGATCGCACTGAAGAAACTACACATTGTCATGTCGGCTAGCTTACACAGAAATAGAGCAAACCATTCAATTTCTGTTTTCTGGTGGCCTTTCTCACATTAAACTGTACAGCACACAGAATGTACGTTGATTCTCCCGGTCACCAAAATGGCTGCGCAGTCATACAGTCACGTCAACATGAGACAGACGAATAGAGACCACTGAATTAAATGTAGCAGCTGGTGGGGATGGGAGTGGGGTATTATCTTAGCCTGTACACACACCTGTATAGAGAGCGCAGTCTCTGTGTGTGTGCTTCTCCATCCAGTGCACCGTCAGGTTGTGCTCGTTGTTGATGTCGCTGATAGAGCCAGGAGGAAGTTCACACAGCTGAGAGAGAGAGAGATTTAAAAGCTTACACACAGTATTGCTAAAATGAGTGATTAGTAGTGATTGATTAGTAACCCACAGGAGGCAAATTCCGTTTTGGGCTATTTCTTACACAAAATGTTTCTTTGACATGTACGACAATCTATGAAAACTAATGCGACATAGTTTAATTTGCCATAAATGTCACCAAGTAAAAGACAGACCTAAAAAGATATACCTAAAATGAGCAGTAAGGCATTTTCATTTTATGACTTGCAAATTGTGAATAAAGTCGATGGAAACCTGGCTGCTGTACTGTGTGTATGAACTGATGTGCCATCATCAGTGTCAGTGTAGTGTAAGTATATACCCAGACAGGACTGTGGCGGAAGCGAGGATGAGCACTCCTCCACTCAACCTGCTGCTGCTGACCATCTAACACCAACATCAGACCCTCAGCCAGAGCCTGAGAGAGAGAGAAAGAGAGAGAGAGAGAGAGAGAGAGAGAAAATAGACACATAAGGGGAGATAAAAAGAAAATGAACATATTAAAAAGAGAGAAAGAAAGAGAAAGAAAGAAAAAGACAAAAGATAGATATAAAGAAAGATAGAAAGAAAGAAAATTAGCAGATTAAAGAGAGAGAGAGAGAGAGAGAGAGAGAGAGAGAGAGAGAGAGAGGGAGCACGAAAGAGAAAATGGAGAGTAGAGAGATAATGGGAGACAGCGCAAAAGAAAATTAACAGATTAAAAACAACAGTGACAGACAGAGAGTGCGAGAGAGTGCATGCAAGAAAGAGAGAATACAGAGAAAAGGAGAGATGGAGAGAAAAAGAAAACAGAGAGAATACTGAGAACATTAGAGACAGAGAAAAAATTAGCAGACAAAAAAAAAGAAAGAGTGCAAGAGGAGAGAGAAGAGAGAGGGAGAAAAACTAACGTGCTAAAAAGAGAGAGAGAGAAGAGAGAAAGAAAGACATGGAAAAAAATTGAAAGAGAGAGAGCATGAAAGAGAAAAACGAGAGCATAGAGATAGTGAGATAGCGCGAAAGAAAATTAGCAGATTAAGAAAAAAACTGTTAGAGAGAGAGAGAGAGAGAGAGAGAGAGAGAGAGAGAGAGAGAGAGAGAGAGAGAGAGAGCGCAAAAGAGAGACTACAGAAAAAGGAGAGATAGAGTTAAGTAGCAGACGAAAAACGGAAAGAACAAAAGAGAGAAAAATATGAGAGACTAAGGAAAACAGAAGAAACAAAGAAAATTAACAGACAAAAAATAATGAGCGAGAGAGAGAGAGAGAGAGAGAGAGAGAGAGAGAGAGAGAGAGAGTGTGAGTGTGTGAGTGTGTGGAAAAGAGAGAGACTACAGAAAAAGGAGAGATAGAGAGTTAAGTAACAGACGAAAAACAAAGAAAGAACAAAAGAGAGAGAGAAAAATATGAGAGACTATGGAGAACAGAAGAAATAGAAAGAAAAAGACAAAAAACAAAAGAGAGAGGGAGAGAAAAAAACACTGCAACTGAAATGATACAAATGCAGGAGTGTCGTACGTTGACGGGTTTGGAGAAAGCCACGGCCACTCTCTCCCCCTCCCGACTCGCATACACACAGCTAATCAACTCCTCACGCTCAGCTGCAGCAGAGAAAAGAACACAGTGAAGATCAACACGACATCACAGAAAACCAGGGATTTACAGACGTAAACATGAACGGATACAGAAACTCACCTCTACCCAGCAGCCAGCGGTAGTAGAACCAGGCACTCTGGTCATTTGGGTCAGTGAAGAAGGCGTTCTGAACCAGCTCATACTCTAGAGAGAGAGAGACAAAGTGATATTCAGTCGTCGCTGGGAAATTCATGTGACATGTAACAAATAACCACACAGTAATGTCAGTAGAGTCAGGAGCCTAAGATACACCTCTGTTTAAAAATTAGATTTCAGTGCTGTCTGCAATGTGTCTCCTTGATTAGAAACCTCTGTTCCAAGGGTCAACCCAAGAAGCGCAAGACTGCCCCCTACTGGACATAAATTGACACTGTATTTTACTGGGCGTCAGACACTATGGCCCTGTTCACATTTGGTATGGTACTAATTTCCACCTTAAGTGAGTCCCAAAGTTGGGACTGGAGCAGGTTTACCACTGTGTTGCATCACCTTTCCTTTTACTTTCCACTTAACATCTGGGGACTGAAGACACCAACTGATTCATTTTTGCTTGTCTTCTGTTAGTCTTCATCTGTGCAACTGTATGGGGTCGTATTTTGAGCTTCATTATGCGCCACATTTTCATTTTCACGCTCTGATTATGCAGACATGCTGCTGTACCATGTGCGGAACGTGGCTTGATGCTGCCATGCTAAAATAAGCATGGATGTCCCTGAAAAAGACGTTGTTTAGAAAGCAGCACATGGATATATATATATCTTTCAGACTTAAAGTAACCCACTAATGCCACCCCATACCATAACAGACCCTGGCTTTTGAATTTGATCTGGATGGTCATTCACTTCTTTGTTCCCTTATTCTGTTTATTATTTCCATAAACAATCTGAAAGGTTAACTCGTCAGACCACAATACATGTTTCCACTGTGCGTCAGTCCATTTCAAATGAGCTTAAGCCCACAGAAGTCGGCGGTGTTTCTGAACATTGTTAAATATGGCTTCCACTGTGCATAGCTCAGCTCTTAACTTGCATTTGTGGATGCAGCAGCAAATGCTGTTTATCGACAACACTTTGTCAAAGAATTCCCGAACCCATGTGTGATATCCATCACAGGAGCATGCTGGTATTTAATGCATTTTTTGGAACGTTACAGGCATACATTTCAGGATGACCTCGTATTTATAAAAAAAACAATGATGCTGATAAGATCAAACATTAAATATATTGTTTTTGTAGTGTCTTTGCTTCAATGCAGGTCTGATTGTGTGTTTATAAAGTTCTTACCCTTGAGTAGCTGCTCCTCACAGACTCTGTGTGAGTGTGTCTGAGGCGAGGCGGTGGGGGATGTGTGCGTGTTGGTGTGTTTTCTGCAGGGTGACGTGGGCTCAGAGCCGGGTTCCGGGTGTAGTAGAGGCAGCAGTGTGCTGCGGTAGTGCCAGCTGGAGTAGTTAGAGAAGTTGGAGCCGATCAGACGATCCGTAAATTGCAGCTCCTGATCCACAGGAACACCAGAGGATTTGACCACCAAGCGGCGGTAGTCCCAACAGTGAACTGAGAGAGAGAGAGAGAGAGAGAGAGAGAGAGAGAGAGAGAGAGAGAGAGAGAGAGAGATGTCCTCTTTTTTGGAGATACAAAGTTTTGTTCTCACAGCGATGAAACAGAATGTAAGCAAAACTACAATAATAACTCCAGACTTCTGCAAGTTAAATGATACTTCTCCTCCTTTTATGTCTCTGTATGTGCCCACAAAAATAAATATACTCATATGGTCACCAAGGTGGTGGTATATCAATTTCTTCTTTTCTTTATTTCCTCCATTCAATTATCCTCTACCTTTCTCTCAATGGCTCTCATAAAGGCTGATGTGGCCATCTCAGAGCTTTGCTTATCCACTCACAGTTTCGGTCGTCCAGGCTGAGGCAGCGGTCGCACAGGCTGAGTTCTCTGGTCCAGTCCGGCTGTGGAAGGCGGGAAGACACCCAGCCACGGTGGTGCCAACTGCCGTAAGACTTTGGGTTCATTTTCAAACAGGACTCAATGAAGAGCAGCTCCGCCTCATACAGCTTCTGAATTTCCTCCTCCTCTCTAGAAAAAGAAAGAGATTTTTCTAAATTTCTGCATAAGTCATTAAGAAACAAACCATCGCTGCCCAAAGAAAAGTACCTCCAAAACAGTTGCAAAGAAAACTTATTTTTTGAGATTTAATTTTAATGTAACTATTTTTACCATTATAAATATTACACATAAAATCTGAGAGGACATGTGCAGGTTCACTGGCGGTTTTGGATAGTAAATAAAATGTCTATTTGTTTTGTAGACATTGTGACCTCTGGTCCTATCACCACCGCTGTAAAGAAATTAGAGTCTGTAAGCTTCTCTACAATGAACCGTGTCACATCAAACCGCTCTGAATGACTTTCTCTTCATCTCAATGAGTGAATTACGTGATTAAAATTAAAAAGGTGGAATTCCTCTTAACGTCCATCTGGATCTTATACAGACATGACTTTCTTGGATTTGAAAAAACGTTCTAAAATTCTAAGTACAAACTCTGAACATCAGATATGACATCAAACTACATCACACAGCTGCCTGAAACAGCGTTTCGAAACCGTGCACTGCTGTGTCTCGCCAGGATTATAAAACACAGGTCTAAAAGTATCTAATACGCCTAGTATCCTAAGTGCTGCACAAAGAGCACAAAGCAACCTGGGAGTTGTAGTTCTCTTACTTTACAGTCTCCAGGTGCAGCAGGATCTCTCTCCTGTAGTTCCACAGAGTGGCAAAGTCAGGGTTAGAGGACAGGAGCTGCTGCGTGAGCTGGAGCGCTTCATCATCCAGTTCACCATCACTCCTCTAAAAAAGAAAGAGAGAGAGAAATAGTGTTAAAGTATAAGCTTTATAAGTATATAAACCAAAAGCATTAAGAACCACTGCATTACATTTGTATATAAATATTAATTTGAATTTAATTTATTAATTATTTCAAGGGCAATAATAAAAATAACTGGAATACAGAGACAAATTCTGCCTTATTGTTCATTCTGAGAGACTGCTGATGAGGTAGCACACTGACAGTCAGTGAAAAAAGGGGGAGAGGGAAAAAAAAAAGTAGTGCTTCCTAGAAAACCTTGATGGAAAGAGGCGGTGGTTAAAAGTGGCAAAACAAAGAGTCTCCTGAAAGTAAGACTTCTCATGAGAGTTCGGTGCTGCTGATTAAGTGAAATCCAAAATATTTAGATTATTAAAATATCTCTGTTCCACTACAGACCTTTTTGAAAATAGCATCACGAACAGTCAGGTACACTTTCAGCTTCTTCTCTCTCTCCTTTCTCTTCTCCTCCTCCTGCTGAGCCGTGGACTTTACCTTCACTCGTCCGTGCTGGGAATGAGCGAATGAGAAAGAGTAAGAAAAAAGACAAACAGATGTACAGATAGACAGAAACATAGAAAGACAGTGAGAGAGAGAGAGAGAGAGAGAGAGAGAGAGAGAGAGAGAGAGAGAGAGAGAGAGAGATAAGAGGCTGTTTAAGTGAACAAGATAACTACATAGGGCATAGTGAGCGAAGAAATACTCTAATGAACTGTGAAAGCAGCTACATATATGAAAGACCTATGTACAGTACATAGGGGGCAGTAAGGGTGGGAAAAAGAAAACCATATAGGCTGTAATGAAGGAGGAAACAAGCAAACTATCTAGGGAGTAGCAGGGGACGAAATGGGCAAACTATATGGGACATAGTAAATGAGGAAACAAGTGAACTACATAGAGTGCAAAAAGGGATGAAAACAGGAGAACAATATGATGGGGGAAACTAGCAAACTATATACAGAGCAGTAGGAGAGGAAACGAGTGAACTATATGGGGGGCAAAGTAAGGCAAGAAAATAAGTTAACTATACAGGGCACAGCAAAAAAAAAACAAGTGAAATATATAGGGAGTAGTAGAGGAGGAATTAAGAAGACTATAAAGGATGTAGTAGAGGAGGAATAAAGAAGACTATAAAGGATGTAGTAGAGGAGGAATAAAGAAGACTATAAAGGATGTAGTAGCGGAGGAATAAAGAAGACTATAAAGGATGTAGTAGAGGAGGAGTTAAGAAGACTATAAAGGATGTAGTAGAGAAAGAAATGAGCCAACTACATGAGGAAATATGTAAAGTGTACAGAGGGCATTAGAGGTATATACGTGAGTAAATTCGTGGAATTAAGTTTAATAACACATGCAAGAGGTGTGCTATCAGGAGAGGGTTTAACAGCGTGAAGAAGGCAGTGGAGCACTGGTTTGATACTGGCCTCTCAAACGAAACGGTGTAAACCTGAAAGCAGCCCATAATGACTCGGACTCACCATGTCTCACCGCTGGAGAAGAGCTCAGACCTGTGAGGAGGACAAAACATGAATGAACATCACGCACAGACAGCTCAGTGCGCATGCGCGAACCCACCCAACCACAGGCTCAGTTACGAACTCTCGCTGAATGAAACTGAGCAGCACGGCGGAAACTGGGCTGTTTACCGTTCACCGACAGTCAGCGCTGCCGGCGCGGCGGCTCAGCTTCCAGAGCTTTCAGCGCCTCCGTGTCACACTCGGAGGGTTTCACGGCGCTCAGCTCTGAGAGGCTGAGGTTGGCTTCCTATTCGCCAGCTTCGTCTTCGAATTCACCCGTTCCACCTTAAAAGGTGCAGCAGTTATCATAACGCACCAGGCGCCGGACTGGAACCGCTGCACCGTTTAAGGTGGAACGGGAAATTGGAAGAAGAAGCTGGCGAATAGGAAACTGACACGAAATCATGAAACTTACGACAGAAACGAGGCCGATCCCTGTTTAAACGGCGGACTGGCTGACTGACAGTGAGGGTCTTTATCCGATCACCGTTCTCAGATGATAGTAAACCCCTCAGTTTGACCAGCTGGAAGACGGTTTTGTGGCGGTGTCAGACTGAGACACTCTCCGTCTCCTCTAAACAGCGTCACAGCCCAGAAGGCAACAAGCCTCTCTGTTTCCCTCTAGTGGCCAAACTGAGACAGCAGACAACCAGACAGGCTGCGCCCAAATCCACATCCACTACACTCTTAAAAACATGGTTCTCCAAGGGTTCTTTAGTAAAGGCAATGGTTCTGTTTAGAACCATGGATTTTCATGCTTAAATGGTTCTTTGCATGGTGAAATGGTTCTTCAGATTGATGGAGAATGTCTATATAGAACCAAAAGGGGTTCCTCTATTGTCATAAGTTTGGCATCGTACCAATAGAAAGACCCTTTTTGGTTCTATACAGAACCATTTTCATACAACACATATATAATACATATATACAGCTCATTCTCCATCAATCTGAAGGGCCATTCCACCAGGCAAAGAACCATTTAAGCATGCAAACGGTTCTTTGAAGAGCCCTTGAAGAACCATCTCTTTTAAGAGTATACTATACTATATACTGTACTAATGAATGCCTTACTAATGGTTGTGCACTACTGAGTACTTGAGTACTATTTAGTATGGTAGTATGCTTTTGGACGCAGGAAGGTTGTCTTAGCAATGGTCGTTTTCTCACTATGGCCTACACAGTTCACGGATTTTTTCACTCATTATGCCCTACATAGTGCACTTGTTCCCTCCCGTACTGCATCATATATAGTTCACTCATTTACTCAACACAATGTAAATGCATTTCTCTTGGGGGTATTGCAGGACTGCCTTCACAGTGGTCCACTTTTCTTTTCACTCACTGTGCCCTACGTAGGGTACCCATTTCCTCCCCTAATACACCTTGGACTGCTCACTTCTTTCCTCAGTCACTACACCCTATATGGTTTACCTCGCTTCTTCAGTCACTGTGCCCTCTATAGTTTGCTTGTCTTCTTACTCTCTACACCCTGTGGTTCATTCATTTCCTCACTGTGGCCTAAATGCATTTGCCCTTGGCTTACAGCTTCGTCCATCAGAAGTAGTAAACGAAGAACAGCTGTATTTGCAATAGTTTACTTGTTTCTTCACTTTCTATGCCATGCATAGTACACTTGTTTTCTTCCTTACTACATTCACTTGCTTTCTCACACACTACACCCTATTGTGTGCACTCATTTCTTCATTCACCGTACCCTGTGTATTCTACTTGTTTATCCCCTCACTTCGGAATAAACAGTTCACTTGTTTTCTTCTTTCCTATCATATAACATAGCACACAGTATTCATTTTTAATATGTATTATAACAGTATTACTATGTATATTATGCAATATCAAGTATGAACTTGTAGTATGTTGTATGCATCTATAAAATGTAGTATGCATTATTACACAGTATGTTTGCTTCTGTACTATTACTACATAGTATGTAGTATGTATCTAGCATGAAGTATGCATTTATAAAAGCAGTATGCATTACTACATAGCAGGCAGTATGCTTCTGTAGTTTGTAGTATGCATTATTACGTAGCACATGGCATGCATCATTAGTATGTAGTATGCTTCTGTAGTACATAGTATGCAGCTATAAAATGTACTAAGCATTATTACACAGTATGCATTTATATTTCGAATACAGAATATGGTGTGCATGTTTAGTATGTAATGTATTTTGTGTATTCATATTTCTATGAACAATGGAATCAGTGCCTTTTGAGAGCCACTTTCATGGAAAACTGAATTTCCCCGCATTTTTTGAAATATCAATGTAAAATGTAGACTGTTAAAGCTTCAAAATGTACAATCCACTCCCCAGTCTATATGGTCTATATATGGAAATTAAGCTGTAAACACACCATTATGAATTCATTATTTTTATGAGGTCACAAAAATCGAGTGTCCATCTGTTCAGCCTATAGCAGTTTAGCTCTGCCACTCAAGCTATTAGTAGTGTTTCAGCCTAGCCTGCGTTTTGAACAATAGACAATTCAGAGCTGCTAATCAACACAGATCTCGTTTACATATATTAGTCTTAAAGGCACAGTAACAAAAAACAGCTTGTTTAGTTCTGAGGTATAAAGAGAGGCTGGAAAATGGACACAAGCAGTACATGCGTCATTAGTGGAAACAATCCAGTAAAAAGTAAAATTACGGGACATGGACCCTTTAACGTTTTGTCAGACTGTTATATGCATCGCTGTAGGACTCCGTTTGAATGCTAGGTGGTGCGCAAGCATTTCTCCTTTTGCTCAAATCTGGTCACTGATGCTATCTTATCCATAGGTGCAGTGACCTCATTAAGTTCTCTATAAATCACTCAGAAACAGGTCAATGTATACAAACTGCATTCAAGCATGAAATCACACCCAGGCAACACGTACAAGGTGTACACACACACACACAAAAAGAGAAATGGCCTATATTTTATGTGTGTGAGAATAAGGGCGCATTTTTCCGGATTATTTTACACAGGCCTTTCTTGTGCGCTGGTGTCCACCCGCTGTAGAACTCCCAGGACCAGAGCTCCTGTCATGTGATACAGCAAACACAACACCATCTTTTATGTGCTGTCTATTGAGAAGGCACTCTTGCTCTGTTAGCTAACAGGTCATGAAAGACAGGCAAAACATTCTGGAACATGTACTGCAGTAGAAAAAGAAAGGAATCTTGTTACAGGTGTGTAGGCTTGTTTCAAAATGTTTGAGGATTGAAAAGGATTAGGATTTTATGTATTAATCTCTTGATATGTTCCATGTTTCATGCCAGATATTCCAGTTGATCAGTTATAAACCCTCATGGGAGGCAACGCAAATATTTGCACCATTTTCTTTGTGGGCTCCTGTCAACTGCTGTGTAACCACTGCACAGGGGCCGAAGGATTAGGGTGAACACTTCCACAATTACAAGCGGCAGGTAAATCAATCATGGCTGACAAATACCAAATATCTGTACTAGAGATGGCAAAATACCACCTTTTCTTTTCTGATACTGACACCGGTGCTGAAACCTTAACAGTAAAGCTTCAACATTTTTTTTAATTGAAGACCTTCATGTAAAATGAGCATCTAAAAGTAGGCTATCATACTGAAAGTACTCAATACTCTACTACCCCACAGGAACAATACAAAACTACAGTTTTTTTTAGTTGAACTGGTTAAAATAAATAAAAAAAAGGCACCTGGTCAAAAACATTTTGTTGATTTTCTCAGTGTAAAGAAGTTAATATACACTATATTGCCAAAAGTATTCACTCACCCATCCAAATCATTGAATTCAGGCGTTCCAATCACGTCCATGGCCACAGGTGTATAAAACCAAGCACCTAGGCCTGCAGACTGCTTCCACACACATTTGTGAATAAATGTGTCGCTCTCAGGAGGTCAGTGAATTCCAGCGTGGTACCGTGATAGGATGCCACCTGTGCAACAAGTCCAGTTGTGAAATTTCCTCACTACTAAATATTCCACAGTCAACTGTCAGTGGTGTTATAACAAATTACAAGCAATTGGGAACGACAGCAACTCAGCCATGAAGTGATAGGCCACGTAAAATGACAAAGCGGGGTCAGCGGATGCTGAGGCGCATAGTGCGCAGAGGTCGCCAACTTTCTGCAGAGTCAATCGCTACAGACCTCCAAACTTCATGTGGCCTTCAGATTAGCTCAAGAATAGCGTAGAGAGCTTCATAGAATGGGTTTCCATGGCTGAACAGCTGCATGCAAGCGCAATGCAAAGCGTTGAATGCAGTGGTGCAAAGCGCCACCACTGGACTCTGAGCAGTGGAGACGTGTTCTCTGGAGTGACGAATGCTTCTCCATCTGGCAATCTGAGTCTGGGTTTGCCGGTTGCCAGGAGAACAGTACTTGTCTGACTGCATTGTGCCAGGTTTAAAGTTTGGTGGAGGGGGATTATGGTGTGGGGTTGTTTTTCAGGAGTTGGGCTCGGCCCCTTAGCTCCAGTGAAAGAAACTCTTAATGCTTCAGCACCAAGAGATTTTGGACAATTTCATGCTCCCAGCTTTGTGGGAACAGTTTGGGGATGACCCCTTCCTGTTCTAACATGACTGCACACCAGTGCACAAAACAAGGTCCATAAAGACATGGAGGAGCGAGTTTGATGTGGAAGAACTTGACTGGCCTGCAGAGTCCTGACCTCAACCCGATAGAACACCTTTGGGATGAATTAGAGCGGAGACTGCGAGCCAGGCTTTCTCGTCCAACATCAATCTGACCTCACAAATGTGCTTCTGGAAGAATGGTCAAAACTTCCCATAAACACACTCCTAAACCTTGTGGAAAGCCTTCCCAGAAGAGTTGAAGCTGTTATAGCTACAAAGGGTGGGCCGACATCATATTAAACCCTATGGATTAAGAATGGGATGTCACTCAAGTTCATATGCGTGTGAAGGCAGACGAGCAAAGATTTTTGGCAATATAGTGTAACTTCAGCACGGAACAACTTAAATATGACACGTCTACAAATTTTACTGCACGATTACCATGTATTACCAGGAGCAGCATTTGATGAAAGGAACACCTTGCCAACTGTTAGGCATGGGAGTGGATTTGCTTTGAGGTTGTTATACATGAATGCAGTTTACATACTTTTATGTAGTTTTACACACACTCTGCATTCTCAAGCAGCTTCATAAAGAGCCACTTAATATATTTTTCCAACAGGACTGATAAAGATACACATACTACAAAGCTACAAACACTACATCACTATATGGAATTTTTGACTGTTAGCATTCATATTTTTTACAGTATGAATGACTGGATTCACAATAAAAAACACAATAAAAACTTAAGATATGCTATTGGTTAACCTTCAGCTTCTTGCTAGTACAAATGCAATGTTTTAACCTGGCCAACACTGTGTGGGTGATAAACATAACGTCATCACAGTAACTGTTAACTGAACCACGTCATTCATTTATTTGTCAGTTGTTCAACAGAAGGTTAGATAAGTAATTACATTTGTTTTAAAAAATGACTACAAATGTTCACTGATATCAGCAACTGCAACAAAACAACAAGCAAAATAGTTTGTCTAGCAGGTAGTTAATATTTATGTACATTTGCTAGGCACTTCATCTTAATTCAAATAAAGGCACACAAGTGAAAATCCAGAGCTGATTGGAAGCAGACGGTCATGTGACCAGATCCATATTATTAAGGCAACTTCAATAACAGTGTAACGGTTCTCAGCCTCACAGGGTAAAGAGGTTTGTTGCAACCTTGCACCACAGTTAACTAATTTAGTTCCCTTAACTCAAAGACCCAGAAACACCTTTAAACACTACACATAGTACAAAAACACTGTACATTTTAACGGGAGCCTTCGTTGCTGTTTGTTGCTACAGCATCAAAAACTGAATTCAGTTGGAGACACTCTTGGTTGTGGGTGAAAGGAATGCTCCAGGGTTTTTTTAACCTAATCTCTACTTTTATTGTACTAGTCGAGACAATTTTGAAAAGTACATTAACACAGCTAATCCACACACAGACAAAAGACAGTTTCTGAATTCCTTAATTAAACGTCTATGTGAAACAACATGACAAATTATGTCACAGTATGCTTTTCTGAGCATTTATGGATATCCTTAGAACTTAACATTAACTACATGCTTCATTACAAAGTGAGCATAATCAGGCTTGTTTAGAGCAGTGCAGTTTGTGAAACACTGAATAAAAACACTGCAGTTGTAGAGTTTTTATTTTTATTATTATTGATGTTGTTATTATTATTGTTGCATTTTTTGTTATGTGGCACTACAGGTTCTATTTTGTCTGTTTCACCTTATTAAATCTCAAAAATCTCATATCATGTATCACAAAGATGTGTCTTGAAGTATCACCTAATATTTTTTCCATATCGCTCACCCCAATCAATCATACAATACAATAGAGAATAGGTAGAAAAACACTGGAGTATTCCTTTCAAGAAGTCAGGAATTCTTTAATATTAAAAAAAAGCTGCTGAACTACTGTCCCTCACTGAATACTAAGGCAATATTTTATATCCGCACTTCTGAGGGGAAACACACAGTTCAGTAACAAACATGAACAAATATGTGCATTTTTTAGTATGTAAAGAATTTCCAAATTATTCAGTGCGGCTCTGTACAACACTGGTTTTCAAAGCGCGTCTATGGTTAAGCAGTCACAACATGCATGTTTTGTTGTTTTAGAAAGGCAGACGTATAAACAAACGGCGTTTAGAGTGATGTATAAATACAGAAGGTCTGTGAGAAAACGTTTTAGAAAATCCCTGGAGTTAGCTAGCGTTAGACAGTGCCATCACTAATATAATCTATCTACTTATATTATCTATATACTTACACTACTGATCAGCAATGCTCCACCAGAACCCAGCCGTAATGACAGTCTCATGACAACAAAGTATCTCTTCACACCACCTAAACAATGCCAACCAAATCATAACACATTTAAGAATAGACTGTGTGTTGTTTATGTAAACCTCTATGTTCATAAAGCGATAATTAGGCAAAAAAACAAACACACAGTTTTCTTCCTTGTAGAAGAATTCCAGTTTTTCAAAATGTCTACATAATTGAATTGTTGAGATGTGAACAAAGTAATTAAGGGTAGTCTGATGTGAAATGGTTCACAGTAGTGGTAGGAACTAGGACTATTTTGCCTGGCAACGCCCTGCATGCGCATCCTAAAATATTTATTTTTAGCCAAAATCTTATCATAAAACCATCGCAAAACAGCGTTTCAGGGATCAGACAGGGTCACTAACTCATCATCTAAGCCGCTCATCCTCCTGGATTCCAGGGGTACTGGAGCCTATCCCAGCGCTCATTCGGCAGAAGGCACAAAACACTCTGGACAGGTGCATTCACACTCTTTTTGTGTAATAATTTTCTCTGAGACAGATGTCTGGTTCATTTCACCACCACTGTGAACAATTCTGACTAAAGAATTTCACATCAAATCATTCTTAATCTTTACATCTTAACAATTATATGTATAATCTGAAAAATTGGTGAAGCCCTTTTACCCAAATGTATTCAATTAGCCAAGACACGTTTGCTTCTTTACTTTTGTACTGGAGCTATGAGGCTAATGTAGCTAACACGTAATGGAAGCTCACCTCAAACCAATCACTTAACAAAATGTGGTAGTTTCAGAAAAGCATGCGATTATTCAGGCATGTAGTTTGTGCGATCCCCGTTTGCATTACATAATAGCCACGTTAAGAAATGTAGCTCTAGTGCAAAACTAATAAAGCAAACCAAACTTGTCTTAAGTAAATGACCACATTAAGGGGACAATTGTGCTGTTTTCTGTAACAACTATTCTTGCAAAAGAAAACTTTAATGTTTTCCTGGATGTTTTGCATCTAGTGCAAAACGTCCAGGAAAAGTTTTCAAAAGTTACACTAGTAGGAATGATGTTTGTTGAGGCACTATGAAGGTCCACTATGAGGTCCTAAGGCTGAGCTCCGGTACTCAGAGGTCCCCAGCCAGTCTGTGCTCTCATTTTACTGTAGCTGACTCATCTCAGCCAGGCAATGAGAGTTCCAAAGACCTGCTTACCTGAGTCAGGTGTAACAGGAGACGGGCCTGTGAGGAAAATGTGACTAGACTGGGACCCTCTGCCCTAAAGGAGTACACGCGGATCACATACTAGTTCCCTTCTGTCCTGTGTCATAGAGGTTGAGTGCTGTGTTGTTTCAAGAGGGGAAGAGGAGAGCAGAGCAGAAAAGCAGGGCTGAAGGAGAACAGAAGAGGGAGCTAGGACAGGGTTCAGGCTGCTCAGACTGTCTCCTCCACTATCGTAAAGGTCTCCATAGGCTTTTTGCTGAGGTCACGGATGTCCTCCAGCAGGCTCGTTGGAGTGAGGATGTGAGAGGAACCTGTGGAGACAAGAGGCCAAAGTTAAACTCTGAAACTTCCAGCCACAGACGAGTTGAGTTGTTTAAAAAGGAATCAACACCACAACTGTAAATCATTATCAGCGGTACAAGGACACTACTCGTTATATTTAACAAACCACAGAGTCACACTGGAAAAAATGGCAGCGAATTAGAATGGTACAATTTTTTATTAAGCTAAATCAAATTCATTGTTGTAGTGAGTTTTAGAGTCAAATGCAAACTGTAAATAACTTCATTTTGTAAAGCTAAATCTCAGAGGTCATCAGTCTTATGTATAAAGGGCTGGTGTAACTGCAGGTTTTCATTCCAAGCAAGCAGAAGCACATTTAATTCCACTTGGACTTGATCTTCTAACAATTGGTTTTATGAGGTGAGCTTCTGCATGGCTGGAACGAAAACTTGCAGCCACACTGGCCCTTTGTGGATAAGACTGGTGACCCCAAGCCTTATGTTTTTATGGTCTACCTGAGAACGTCTTGCTCTGTGTTGTTTTATTTTTTGGGTCATTTACGTTTTGGCTATATCACAAATGCCCGAAAGAGTACTACACTAAAGACCTATAATTAGCTACTGACCAATGATAACCTCGCAGGACTTGTTGGCCTGTGTGACCTCATAGGCACAGCGCATCTCTGAGTAACAGACACCGCCCAAGACGAAGACGATGAGACGTGAGCCCGTCCTGTGGTCATCCTGAGCGCTGGGCTTATGTTTCTGCCTCGCACTAAGAGATAGACAGACAGTGTTACACACAGACAGATTCAGGGATTGACACAGACACAATATGAAACTTTAAACAAAAAACAAAAATATTCCACTGCAAATCTCAGCAAGTCTTACCTTCTTAACTCAGTCTAAGTCTTAAACCAGTCTTAACTCAGTGAAGATTGTGGTCTAGGGTTGGGCGAAATGATTTTTCATCAGTATGTGAATAGATGTTATTGTTTATATTTGGGAGGGGGGAAGTGATCAAAAATCTGTAGCCCACACGCCTAATTTGGCTACTTTATAAACAGCATTCTATATTTTTGCCACATGGTGGTGCTAAAAAGCTTCCTTTTCTCAAATACACGTTTGTCCACCGTGAAAATCATTTTCTTTGCAGTTAATCTCCTGATTGTATTTGTGCGTTCATTCCATTGCAAACTTTAAATATGTACTTGGTGCTTTTCACAACTGCTCTGACAATGGCTGCATTAATCTGGCTGCTTCACAAGCAATGAAGTGGCAAAGCTGTCGATCATCATCTCAGCACAAAAACAGTATGGTTGGTCAGATTTGCGAAAATTGTGAGAATAATGTCCTCAAATCGCCCAAGCCTAATGGCGCATCACAATGTAAAATTATGCAGGTAAATGATCTGTACAACTGAACACTGCAAGAAGCAAAAACCACTGCCAGCCTTACCTCATAACTCTGTAAGAAGTGGTGAAAGGGAGAGAGAAGTCAATATAAGCCATGTGCCATATGTCAAAGAGGAATTCCACTGTTTTTTCAATATTTCTGCATAATTAGTCATTAACATATAAACAAAATCATGCAGAGTGGTCTGATGCCAAATGCTCTGTACTAGAGAAACTAAAAAGTCAGAATTATTTGTAGAAGTGATAAAAACCAGCATTTAATGCCTCTAAAAGCTGCATCACAGAAACCTACTGTATGAGGTGGTTATGAATACTGCCTGACACCTGAGACATTGTCTTACAATAGTTATGCAACAACGTTCTAGCTGAAAAAGTATTTTTAAAACACATTCATAGGGGAGAGTTACACACAGGCCACTCAGAATAGGCAAAATAGCAGTCAGTGAAAACTAGGTTCAACTAGTGGTTTTGGATAGTAAATGAAACAGCTATATGTGTGTTGATATTGAGATTCCTATCACCACCACTATAAAGAAATCCAGGCTGGCAAGTTTCTCTACATCGAACACATTCATATCAAACCACTCTGAATGACTTTGTTTACATCTCAACAACTGAATTACACAGAAATGTCCCCTTTAACCGCAGTACTTTCATACTGAAAATCCAGTAGATGACCGGGATACTTTTACTGATAATGTTCAAGCTTTGTAACATTCACACATGCAGCGCCTTAACTTACCTGGATGTAAACATTCATTCATGCCATGAAAATCCCAGTAAACAAGAGGTGACATTCTCAGCATAAATAGCCAACTCCCTCTTTTCTGAACCATGTTAAAAAAACACTCGAAAATAAAAACACAATGCTCTGCTTTGCTGGCCATGTCGACTGTTTCAGAGAAGCAGCTATGCATGCATTGTATGTCCCAATAATGTACTGGCATCTGTTCACACATAAGCACCGTTACCTTCCCTGATATTGGACCAGGTCTTGTGCAGGAAATTGTTGTGCCAACTTTACTGGGATTTTGACTCAGGCTTGCTTTCATACTTGACCCTTTCCCATTTAACTACCTTTAAATTCTTGTGTAAAGCAAGAAAGAGCATGTGTAAAAGGAAGAAGCTTGAGAGTGTTTCATCCATTTGCACTTTAAAGATGCCATAGAATGGAAAACTAATGTTAGCCACTAGTAAGCTCCAAGTATTTAGCATGTTGTCCTGGGACGAGTGGATCAGACGCTGGATAATACCTGCTCTGTGGGGGTCCTGACCATTGAATAACAGGGTAAAAGGGGGCTAACAAATACGCAGAGAATCAGATGGACTACACTCTAATTTCAAAACTACAGAGTACGTCTGTATGATAAAATGGACAACGAATGTAGATACAAAGAGGTGTACCTCATGTAGTGACCAGTCGGTGTATATCCTTGTATCTCTCATACCTTAGATCTAAATTCCTAATTTTTAGTCTCGCTTAATTCATTTTGTTTTGACTGATTTTCACCAAATGGAAGCTAGCCCTCACTTCAGATGGGAGGTTAATAAAAAATATAAAAGGGGTTATATGGCTTAAAGATGACTCCTGGCCTACCTCACAGCTCTCGACCCATTCCAGGCAGAAGGACACTCGGACTGGTATGGCCAATCCCGTGTGTCCAACTTATTCTCAATGACATCCTACAATAAACACACACAAGAGAAAACAATTGGCAAAATAGTTGATATCTTAACAAAATTAAGGGGGAAAAAAGCTCAAACAAACATATAAAAAGGTTTAGGAGAAAGTTAACATGCTGTTAGAGGTTAACAGAACATAAAAAGTTTCACTGATGAATCACAAAAACAATGTAAAACTAAACAGGAAATCATTTTTATTCATATGCTTGTGGTTTGAGTCCATAAAAGGTGAGAGCAAGTTTACCCTGGTGTGAAACATTTCACCCCAACTATAGACTATATACTGTTTCTCAAAGTGCAGAAACAGAGAGATTTGAGATAACAGTTGCATTACCTGTTTACAATCCCACCAGGTCAAACAGACACAGATGCCTAGATACTAATATTCTACTGACATAGACACATTAATGGCTTCCACTGAAGGCTTCCACATTCAAGACCTAATTTCCTGCCTGGTGGCCTTTATCTGTGGCTATTTTTTGTGCACATGTGTGTGCAAACATTCCATTAGCTTATTTTCCCGTAGCTGCAGAGTTAGAGCATGACCCACATTTCAAGTCTGTGATTTGTGTGACAAATCGACCGCACCCTTTTGTTCTCAGAAGGAGCCCAGTACAGCAAACAAACACCAGCAGCCAATCAGGTGGCTTGTTGGGATTTCAAGTAGAATTCCCCTTACATTTTTTAATCATGAAGCGGCCGGTTTGCTTTAAGGCTGGCAGGTCCGATGAGAGCTCAGCAACGTGAATATGATCAGAGCAGAGACTCTTGCAAAAATGCTGCAGAGAAGATCCACCCAGGCCAAGGACTTCAGTGCCCTACAGAATTGTGGTGTTCCTGCACTAAAACTCACAATATGGCCAAGAGGCTCACTGGCGTACTGCACACTTGTGCAGTGTTAAGATTAACAGACATACTGTGCAGCCATATATTATTATTTATATGGCCATTTATTGGACAGTTTACAGTTTTATCCTTCTCAAGTTTAGGTGTTTCATAATAACCCCTTCAATCATGAAGGCCCTCGTTACCATTATCGCCGATGGGGATACACTAAACTGTGGCCCTGCAGGCTGAAACAGTAACCCATTGTACTGAATGCTTTTTAAGGAGTTACAGAGTGTGTATGAATCACCTCCATCAGATCTTTGACAACGGGCACCCATCGTGAGAGGTTGTATCTCTCTTCCTGGGAGCGATCTCTCCGAGAGGGCTTTCGGGAGGAGAAAAAACTTGACTGGGGAAACAAACAAACAAAATCTTACAATGTGTACATTAAAACAAAATCACTCTGTGATGCTCTAAAATGTTTGTACGATTCACACGGCCATTCTGTTATTTGATGTACCATAAACAAAGAAGTCTTGTGTTGTACAACCAGAACGATGACTGTGAAAGTGTGAGGAAACCACAGAAGGCATTGGTTTGATTAGTCAATTAATCTAGTAATCGATGACAGATTTGTTGAATATAGAAATAATCATGAGCTACAAATTTATTTTATTCATAGAGGAAAAAGGAAGAAAATGAAGAAAGAAAACCAGAGGAAGGGAGAAAAAAAGAATCCCTCACCGAGGAAATGATGGGCACCCCCAGCTCTTTCCAGTTCGTAATGTACTCACTCTCCCCCTCAATCTTCACATGCTGAATCAGTTTAGTCAAGTTCTCCTCCGTCGTCCCTGCTCACAGTAAAATCACAGAAATAAAAACTTACATATTTGTAAATAATTTAGTAATGAAGCATGTGGATGTGATTTAATGTGTCCTGGGCGAGCCTAAGTGGTGAAGTAGGCAAAGCAATATTCCAAAAATGTCCTCCATAATAAACATTTACGTAATTACTAGATGCTCCTGTGCAGTGCAATTTACAAGTGTGACCCTTTGCTGAGGTTAAAAATATTTCGCAACCCCCTCTGTTCCAACCTGCCTCTCCATCCCTCCAGAAGAATAATCAAATAGCAGGTCTACGCACTTAAGCTGAGCTTACACTACAGAAATTTTTAGCCCGATTTTAACCTGATTTGCCCCTTCCAACAAATCTTCACAATCTGAAGTGATTTTCTAGATCAGGGGTGTGATCGTAAGCGGTTGACAGCAGGGATGATCTGGTGGTGAGAGAGGAGAAATAAGTCCAATCTTCCTAGCCTTCTAAGTGAGCTTTGAAGTGATCAGAGGTCCCTCCAATATTGTTTATTGTACTCTCTTTTAGTCACCAAGTGTGCATGCTCCCATGACAAAATAACAAGAAATTCTGTTAAAGATGGACATTAAGCATGCAGTGCTCCACCCTTTCGAAATCTGTTAGGATTTTAAAGTTGTGAAGTGTAGGCCAAGCTTTACTGGGCCTTCATTCCTAAGCTAGTACTTCACCACAAACTACTGTTGTTTGATAAGGTGCACGTCTTGTAGCACCACTCTCGTGACCCCCCCGGACCACATTACGGATAAAAGCAGTATTATCCACTGTGCTATTTAACCGCTCCTACCAATGACCATTCAAAAACCATTCATCTTGTAGACTAAACACAAAGGATTGTGGTGTCTTAATGATACCTGGGCCTCCATGTATCAACAGTATTTTTCACCCAAAATATTGTGAAACCATGTTCTACTGATTTTTTATTCCCATCCCTAAATGATGCTGTGTTTTTGAGAGTCGCACCATTGAGGCCGAAGATGTAAAGCAGCACCGCTCTGATTTTATCGTGGGTGGAGTGGGGGTTCAGAAGAACAGGAAGTAGCGTCCTCATGGGGTCTTTTACCTTCTGACCTTCAACATCAGAACCAACAGCAAGGTCCTGCACAAACAGAAATGAATGCACAATGAAGACAACTCAAATCACATAGAAAAAAAAAGTATTTCAAATAAGTAAGGAAAGCTGACGTGTCAAAAAAATGACGGGGTCAGTAGCCAAAAACAAAAAGGGAGAGCTTAAGTGTGTAGAGGCTGAACTATGCAATCACTGCTTCTTTTGCTTTTATCTGCTTCATTACTAAATAAAAACACACTCATATTCAGCCTGGGATAAAAACTATGGTTATTAGATTAAATTTAAAGAAGTTTAATAAAGAGTAAGCTTTCCTTAATCTTAAATCGAAGGTACATTTATTCTTTTGTGTTTTTGTATGCTTGTTAACACTGTTCTCTTGTAACAGTAGGAGGGAGTTTTGTCTCCAGATATTATAAATAAAGAAACAGTTATTTCAAACAAAGACAAACAGAATTTCCTGCATTTCTGTCGAGCGGAAAAGTCCCACTACCTGCTCTGCTTTGCACAGCTTCTCCACCGAGCTCTGGAACTTGTTCATGCAGTCCTCTGCTAGTGTCAGATGGACCGTTTTCTAAGGAGAGAAAGAAGTGGTGTCAGACCAGAGAACAGCTTCTTCTCTGTTTAAACAGAAACATAGTTACATGGTTCCAACTAAGGGAGAGTGATCTGGGGAAAAATACCAGATACCGATACCTAAAGACATTTTTACAATACAAAATGTGTGTCAATATTCTTTTTTGCATAAATAAACTATTTTAGACAGAACAACAAATCGTTGGTAAAAAAAGATAACGGTATAACGGGCTGACGGTTTTTATGCGGTTACTATACACTCGTAGTTTTTTTACAAGTCTAACTCTGTCTTTTTTTATTACATACACAACTGCATGATTTGTCACAACAATAATAACATATATTGCTCACAACTACATCCAACAAGAATGGAACACTTATCAACTCAAATATCATAATTATCTGTTGCTATCTCACCACATTGTATTATTAGGCTCAGAAAAAGAGAAATCACTAGAGGGCAAGATAATGTGGCATGCCAATGACATCACAGATTAGATCTCAGCAACAAATAGGATCTTTCTAGTGCAAGTATCGATGTCCTCAAGGCAGGATGTGACACCTGGCCTCAGAGCAAATGTGGGCATCAGGTGATACATACCTCAGCCACCTGTTTACGGAAGGCAGGCATCTGCTTCATGAGCTGCTTTAAGCCTCCTATTGAGATCTGAGATTAGGAACAGAATCGCACAATGAAAAAAACTAAATGGTAAACGGGGCAGAGGGAATACAAAACTGGACTGCAACGGAGAGACACAGTGAGAGAGATGAGTATTATTCCCAGTGATGTGAGAGAGGAAAGGGAGATGGCCACACCTTCCCATCTGTCTGCTTCTTGTTGGCAGAAATCTCTTTCACTAGTTTGGGGATTTGTCTGTGAATGGAAACAAAAAAACATGGGAGTATTAGTTACATATTCCAAACTTCTCTAAAGGTTTGTAGAGACCATCCAACATTTCCCAAATTAGCTGAATTAATAGGGAGTTTGTTCCTCTTCTTTGCTGCAGTAACAGCCAAAGGTATTGGATGGTGCTCCCTCACTCTAGAGAATGTAGTTCCACTGCTCCACAGCCCATTGCTGGAGGGGTTTACACCCCTCTAAATGGCACTTGGCACTGGGCCTACCAGAAAAAGCTACTGGACAGCAGTCTAGAGCAGTCGATAGACACTTTAAGAGGTGTTTACATACACCAAACTTGAAGAAACAAATATGGGCGCTTTAATACTCTAAATGCTTTCCAAACTTTGGGAAAAGATATCAATTTGAGTTTCATGGACAGCTTAGGGACTTTTAGGTTATTAAGTTTAGTCACTTACTCAGTGACCTCAGCAATGTGCAAATGTCGTAGCTTGACCCACAGCTCATCACCTTCATTCAGCAAAGCTTCTTTTTCTGAACCGTCCTTTGCTTTGAACCTGACAAATAAACCATAGTTCAATTCACCCAATGAATATTTACAGATATATTAAAGTGTTGTTAGTGATCAGTTGGTGCCATTAAATTAACTAGCATACAGAATATATTTCAAACACATTAAAAAATGTCAGAAATATTGCTTGGATGAGGACTTTACTTGTAGGCATCGCTCTTGATGGGGATGAGATCATAAGCCATGGCTTGGTAGGTTAGCTCGTGCAGTATCGGGCTCACGGGGTCAAAAGCACGGTCAACGATAAGCAGCTGAGCCTGGGTCTTTTCCTAAGGGTCACAGGTCACATATGTTTTAATATGGTAATCTAAGAGCTGAGGTCAGGAATAAGTATGTATTTACTATTCGAATAACACATACATACATAAATAAAACTGTTTCCAAAAAGTTGGGACACTGTGCAAAATGCAATGATGTGCAACTAACTGAAGCCCTATAGTTAACTGAAAAGAGTGCAATGACAACATATCAAATTTTATTATTTTTTTCTTTTTAAAATTAAGCCCATTTTGAATTTGATGCTAGCAACATGTTTCAAAAAAGTTGGGACAGGGGCATGTTTACCACTGTGTTGCATCACTTCTTCTTTTAATGACACTCTGAAAGTGTTTGGGAACTGAGGAGACAGACTGCTGTAGTTTTGAAGTTGAAAAGTTTTCCCATTCTTGCTTGATATAAGATTTCAGCTGCTCAACAGTTTGGGCTCTCCTTTGTCATATTTTTTTTTTCATAATGTGCCAAATGTTTTCAGTGGTGGCAGGTCTGGACTGCAGGCAGGCCAGAATAGCACCAGGACTCTTTTACTACAGAGCCATGCTGTTGTAATACGGCAGAATGTGGTTTAGCATTGTCTTGCTGAAACAAGGACTTCCCTGAAAAAGACGCCATCTGGATGGCAGCATATGCTGCTCTAAAACCTGTACATATCGTTCAGCTCTATTGGCACCTTTACGTGTACTAATGCACCTCCATACCATCACGGATGCTGGCTTTTGAACTGCGCGCGGGATAACAAGCTGGATGGTCTCTCTCCTCTTAGGTCAAGAGGATGCGATGTCCATCACTTCCAAGAAGAATTTGCCATTTTGATTTGTCAGACCACAAGAGAGAAGGCAGCAGCGTTTCTGTATCCTGTTTGTAAATGGTTTCTTCTTTGCATGGTAGAGTGCAACTATCATTTATGGACGCAGTGATGAACTGTGCACAGACAGTGTTTTTCAGAAGTGTTCCTGAGCCCATGCAGTGATTTCCACCACAGAATCGTGTCTGTTTTTAACGCAGTGCCACCTGACGATCATGGCCAGCCAGTACTGGTTTTCAGTCTCGTCCCTTGCCTACACAGATTTCTCCGGATTCTCAGAATCTTTTAACAATATTATGTCTTGCAGAAGGTGAAATCACCAAGTTCTTTGCTATTGTGCATTAAGAAATGTGGTCAATGCCTCCCCATCTTTACTTCTGAAAGACTCAGCCTCTCTGGGATGCTCTTTTTACACCCAATCACGTTACTGACTTGTGGCCAATTCACTTAATTTGTTGTGAGATGTTCCACCAGATGTTTTTTTAGCATTACACAACTTTACCAGTCTTTTGTTGCCATGTGCCAACTTTTTTAAAACATGTTGCTGGCATCAAATTCAAAACAGCATATATGTTTTCAAAAGCCAATAAAATTTCTGTTTCAACATTTGATATATTGTGTTTGTGCTATTTTCAGTTAAACATAGAATTTCAATGATTTGCTCATCATTGAATTCTGTTTTAATTTACTTTAATTTTGTACAGTGTCCCAACTTTTTTGGTTATAAATAATTAGCTCGGAAAACAATAATAATAAAAAAAATCCTGTTTTCACTGGGTTTTCTAGATCACTCAGACCAGCTGAGCCACAGCCAGTATTTGTTATGTACACAGAGCGAGAGCACGCTCACCTTTTTCTTGCCGTTGTCATCCAGCTCATAATATCGGGCCAGTTTGTTGTCCACTAGCTCAGCCAGTATTTTGGCATAATCCAGTGTTGAATCTCTGTACAGAGAGCACATTTAGAGAATCCATCACCAATCCAGCACTAGCACATTCAGAACATCAACAATAACATGAGAGTTTTAGTAAAAACAAATAATAAATCCTTGACTCAAATCACAGACCTGTATAAAATTAAAAATCCTGTTATTATCGCTCATATTTTAAAAAAAACATTAAAGGAAAGGCTTTTCACATGGCAAGCGACAGTCACACACCTCTGATTGATTTTCATTTTGAAATGAGCGTATGCCCTTACGCCACAGTTTCCAAACTCTGTGGTCATGACGCCAAAATCAAACTGGTGTAAGCCAGTGAAATAGCCAGTTTCAGTTTTTTTTGCTGAAGGAAAAATGGAGGACTCCCCCACCCTTAGGGTGGTGACTCCCTGCTTTTGATCTTTATATTTATTCCTATGTTCAATGTATTTCACAATTCCTATTTTTGTGTTCAAAATAGTGGCATAATCTATGCTGGAAAAGTGCTAGCTGTGCTAGCACTGCAGTCACCATGGTTACCATACAAGAAACGCAAGCGATTTTTCACCTGCCGCATGAAAACCTGTGCTGAGCGATGGAGGTCTGACCTTCCATATGAAAAGTGGAGAGAGAAACAAGAAGAGAGTCACTTATCATGTGAAAAGCCCTGAAGACTTTCCTGCATAATATCACCAAATCCCCCAAGCCTAGACTTACTTCTTATATCTAACACCAGGGTACTCATCCAGGGTGGCGCACAGAGTGACTAGCTGATCGGCAAGGGTCTCCAGAGTTTGGCCTCGGTCTGAACTCTGAGGACTGTAGATGCTCCTGAAGGTCTCTGGATTCCCACAGGTAAACACCTAGACAAACAAACACCAATCTAATCAATGACCTCAAATCAACTCTTATCTGTTCAACATGAAAAAGGGGAATAGGGAAAATCAAAACAGAAGAAGCAGTAAGAATCCACTCCTAAAGGGAAGTGGACACTGTGCAGATTATTTATGGAAGCGTGCCAAGTTAAACAGCCCATATAAACATACACACATCTCTATCAGTTCTCATATCTGCTGTGGTTTACAATGTACAGCTCAAGGTTCACCCCAATGGCTAGTGTAAACAAAATGGAACAATGAATGCTGCATGCTGGTGCCTGGCCCCTATACAGAGGCTCGTACTGATTATTTTCCACACGGGCATCTAAAAATGACAACAGAACTTTTTTTGAAGCCATTCAGCCAAAAATATTTTTTTTCCTGTTTCTGCAAATGCAAAAATGTTTGGTGTCTGAAGTTTGCTGCTTTTGTTTTGCACGAAAGCTATGCAGATAACAAGCAATGGAAATTTTTAGATATACAATGCCCGGTTTTACAGTAAACAGAGTGTCCTACAGTGTGAGAAACGACATAAGCAAGTCTATCTGATATTACTTAACAACTTGGCATTGTCTCAGGTATGTATGTGATGATTTAGATAAGCAGTTTACACAATGCCAACCGATAACTGATGTAAAATGAAAATCTTCAGACACCACACATTCCTTGACCGACTGACCACAATAAATGTGTGAATTTGTTTTTGGGCAGAACCATCACTTCAGCTGAGTTTCAGAAATTATCAACACCGTGGATACACAAGCCTCCCAGTTGGAAACTGGTTGCAATTGGAAACTGATGAATAAATCATCCTTACAAAATCATGAAAGTTCAGAGGAGCACAGTTCTTGACTACATTTTCATCCTTCACAATGAAAGGTGACATAGGCTATTGGTCATGATGACAATGGCTCTACATCTGTACTATCAGTTCATAATTACAGTGAAATGAGACAGCGTGCTCACCGTGGCATGAAAAAGAAGACTAATGTAACATAAAACATCAAAATGGTGGCAAGAACTTACTTGTGCCTCCAGGGGAAGAAAGGACATGTTGATCTCTTTACACACTTTGATATGCTTTGCACAGAACACCTTCATTTTGCTGAACAAGTCATCTGGACAATCTGAGAGGCAAAAACATGAAACATACTCAATAACAGAGAGGGTCTGCCCATTCGTTACACTCCAAACTTAAGTTAAGTTACCTCATGATAAAAGATAGCACCCAATATAAATAAGACAGCAATTTTCAAAAACAGTCATGCCAAAAAAGAAAGAGAGCTTTTTTCATTGGTAAGAGTAGTAGGTGGGCTTTGATATTTTTGCATTTATATCATGTAGAAATAACAGCCAATCCTGTCTGCTTATAGTGAGGCTTATATATTCTACCAAACTCCAACATAAACACTTACAGTCTGTAAAGTAGACATATGCTGCTTTGTACTTGGGTTTGAGCTTGAAGTCATTGATGAACGCATCAACACACTGTCAGGAAAGAAATTGTGATTCCTTTTAAATAAGCACAGAAAATCCAGTAAACAAAACATAGTGTTTTCAAATGGTAAACACAAAACAGTGAGAACAGACTACTATGTGCATGAATCAACACAATAATACAGGACTTCTGACCTTTGCAGTAGGGGACATGAAATAGACAGCCTTCATCTCTAGGACTGGCTCCCTGCTTTTGAACAGGTCCTCCACAACTGTAAAACAGGACAAAACAGAAAGTCAAGTAACTGTTGATCATCATTAACTTTGGCACAATAAGTGGTTATATCAAAAATCGTAATAATTTAGCCCTTTCTTCAAGAGCTACAAGATTTTTTTTTAATTCCTTCATCGTTATTTAACCATTCCAACTATTGTACAATCATTCCAACCTTCAAACATACAACGCAATAAAACAAATTGCACTTAATTATAGCCTTTGAATGCCATTTGTAAAGATCATAACATGCTGTCTACAGGTGGGCAATATTACTAGATTTTATTATCATCATGATAAATTGTGTTACAAGCAATATGCATATTGTGGATATTGAACACAGCGTGGATATTGAACATGCTTAAAAAACAATGACTGTTTTGTTAAAATAAGAGCATAATTAGTCATGTTTATTTGGATTTAGTGCAGTGCAGCATGTGAAATGTTGAATAAAAGCACCTATACTCAGAGTTTTTGATGGCAGTTTTAAACGTGGCACTACTTGGTGCAGTGTGTCTGTGTGTCAAAATATCATAAAAACATCTTTAAGGACTGTTATATGATATTATGGCCATATTACCCACCCTAATGCCGTCTAAGCAGAACACAGTTATCATTATAAATTATTACTTAATATCGGAAGGTAGCCCAGTTGGTAATTGTATGGTAATTTTATTAGCATCGGGCAAAGTGCGAGCTTTGGAGTAAGGCTCTGTAATACTCACAATATTTTAATCACAATAACACTGCAATCAATATCAATAAAACTGTGATAATTAAGCAGGCAATAATAATTTGTCTAAACTGACATCATCGTCCTCGTCAAAACCATCACTGATTCATTAACACTTATTTTTTGTCTTATTCCTACATAAAAACAATGACACTAGAGCCAGAGATGGGTCTGCATGTGCCACTCAAACTTTATTGGGCACTGGGGTCACAGCAATGTACTTTTTGTATTTTTGCTTGATGCTGCACACCTAACACAGCTCCTCAGCGTATCCTCAAGGTGGATCAGATGTGGTGGACAAAGAAAAATACATGACTGAAGCGAGACATGTCTCTCCAAGACTGATTTTTAAATGTTAAAGAAGCCAAAGCAGTCAAAATATCTAGTGTGTGTAACTTTCAAGGCAGGTGTCACAAACCCTGATCCTAAAGACCTGCTCCAGCCTGTTAACTTCTTCAGAAGTCCTTGATTTGCTGGATCAGATACATCATGTTAGGTAAGGGGATGGGCAGCATGTTAGATGCAGGTTAGAACGAAACTCTGCAAAAAAGTAGATCTCCAGGAAGAGGGTTGATGACCACTGCTTTAAGGTCTGCATTAACTGAAGGTGTTCTCTCCAATCAACAGACAAATGACTGCAAAAGATCATATATGTTTTATTCTTAAGGCCTGATGGGGACATGTAAAACTGTATCTCTGTAAAACTGCTCTGTGTATGGATGCAAAATATACCATTTATTAATCATTACCACACTAATAGCCTTTGCAGTACCGACATTTTGAAAGACAGCAATATGCAAATGAGGTTCTCAAAAGCCAAAAATAATGCAGACTGATCTTCAACCAAATCAAGTATTCTTTATAGCACATCGCAATCACACAGTGTAACAATACAACTGCAATATAGTATTATGTTCACATTATGCTATGTTCACATTGTGCAGCCCAACTAACACCAAACTTTTTTTGGGGTACTTACTCGTGATCCCTTCTGACATCAGGTCGGACATTTTGCAGCACAATGACAGGAGCCGTGTGGTGAAGCTGTCCAGTATCATTATCTGCAGAAACACCACGGGGGTCACACATACATATGCAAAGTAATCACAACTGCATTCATGTCACATACACAGACTGACTAACCTGGCCCTCAGGGGGACCGTGTTATGACATCTGTGGGATCTGGTTTAGATTAGACTTTTATCCGTATGTGGTAAATTTGTGCATTCAGTAATTCCCCTACAAAGGGTAACTTCCTCAATCACAAGTCCTATTAGTCTGAGGAGGATGAAGGCTATTCAAAACAAAAAGCACCAACCTTCCATACTTCTGATTTTCTGCAGTCTGCTATAATAGTGTCCTTTATTTCTGTGTGGTCAGACAAAAATGAAGAAATCAATCAATACAAATCACATGACAAAACGATGCAAAACGAAAAGAAACTGTTTTATAGCTAAGTGTCTACAAACAGTGCAAAACACAAAGATGTTGTCAAAGATGTCCTGAAAGCCACATGTAGGATTTTCTCCCATCATCACGTTCATTGTTAACTGTTTTAACCAATTTGAAGTTAAAACAGGATTCATTCCTTTGCATGCTCGTAGAAAACGCCAGAGGTCAGTAAGAAGAAGAACTCAAACTATCACAGTCCTGTGGGACTTTGGCCAGGTGACCCTGACCAACAGGAAGGGTGTTACTGACTTAGCCAGCTGGCTACCAAACAAATTAGGGAAAAAACAATTCACATATAACTTATCAGAACCAAACATGAAAATTTTATCTAACCTGTTTAGCCAGCTAACAGGCTTTACTGCGCTCAGTGAACGTTAAGTTGGCTGAAACAAACAACAAACTGGTTAACAGTGAAGCACTGGACAGCCCTGGTGTGGGTATCTATCTACAGCTAGCTAGCTGAACATAAGATGCGAAAGAGTCTGTAAACTACGAACGCTGAAGTCAACCTCTTACTAAAGTTTTCCTGTTCCACCTTAAGTGGTGCAGCAGTTACGTTACTTGCTGCACCGTTTAAGGTGGAGCGGAAAAATTCGAACAAGAAGCCGGCGAATAGGAAACCAACTTCAGGCTAACGGTTCAGTCTGAAGACTCCTTTCTGAGTAGAAAACCCATAAAAGTGCCCATTTTAAAAGTGAAGGGTTGAAACTGCGCTGTGTTAAATCTCAACAGGAAGGGTGGTTCACAAGAAAACAGCCAACTGTGGCTGACATTACAGCTCACAGCGGCGAACTCCGCCGAAGGGTTTCTTTCAGAGAGATGAAAACTCGTTAGTGTGACTTCAGCAGACGTGCCCGAGGCTTTAACATGCAGGACTGCGCTTTCGCGAAGTGTAAGAAAGGCTGAATGAACTTACTCTGCCACACTACTTTCTTCAGCCCGTGCTCCGCTCCAGCTGCCATCTTGACTCTTGTTTCTGTTTTTTCCGACGCGGCTCGTGCCAAGTACGTCACGACGTCATCAAGAACGTAAGTGAGGGCGTGCGCATGTGTAGAGTGAAATAAAAGACAGAAAGAAAGAAAGAAAGAAAGAAAGAAAGAATGGTGTTGCTTTTATTTTGTAATACGGGCTGTAAACACTGATGATGCTATAAATGTTTAGCACTCTTAGAGAAATATTACATTCATAAAACATGATAACAGATTTTTGTGTAGATCTTTTATGTAAATATAAGTCTTTTGTAAAAATTGAAAACAATAAAGCTGTGTTTACTTCTAGAATCCACCATCTCTCTGCTAATATTTGATATGTCCTTCCTGTTCTTATTTTATTTTACATGCTTTGCTTCAAATGCAACAATTTGTTATGGTGGGATAGTAAATAAAAAAGGAGCCTCATCCTTAAGTGCAAAGATTCAAAAAAAAAAAAAAAAAAAGAAAGAAAAATGGGATAAAAATTGTACTGAGCCCCATATTATGTTGTTAGATAAATGCTTAAAGAAGCCCTGATTTGTTTTTTTTTATTATTATTTGAAGCTGAGAAACATTTAGTACAAATTATTTCACCAACCTCAGTTTTCTCAGGGATGAAACTATAATTACAGCATCCATACCTGGATGGGAATTCCCCTTAGTCCCTCAGTTACCACTTGCCTGCAGGCACACAAATCCTTCACCTCTGATTGGTCAGCTCCTCCAAGTGGGCGGGTCCAGCTACAGGTATTTCAGCTAAGCACCAAGAAAAAAAAGCAAATGTACACTGAAGAATAACACAAGAGAGAAGAGAATACAAATAACGGCTTGGTAACCACGATTGCATATTTGGACTGAGGATAAGAGGATGGATCTTTGTGGCATTAAGCTGTGGATGTTCTTACTTGGAATTATTTCACAGGTAAGATGCAGGACAAGAGTTTGATTCATACAAAAACTATTAGGCTGTATTCATAAGTGTTAATGAATGTTGAGTTATGGATGTTCTCAATGACTTTTTTTCTTTTTTATTCACAGAATGCAGTTCAAGGTAATATCACTGCGGGAAAATGCTCCCTCTGCGACACAGTTCACGTTTGTATAGCACTGGATAACTTACAGTGGTTGTGTTATTTGCTGTAAACATTCTGTTTACTGATATAACAGACCACCAACCCATATACAGTGGTATGCAAATGTTTCAATACCCCTGGTCAAATGACACATTTTGATGAACACATCCTCCACAGGGAATAAGATTAGTGCACCATTTTTATTTATTGGCTGAGTTTAACAAATTGGAAAAAATAAAACAATATATAATTGATCATAACTTTTGAAAGGCCACATTTTTCCCATTATGTTAAATTCAGCAACAAACAGTCATTGTGTATTAAAATGTGCAGAAATGTGTTCCCTGTAAAGTACATCTTAACTTATTTTCACTCATCCACAAAATGTAATTTGAGCAGGGGTGCCCAAACTTTTGCATATTACTGTTACTGGCACCCCAGCTGAATTAACTCCAATGTTTTTTCCTTTTAATTTTTCTCCTCTTTAAATATGTGTCTGCTGTGCTATGCATTATCAGTCCGGTCATTTTTCCATTCCTGTGGTCATCTCCTCAGGAAGCACGCTGACCATCAGCATCTATACAGTCACCTCGAAAAGCGCCGTCCTCCGTTGGAGCAGCTTCTCCGGTTCATCTTCATACAGGGTCACCGCTTTTCTCCGAAACTCTGTAGAGCCATCCGTCTTCAGCAGCTTCAGCCAGAACACCCTCATAGGATCCATCAACTCCCTTTCCCCCAACACTGCCTACACCTTTCAGGTAGAGGCTCTGGACGGCTCCATGACCGTACTGGCTCAGAGTAGTGTGGACGGATTTACAGGTATGTATTACAAATGCTCTGAGACTATGAACAGAATGATAACGTATCAAAATTGCAAATGCTGTTCAGTCCTCTATACAGTCTATACAGTCCATCTATTGAAACTAAGCTTTGAATTCGTCATGGTTGTGATGTCACAACTGTGAATTTATTTAATTTGCATTCAGCCAAGGGCAGTGTAGCACACCCCATACATGGTAAAGTGATGCAGAGTGTTGTTAATGCAGACAGTCTGTAAAGGAGTAGAAGATGTGGGGAAATTATTAAACGTTGTGCTGTTCTTGGCTGTCAGTAAGCAAACAGATGATTACAGCTTTCCAAATCCGAATGGAGTTTAAATAGTAGCATTTTGTAACTAATGTGCTCCTCCGTGTGGTCTCCATTCAGCTCCTGATGTGCCAACCATCAAGACGGCCTCTTCCAAACAGAGCCAGAATATGACGGTGGAGTTTGTGGAAGTCCCTGGAGCTACCTCCTACGTTATTCGGGCCGAGACCAGCGATGGCTCCTTTTTCTCTGAGACGTCTGTGCTGGGCTCTCCTGGGACGGTCGTGGGCCTGCAGCCCTACACTGACTATACTCTCAGCGTCATCTCTGTCAACAATGCCGGCAGGAGCCAGCCGTCTGAGTTTGTCCAGGCAAAGACAGGTACCTTCCTGCTCTGTCCACAGTCCCTTAGCTTGCTAAATACATGCTAAGTAAGCTAACTAAGGAACATTTAACTGTTTTTCCAAAAACTGTGTAGTTAGGACAAATATCTACACATACACAATGTACACAATTATCTCCTTTGCTCAGATGCAATCAGAAAATAACTAGTTTTGTACTGGTGCTACAAAGGTAATGTAGCTAACAAGTAAGGAAAGTTTCAAGGCATCAATTAGCCCTGTGCTAACTGCATGCCTAAATCATTCCACACTTCCTTCAAACTGCATCAACTTGTCAAGTAATCCCAAATATGATTGTTTACACAGTTTCTGACGCTGTATAACTGTTGTCTATAAAAAGAAAGGTCTACTGTTTTAAGTTATGCAACACACTTTTGTTCATGTTTGTAGATAACAATTTGTCATACAGCGTCAGAAACAACCTGCGCAAGTATATCTGAGTTTACCCGAGTCAAGTGTGCAATGATCCTTCCTGCCCTGTCCACAGGAAAAAAAGCCCCCTCACTGAACCCACGACCAAAGAAATGGCCCATTCATGAGGACACACTATTGGCCATTCTCTAGCCCTCAGCCCTGGACAGTCACTTGATATCCTCACTGAGTTAAAAGTGGGAAAGATCAGGATATGGCTCATATTTGACCTCAGGGGCCTTTTTACATGACTGCTGTAATGGGTTCACTCCACCGGGGGCCAGCATGCGTCTTTAAGTAATGCTATCCAACCTTGCACTGTACACACACAATAAGAGAGGCTAAACCCCACAAACATGACAGCCCTCCTTAGGGAACAGGCCGGAGAAAACACAGATACTGTTTCATTATCATATTAACGGTGGAGTGCCATTTCTGAGAAGGTTGCTAGGAGGAAGTGATGATCTAAGAGCACACAATAGGTCATCCCAAATCTGGGCATGGAATGACCTATGAAATCATATCACTTACAAGAGGATCAAATATTGTTTACACCTACGGCAACAAAGCAAGTTGCGATGGGAAGGATTTTAGGTCAAGGGATGGGCAATTGGAAGCCTTTAGGGCCGCAACACAGAACTCGTTGGTGTTTTCATACCACACCTGGTAATCATCATTTTATTGCCCTTGATAAGATTAATCGGGGGTGTTAAAGCAGAGAAGTGTTAATGGTAACATTTTACTATTGTGCAGTGTATATAATGTGACATCTACAGAACCTGTTCATGACAACTGACATACATCTAAATAAACAATTAGCCACACTTATTCCAAGAAATGTCAATTATCAAAAAAGGTTGCATTCGCCAGTTTTGAAGGCAAGCTGACATAACATCTATGTAAGGTGACACTGATTTATTTCTGACATTACACTGTGTCATGACACTTTCTGGAGCGACACAGACATTGTAACTTAGTTTTTATCTGTGTAGGCCTGGCGCGCATTCAAGATAATTAATCTCTTAGGTACTAGATGGGATTGAGGTCAGGGCTCTATGCAGGAGTTCCTGGAAAACAGCCCCAGACCATTATCCCTCCTCTGCCAAACTTACTGTTGGTACTATGCATTCCAGTAGGTATCGTTCTTCTGGCATTCACCAAACCCAGATTCGTATTATGCTACCAGACAGTAAAGTGTTTCTTAAACTCCAGTGCCCAGTGGCGGCGAACCTTTATGTAGGTTTATATCAGTTGTCATGATGAGCTAATGTAGGTGTCATGGAGCTTTATGGACACTGCCATACAGTAAAGTGTTACCACATTCATTTGTGCACATTTGTAATTGCCTATCTAAGCAACAAGAAGCTACCTAGCTATTGCTTTTATGGGCCAGTTTCTTTGGTCTTGGAGTCACATCTTATACATACAGAGCTACTTCTGCACATGCAGAAGCTTTTCAGTCAATAATCTTAATTCACAGTGTAAAGTGCAATCCCAATTCACAACACAGTACACATTTGTCAGTTTTTATTAGGTATGTTGCATGTACATTTCACTGTTGTCGGGAGAAAACCTCTTATCTCCATTTTTTGTAGTTTTTAAATTTTTGACATTGTTTGAAAATGCTTGTTGCCCTTTACATTGTGTATAAATCTCATGATGAATGGACCAAAAGAAACAGCCCAAAATGACTTGGAAAAATGTTTGTTTCCATTGACTTGCATTAAAAGTAAAGTAGGTTTTTTCCTTCTCCTGTCAAGTTATCATTTTGGAGATACAAGGTTTTCTTCCAAAAACAGGGATTTGCATTTGCACTTACAATTCCTGTACTGTAACAAGTACCAATCACAGTCCTAGGAACACTACTAAGCGTAGGGTCCCCAAAACTTAAACTAAAAGTCAGTGCTGTAGCCTGTCTGTCGCTGGCTCCTGTAACTTCTCTCTGTGTTTCCTCTGTCTCTGTGTGGTCAGTTCTGGCCGCTCCTCAGATGACCAGCAGCTCCCCCAGCAACAGCAGCATTGCTGTACTCTGGGCTCCAGTGCCGCACGCTGTGCTTTACAGCCTGAGCATCATCCGTGAGGGCTCGTTTCTCCAGAGTCGCGTCAACACCACTAACACCAGCGTCACCATCGATAGCCTAGAGGCTGGAACCAACTACTGCATCAAAGGAAACGCCTGGAGCCCAGAAAGCGTCCCTGGAGACGACTTCACCGTCTGCCAGATCACACGTAAGAGCTGCACAGCAGTTACACAGACATGAAATAAAAGAAAAATCTGACTTACAGAATTTCCCCCTCAAATGTAGCCAATTTGCCAAGACACATTTGGCGTCTAAAGCTTGCTTCTTTAGTTTTGCGCTGGAACTATGAGGCTAATGTAATACACCAGTAATTAAGGCATTTACCTCACCAATTAGCACTGCGCAAACTGCGTGCATAAATCATCATACACTTGCCTTAACCAACATTATGCTGTTAAATCAAATAGATTTACTTATGTGGTTTCTGACACTGTATGATATACTGTTATCTATAAAAATGGAGTATGTTGCAGACCTAAAGACAGAATTTTTGTCCATTTTTATTACGAATTATCTAATACTCATTCTCAAAACCACCTCTAAAAACAATAATAGTTACATTTCACAATTAACCATTTTTTAAGTGTGCGTGTTACGTAGTTCAAATATATATCCAGTAAGCAGCAACAATGTACTAATAGTGAATACCGGTGACAGCACACATGAACTGGCATCAGGCATGTGGCCTTCCAAATGGTAGTCAGATAAGGATCACTCCATTATTGATACATCAAACTTATAATGCATCCATAGCATACCAACATTTTGCGATTGTCAGATGATTTAAAGTACTTTCACATGTGATTTGTCAGGTGTCTTTGCTCTTTTATCTTTAGTGTCTATGTGGAAAGCTGCGCAGTTTGTTGTGCAGAGTCAGCAGGACGTGGATGCCTGGCACTAATTTATTATGCGTTAAACTAAACCAGCTGTATTTACTTATTTTAACATTTTCCATATATACCGTTGAGACAAAAATTGATGAGCACTCACAGATGAGGTGAAAACTGTTGATTATCTCTTGACAAAAGCACATGTGAAGGTCTGGGATGTGTTAGTCGGTAAGCGAACAGACGTTCTTGTGGTCAACATGTTGGATGTGGGAGAAATAGGCTGACCTGAGTGACTTTGACAAGGGCCTTTGGCTTGTTATCCCCTGACGACAGGGGCACAGCATCTCTGAAAATAGAGAATGACTGAATCAGATGAGTGAAAGAGCCAACAGTTAGTTTATCAAACTGTTTTGATAGTAAGTGTAAAAGCAAATGTGGATAATTATGTCTACATAAATAAATCTGGAGCATGTGTAACCTGCATGTGTATGGACTGTGTCCTCAGTATATGTCTGTGTCCGCAGGTCCATCCACTCCTCAGTCGGTGGTGCTACAGACTGTCAGCGGTATGACCACGCTCTCTGTGTCGTGGGCCTCGGTGCATGGGGCAGATCAGTATACAGTGATCAGCTCATCTGGCCTAAACTGCACATCCAGCTCCAGTACCTGCACGCTGACCCCACTGAGCTGTGGACAGATCCAGTACATCTCTGTCACTGCCATGAACCAGGCTGGGCCTAGCCTACCGTCAGATCCACAACAATTCATCACATGTGAGTGACTGTGCCAGACAGGGGGTTAATACAGAGATACATACGGGAACAAAGATATTCCTGTGCTCACATTATTGTGTTCAGGTTATGTCAACTTTGACAATATTGGGACAAATCAGCAAAGAGAAGCCTCTATCAGACCAATATACATATACTCTGCTAGAATAACCACTGCTAAAGAGAGAGGCATAGTGATACAAAACCTTTAGAGATGTTTTTTAGCCTTTTTTGTTTCATAATTTAATTCCTCTGTGTAAACAAAGTGATTCAGTGAGGTTTGTTATGAAATTGACCATTTTAGAGAAACTTAATCAAGATAAAGTGGTGACAAGAACCAGGGGTCGCGATGTCTACAACAAAAAAATTAGGGTAAAATAGTGGAAAATCTGAAAAATTAAGTATTCTTTGGGGACGATTTTTGCCTTAGAACGCCCGACATGTACCCCTCCGCTCAGTGGATTTATAAAAAAAAAGGCCAAAAGCTTTTTTGTGAAGCTGTCACAAAAAGAAAAACAAATTGATTCAAGCAACTTATTCAGAGCTATTTTTGTAGTACATTTCTGTGAGCTTTTAGAGGCATTCAGCTCTTCATATGTCTGGTTCCTGCCACCCCCCACTGTGAACAATTCTGACTTGGTAAGTTTCTCTAGACTGGTGTATTTCACATCAAACCATTCTGAATTATGCTGAATATTTAAAAAAGTATTAGTTATTAGTATTAAAACATTAGTGTTAGAATTAAAAGTATTAGTAAACACCTGTTTTATGTTAACAAACCATTAGTATTTTTTCTTGCTTAGTTACAAAGTAGGAAAACAAAAGAAGGCAAGGTGTCTGTTGACTTTTGACAGACGATGTATGTCACATTTGGTACCACTGTGAAAACAGACCTATCTTTACCCTTATGAATCTATGATTATCTCTCTTTCTGTTCCTCCTTCCAGTCCCGTGTCCTCCACAGCCCCTCCGTGTGGATGAAATAGCGGCAGGTAACTGTTCAGTCATCTGGAGCGCAGTGTCCTACGTGGATTACTACACAGCCTTCATCAAGCGAGACGATGGTACAGAGGAGACGTGCAACTCCACTGGAACTTCCTGTAACTTCAACTGCCACTGTGGATACTCCTACATCATGAGTGTCTTTGCCAACAACCAGGCTGGATCCAGCCCACCTGGACCTGTCCTAAACCAGACCACCTGTAAGAACATGCACACAAAATCCACAAACATGCTGTATCATCTTTCAACACCTGAAAACATGATGCAAAGTTTTTAGAATTACTTGTCACATTAATCATTTTTGTTATTTCTATTCATTTAATATTGTAAACTTTTTGGGAAGAACAACAACTTATAAGATAAATTATAATCATAAATAATAGAGATGCACAGTTGCACAGAACCATACTGGATATCAGCAGATATCCCATATCAGAGCATGCCTAATAAATAACATACTGTAATTTTCTATTTGTAATCGGTATTTATCTGCCACAAGATTTGACCACCTCTTTTCAAATATGAGACATTCTAGGTAACGTTAATTTAAACTTTTTGATTATATCATGTTAGAATTAACTGCTGCTCTGTTCATCATTCTGGACATTTCTTATTTTGTACAGCTTTGTACCCCAGACTAAATGGGTCATGATGAGAATGTTGTAAGTGGTTTCACACAAATAAAATATATAACATCAACACAGTTGCTTTTATTTAGATTTGCTTGGCAAGAATTGTGTGGATGTAACACATTTTATTCGCGTGCAACTAGTTTCCATGTTTTAATCATGTATATTCAATGTGACGATTTTTTCAATGTGCTGATTATTTTAAATCTGTGAAATAGCATCATACTAGAATAATTTAATGCACTGTTACTGCCATAATAAAACCTCATATCTCAGTAACTCCAACATACATTAATATAATGAAATTTTATTTTTGACCATTTCTATTGGCCCCTTCGTTATTAAATGTTCATACAATATAAAGGACAGCCGTCATTTTCAAATGGCTTAAAAAATAAATAAGAAGACTAAAAGAGTGGAGCTGGGAGAGACAACACAGACAACAAATCAGATTTTTTATTACTGAAAATATTTTAAAGTACTTCGTGAGCTACACCATCTGTAAGTTTAACAATTTTATACTCGTCTTCAGTTTTCTCATTTGACATGCTGTATGAACACACATACACACACACACCATGCCCAGACACAAGCACCACACTCCTTCAGACCGGAGAATGAACATGAGCTGCCCGTACCATCACGCACTACGTTCTGACGCTTCTTCCTGTCCCCCTTCAGTGCCATGCTGTCCAGGAAACATGTCTGTGTCCAGTCTGTCCTGGGAGTCGGTGATGATCTCGTGGATGGCAGTGCGTGGGGCGGATGTGTATGAGACTCGGGCAGTTGATGCTGACGGAGAGTTGGTGTGTAACGACACATCACCTGTGTGTGTGCTGTCTGATCTCACTTGCAACACCAGATACAGCCTCCTGGTGGCAGCGTGTAATGACCCACGCGGCTGCAACAGAACCTGCAGCCCACAGACATACCAAACAGGTAACACACCCACATTTTTTCCCATATGTATTTCAGACATATAACTGATGGAGACTTATATACATAAGTTCTTTTTTAGTTTTAGAACTAGGGAGATTTTGTAAAACGTACAATACATAGCCAGGATCATCTTAACTTCACTGTTATGTCACTTGTTTAAGCAGGAATGTAAATCGGAAAAACGTCCTAGTACCAGGTAGTTAAACAGAGTTTAAAGGTGGTACAATTAACACTTGAAAAAATAGGAGTCTTTAATAGTATATTGTTGTCTGTTTGGAACGAAATCCTAATGTGTGTCCACGACTAAGTAAGGCATGATCTTGTTCCCATGCTTTACTAAGTCATGGCCACGACTTAATTATCGCATTCCCACGCCTTACTAAGTCGTGGCCACGCATTAGGATCTCATTCCCATCCGTTACTATGGCATGGCCACACATTTTTATTTATGCAAGATGTCACCAGCACACCATACTTCCCTCTATTTTGACTTCAATAATTATCTAGTACTTTGGAACCTTACACTAATCTGTTAATATTCAGAACTTAGGAAAAAAGGATTCCCTGTTTATTCATACAATTTCGCTCTCTTCTTCACTTTTTTCATTATTCTTCCTGCGATCTCTCTTTCTATTTCTCTCTCTTTAGCTCCCTGTATGCCTGAGATAGTGCAGGTAACCCAGAGTAACACCAGCTCCATCAACATCACCTGGACATCCGCTAACTCTGCTGCTAATTACACGGTCAGTGTGATCGGCTCAGTGGGTAACCCCCTCACCTGTCAGTCTGGCGGGACATCTTGTACCGTGACTGGACTGCCCTGTGGCACCTCCTATAGGATCAATGCCATCGCGTCCACTGCAGCTGGGCTCAGCATGCCCAGTTACAGCGTGCCTTTTGAGACAGGTACTCTTTCTGTGACAACACTGCCCATGTTGTGGTCAGAAATTTTGGCTTAAGAGAGGCAGTTTTCCTTTAGTGGTGACATGGCAAAAGTGGGTAGCCAAGGCTTCGGTGGAAATGTCACACAATATGCTTTGTAATCTGATACTCATACGAGAATCATTTGCGTACATGTGTCATATCAGTGAATAAGAAAATATTTTGGACTGAATGTAAACCAGCTCACCTTAAATGTTGAGATGAGCACAACCCAACATAAACTGAACTAAAATCAGAATTGAGATGTATTGAATCTTAATCATTAAGTGCTAGTTATTGTGTGAAACTACAACATTGAACTGTGTTTTACAGACGTAAGATGTGTGCTGTACTATTCACCAAGCATCTAAGAGTAGGAGTGCTCATCTATTAGTCAGAAAACAGGTAGAAATCTGAACCTAGCTTTATCAATGCACTGTGAATCTGGCTGTGCTTTCTCTCTTCTCTACACAGCTCCATGCTGTCCCAAAAACCTGAGTGTGCTTCAAGTGACACAAGCTATGAGTAACATCAGCTGGTCAGCGGCTCAGGGAGCTCAGTCCTTTATAGCATCTCTGACCTCTTCACGGGGTCATGCTCAGTGCCACACCACTCAGACTACATGTCTGATGGGCTGCATCACCTGTGGAACAAACTACACTGTCTCACTGGAGGCCATCAGCTCCTCTGGACACACAGCAGAGTGCACCTACCATGGATTCTCCACCAGTGAGTTATGATGCCTGATGATGACAATAATATTGTTTTTTTTATGCCAATGTAGAGAACCAACATCATATGTCTTAGTAAAGTGTTCGGCCACCCCAAGCTGCCCGAACAGCTTCAGTGCACCTTTGCATAGATCCCACACGTCTGTGGAACTGCACTGGATGGATGGAACACCATTCTTTCAAAAGATATTCCCTCAGATGATGTTTTAATGATGGTAGTGGAAAACACTGTCTCACACCTCAGGCCAAAATCTCCCACAGGTGTCTAAGAAGACCAGAGCAAATGATTTACACACTGGTGCAATCAGGCAACAAATGCAAGATGATGTTCTAAGTCAGGGTTTCTCAACCTGTGTGCTGCAAAGCACCCTTTAGTGGTCCGCGGGCCTTTACTCAGGGAGAAAAAGTAGTTCGTTGTAAATGAAGCTTCTGCCATCTGTGCCCAAAAATGAACCTTTTTCAAAGTCACTAATGTTTTTTTCTGTCCATGTAGATCCAAAATTGAGGTAAACTGGGCTTGCTTCCTTTTTACCGTTCTTTTTTTTACCAAAGACTTCTCTTGTATCCAGGTGAGTGCTGTCCCTCAGGGATTCGTCTTTTTAGACGTGCCAATAACACCCTCCGAGTGCAGTGGAGGTCCAGCAGCCCCCTCAGTAACTACACAGCCCAGGTTACAGGCAGCACAAGCAGCCGTGCTTGCAGCCCCCCGCAGCTGGGTCAGAACACCTGTGACGTCTCTGACGTCACCTGTGGTGATGTTTACTCAGTAGTGGTCGCTCCAGTTAACCCAGATGGAACTGTGGTCCAGTTCTGCTCCAGCAGGATGTACTCTGGTATGGTGCACTCACAGCTTTCTAAGTCAAAATGAGATCTTATTATTATGGTAGCTGTTATCATCATTATTATTTTTTCATTAAGGTAACTCCTACATTTTAATTTGTCATTTATCTTAATTCTTTAAAATGTCTTAAATTCTCTCATTGTATTTTGTAGATTCTTTTTCTTATATTTATTATTGTTTGAGTTAAAGTTAACTCCTGTGCTTTTATTTCTAATTATTTTTCAGTTTTCTGCTCTGGCAGTGGTGTTGGAATGGGTAAGAACATCTTAAACTGGCCTAAACAACAAAGTAATACAGTATACAGACATCTTTGCCACTTCATAGAAGGGAACATTTAGAGTTAGATCAACTAAAGCTTTCTTTAATTCATCGCCTCTAAAACCGACCAAAATAACTGGGTCATTTATGAGCCAGTCGCACATGATTATTTCAGATGATTTTTAAATGTCTTCAGGCCTGTTTACAAAGAGCATGACAAGCTGCTGACACAGTCGACTATTTTATACTGAATATTAAATAAAAGAATGTATTCTGCATCGCAGCTGCAGAGGGACTATAATAGTCAAGGTACATTATATGTCTGGTTTCAGTAAGCCCTCTTTTTTTTCCAGTTCTCTATCGAGGGAGGAGGAGTGTGGATTAGCAAAAGGTATGTATGGGACACAACAGCACAACAAAAAAGCCAACAATATAGAGTCATTTCAATCCATTTGCTTTTTAAACACTGAACAATTCAATCTCAAATGATATATGATGCACCCCACTGCCTGAAAAGATTTAATAAATAGTGCTTTTGTACGCCAGTGTATCTGATCACATCTGCATTCACACAAAAGAGGTTAAGTGCCTTTGTGAACAGGGCAATAAACTGAGTCAAGTTTCTGGAATGGAAAGATGCATGCAGCATTTCTCTATGAAAAAACAGCAGAAAAAGAACTGCTGTTCACACAGCATAGTCCTATCTGTTCTTTCATCAACTCTCTACTGTATGAGTAACCTTATGTTAGATGGAATTTAAGCTGAAAGCCAACACTGTGCTTACCAACAAAAATAACTGAGTCATTTCTGATATACAGTACCAGTCAAAAGCTTGGAAACACCTGCTTGTTTTTCCTATTCAAAATTGCATAATAAACAATTAAATTTGCAGTTAAGATATATATAAACAGTGACATTGTTATGTTTATATATAGTTCGTCATAACAAAATGCTCATCCATGAATAAACAGTTTTATTGGGAACTTAGTCACCCCAATCATTATATTACCCTAATTACTGTATGTGCCTCAACAAAAGATAATTAGTGGAATTGGTCTATAGCTCTATTAGGTAGGAGACTGATATTTCTCACTATAGTAATTCCATACATGTTATTTTATAGTTTTAACATTTATATATTGTAAAATGTGAAAATAAGTAAAATGTGGAAAACTTCTATAAATTTTTCTGAATGTCCAACTTTTGATCCTGGCTCTGTAGTTGATGACTGACGGACTAACAGAACAATTGTCCCAGCAGATGCCATCTTGTGGATGAACACCAGTACTGCATATGTAGAACAGATCTGGTAACATGATGCTGACTTTTTACTTGACTTCGCCATCTTATCTTTTTCTTCCACACAGCTTCAAGTGAAATCTGTCAAAAGAGCACGACTACACTCTTCTGCATAACATCCGAAAACCCAGGAAGCAATTATTGGTGAAAATTCTTAAAACAACACAGTATAACACAATGTCTTCTTATCATGTTGAAGCAATTATTATCTATATAAGTATCGATACCAAAATTGTAGACTATAGCCTAACAGCTTATTTAAAGCTGTGTAACCATGAAAGCCAACAAAATGAGAACATTAATAAAATGTTTATGAATTAATTATGACAAGGAAACTTAAGGCGAGACACTACAGGTGTATAGGGTTATTTTTTAAAACAACAAATATCACAATGAATCGTTGCAGGTTGATTACTGATATTCTTACAAGTATATTTGGTATTGGAAGTTTTGCAAAGAAATACATTTAAATATGCATGTTATCTTCTTAAATAAATTGGTTTCATTGTGAAGACACTCCAAAGAAAAGATTTTACAGAACAGCTCAGTGAAATCTCACTGTTTTATTGTTTAATTAGAAAACACTATGAACTATTATCCTAAAACATCTTTCAAATAATTTTTGTAGTACAAAATCTAGCAAAAATCCAGCTATGAGAAATGTATTTGGCAATCTTTCTGTAATATCTTTCAGAATAGAAATGAACACATACAATTTCATGAATGTATATATTCCAGAAGCTGAGATTTTTGTTTCTGAATGAGCTGATTTTGAGAAAAATTATATTAAGAATGGGCCTCAGAACTACATTACCCAGTGAAGTGTTAGAAAACATGCACCATTTATGTGAATATTGTCAATACTACAAAGGATAAAGACATATTCGCATAATTTGTTCAGATTCTATAGGAAACAAATTTTGCAATGATATATGACACATGGTTATGTCAAGTACGGCAGAGTTAAATTTTGGGAAAATCCAGCCAGACACAGTCAGGATGTGGACTGACTGAACACGCTGAAATAAATATCATTTTTATGATTACAATTTAAGAAAAGACATAGATGCAATATATCCGAAAATCTGAGGAATGATTGACGGAACCATAACCATAATTTCTACCTGTAGTGTCTGGCCTTCAGGCAATGTATTTATTTTAAATCCTGTGTGAGATATCCTGTTGTTTAAAGTGTAATATGACTGTTTGCTGGGCCGCACAAACTTAGTCTTAAATTCCTTTTTATTTTAGCCTTTCGATTGGCAACGTACATGTTTAACATAAATAGCCACGGCTTGAGAAGGTGTGTTTATTGAACATAAAACACATCGTTCAGGGGTCCCAAAATATTCTCAGGGAGAATGACCAAAGGCCTTTTTACACATGCACTCTGGGATACTCTGTTTTTCCCGTTATTGTGTTAATTTGATTTGTTATCTTTGTAACAATGCCATGACCTATTCAAGACAAAGTACTCCTCCAATGTAGTACGTAATACAGTGGAAATTAGTTTTCTTACCCAACCCATGTAAGTTCCAGACGTTTATAATTTCACACAAAAGGTTAAAAGATCACACTAATATTTTGGCAATCGGCAAAAAAATATGTCAGCCATGTTGCATGTTCTTGTATTAGAAATTATTTTGAGGTTTAAATTTAAATCAAATTAAAGATTCAAGACATACAGACTCTCCCTATGTTTTGCGCCTCCAAGGGAAGTATGGGAATCCAGTTGTTTAATTGAATAACATAATTTGTATGATTTCCTTTGGATGTAATATAAGACACAATGTTAAATATATATATAGGGTTCATTATCATTATTACTAGCCAAAGATTAAATAAACTCCCTGCATTATTGAGGTGTGTCTGTTTTGTTTCTCTTCCAGAGGAAAATTTTATTTTTACTTAATTTTGATTAAAAATATATTATATGGAACTTTATATGAGTCTTTGCATCTTTCAAGGAACCAGTTCACAAAAATGTGTAACTGACCTGTGAAACTTTAAAGTAGATCTTAGTTTACTGACAGAAGATTACAGCATTAAATGTGACATGATTACATTTTATCTTAAAACTTGCCCAAAAATTAAAACTGATGTTGCTTAAGAGGAAACTATGAAACCATGCATAGTGACATGGAGTAAATGGTTATATGGTTCAAAGGCTGGAAAAATGCCTGTTTTCATTAAAGGGACCAAAGTAAGTTTTCCTCACTGTTTTAAATAGAGTTATCATCACTACCCAGCCCATACGGGGCATGTATAGAAACTAAACTCCAAAGCAGTCTCATTTATAATTAACTATTTTTGTACTGTCACCAAATTCAAACACACCTAACAAAAGACTGTTTACATATATCAGTCTTAAAAGCACAGTAACAAAAACAGCATGTTTTATTTTGAGGAGCTTCAGAAAAAAGTAAACTACAAAAAGATATGGGCCGTTTCAAGGTTTGGGTGCCTGTGCGTGTTAGTTCATTTCTGAATCTGATGTTTCAATATTATACATAGCCTGTAAATAAACAGCAACAACCAAAATACAAACTTACATTAAAATAGTATGTTGTGTTCCTTAAAAAGTATTCTGAGGCTTTCTATCATATCAGATCCACATGTATATATATGTCAACATTAAATGCCAGTAATAAAAATGGAATGAAAGGTACAACCAGAGAACTTGTAGAGAGGAGAATTACCACTCCGTAATGTCTTCTGGGTTTTTCAAATGCTAGGTAGTTTGACCAGAGGAGGATGGGTCCCCCTTTGTGAGCCTTGGTTCCTCCCAAGGTTTCTTCCCCAGCTCTGAGGGAGCTTTTCCTTGCCACTGTCGCCACTGGCTTGCTCACCTGGAGGATTTACATTTCATGTTAAAACTTTGTCCTTAATGGATTTCTGTGAAGCTGCTTTGTGACAATATCAGTTGTAAAAAGCGCTATACAAATAAATTTGACTTGACTAGAGGGCGCTCCCGAGCAAGTCCAAAATGAATGGGTTAATATGGAGCATTTGAGCAAAATCATAGTTTATAAATGTTTAAACATTTTCAATGTAAAAGAATACAATCATTTCCTGAACACAAGTTATAGACTCGAGTTATAGGAGTTTAAGACGGCACCTTATGTACATCCATGACATCTATGAGCGCAAACAGCCAATGAGCAGCTCCACTTGCCAACCAGTAAGCACTCACTAGCAGTAATGTCTGCCTTCTGCTGCCCAAAACCCGTTTGCTGTAAAAAAAAAGGAAACATACAGGTACGTTTTCTTTGCTTTTTTAGTGGAACACATCCTTCTACTTTCTAAAATTAAAGAAACATTCTGGGCAAGTGATGAGAAACTATTGTAACTTTTCGTTTTTTGCAGTTGAGCTTTTCCTCCTATTCATTGAGGACTTGCTCGAGGGCGCCCTCTACTGTTTAGCAGTCCTGTTTTTGATATAAGGAAGGAAATAGGAAGTGGCCAGGCTCCTCATAAACCGGCTCTGGTACAACCACAAGCTGGTGCTTAACATAGTGAATATATAACATAACATATCCTGTTTGAACTTTGCACATTCTTTGCCCACAGGAAATGTAACATTAAACAGAAAAGTGAAGAGCGTATGGAAAGAAAAAACTCCCACAACAGAAAACCTCCTAAAACTTTTCAAATTACATTGTCTTCAAGAACACCATGAACACTACACACAAAGGTGATGTCTCATGTTATTGGAGCCCCCCCAAGTATCGTACCTGTACCTGCACTACTTGTTTTGGTAACAAATGACAAAGTAAACCTTAAAGAAGTTGAGAGACTTGGAGGGTGGGTGGGGTTGGGGGCAACAAAAGATTGTCATGTTTACTAATCTTTCCTTTGTAGACTATAAAATTTGGTTGAGTGTTCTTTTTTAGTATAGTCTACTCTACCCACCTCCACTAGATGACAAGACAAAAGTAATACTTAAATTTAGCAGGACTAGTGGCAGAAGCAATGAGTCTACGAGTCTAACTAATAGAGAAGCAATTTGGTTTTCATTATGAAGTCTACAAACTTAAGCACAGAGAGAGTTTACCACTTAGCTATGGTCTGTGATACAATCTAAAACTCTAATAATAATAAATATATAATAAATATATGTTATATCACATTAATCATCAACATTCTACTTATTTAGTCTCACCAAGTTTCAAAAAGGAAGACAAATAAGTTGTAGCCTATACAGCTGAAATGATTAAGTATTTGGGTTTCCTCAAGGTAAATCCCAATGACTGCAAAAGTCTGAACATTGGTCACTTAAAGATAACCCCAAACAGACACATACACACACACACATCTTCTAAGCCGCTTATCCTTCTGGGTCGGGGGGGTGCCATTAAACAGTCATTAATATAATCATATGCAAACAAACATGCTAAATGATCAATATCTGTGTCAATGTTGGAACTGGCTGCTTATTAACTTCATTAACATTAGTTTTTATATAAACTTTTTCACCTGCCTAAGCAATAGAAAACACACACACACACACACACCCACATCCATACATACACACACAGTATTTAAAACTTTTTTTTAAAGATGATAGAATATGATGTCCAGTATAATCTACTGTATGATTTATTTTAAAAGGAGCTACGCTGCATGTATATTCAAGTCCATTAAGACGCTGTGTTGGTTAACATGTTGGTTAATTAAGAACAGTGAAGTGTTTGATTCATTTTCATGTTAAAATATCTCCCTATGCTCACACTTTGCCTCTGACACTCAAAAAAATCTATTGGGCTTCCTTTTCGTCAATGCCAAGGCTAGAATTGCACTTTATCTAACAGTACCAACCAGGCGCTGGACAATAGAGCTCAATACCAGACTCTCGTAGTTACACATACGAAGGTGTCATGAAGACACAGCACTACACCCTTAGATGTGAAAGTGGTTTATAGGCTTAACAAAGTAAACAGTAATATTTACTTTGTTAATCTGCAAGATCTACTAAAAGTAAATCTGCTTGATCTACTAAACTAGTTAACTAGCTATTGCTAACAAACTAGGCTAAAACAGTCCTTTTATGCCAAGGGAACTACAGAAGGAGGTAGATAACAAGCTTACATTATCACAGGTAGCCTGCTAAGTTTATCTCACTTTTATCTTACTATCTCACTCTTTGGCATTTTTCACAAATTTTTCCACAATTTAGTCCTGTCCTGTTCCACTTATTAGCTAGGTATCTCCCAATCACACAGTGCTACCAGTGCTCAGAGAGTGAAGGCTAGCACATGCTTCCTCTCAGCCATGTAAAGCCGCATCTTTTTGAACTACCTCTAACAACATCAGTGGACAGCTCAATGTGCTTGGAGGAGAACGCTAACTGCCAATTCTGTTGCATAAGCTAACAGATGCTTACACTAGCTAACATCACACTGAGTGATTCTGGGAGAGAGAGGGCTATCCTGCCCACCCAGAGAGAGCAAGGCCAGTTGTGCTCTCTTGGACTCCTGGCCATGGATGGCTGTGGGATCTAAAGTTAAACTGTGACCCCCTGACAATTTATCTCACTTTTAAACATCCTTGACAGCCTTGAACACTAGAAAAGTGGCACTAGATCAGTCTTCTACAATACAATTCCGTTACATGAAAGATGCTGACTCTACACAGACTGCATTTCCTATCAGTGGCCATGTTTACATGCAATGATTTTTTTGCCAATCCGATTGAATACATTCCCATTACAGATTAAGACTGAGGTGTTTATATGTTCACTCTACTCAACAAGCTGATGGAAAATCTTCATTTACATGCGCACTACAAGTAATCCGATCCAAAATGACATGGATGCGTGGAGTACCACTTAGAGTAAACGTTACCATGACAGTGAACATCACGTGCGGTGCAATAAGAGTGAGGTGAGTTTTCAGTTGGCATGCTTGTGTTTTTAATTGCTTTAAAATGATGTGACTCAGAAAAATGGCAAGAGGAAGACGATGTGTTCTGAGACACATAAGCTGGACGCCCTTCACACCGCCGTTTATTAAAGTTCAAAGCGTAAACTTCGTCTCCTCTGCAGACCGGTTTCTACTCCCACCATGTTGAATATTCTAAACCTTCACTATGACGTGACGCACATGCGCAGAACGGATTTACACGTTCCGATTTGAAATGTAATGGGATGCAAGCGTTTACATGGTTATTATTCTTCTAATTAACTGATTATTTACAAGATTACCCACCTCATTCAATTGGATAGAAGCTGTATTCCGAATGGCCTCAATCGGACTAGTCAATTCTGATTGAGGTGTATACATTGACATACTCTATTCCGATTAAGCTATTAGTCGGATTATTAACGGATTATTAGGCTGCATGTAAATGTGGCTAATGTGTGCACAGATGTGAAGAAGTGACAAAAATATGTATTTTATTTAAATGTCCTCTCTCTCTTTTTAAGCCACATATGTTTAAACACGATAACATTTAAACATATACATTTATGTTGTTAAAAGACAAAGTCTTGATGTGTTGAGAGGGAATTATTTGGGGGCAAAATTCATCCTATTCAAACATTAAAAGGGACATGCCCCCCCACCTCACCTCCCCAACAAATCTGCCTGTGACTCCAAAGGTAACTGAACTACTTGAGAAATTGAAAGATCAGAATTGTATGAATGCAGGCGCTTCAGAATTAACATAAAAATTAACATAAAAATGTTGCATTCCTGTTATTGATGTTTTATAGTCCTATGCTAAAGAATTTATTTATATTGTGTTGTTTCTTCCAGGACGACTGTGTCACCATTATATCAGATGATGCATAATTGTAAAGCATTGTCTACAGCTGATACTCTCTGGATACCTTTTTACTATCTTGAAGTTTTCATAAATCATCTCAGAACTGTCATATTTGTGATGATTCAAGTCAGCTCTTTTTTCTCTTCTAATACACAATGCATAGCAAAGGCTAAGTGGGCCAGTGTGAAAAAGGAAGTTGCACAGTGTAAAGTGTATCCTATTCACCTCTCATAAAGCTCTCGTGTCGGGTAAAGGATATCAGCTCCATTATCCTAAATAAACTTCATCTGAATGAGAGCCTATATGCAGCCTTTTGTATGGGATGTATCACATCTCATCTGCAAGCACACAGGGGTGTTGAAGATCTTTTGTAGACAAGATGATAAACTTAAGCACGTTTTCTAGACACACACACTGCCTGAATGGCTGGAAGAAGAAAAGTGTACACGTGGAGTCAAAGAGTTTCTCTAATCGTTCTCTTGACCTCATTTTTTCATAAAACGTAACCTCCACAAATCAGTTATTCTAGTCCTACTGTGCTGCTTACTGTGAATACGATTGTGAAGTCCAGTCCATGTTAAAGTTCTTCAGACAAATTTAAAGTCTAACCATTTAATCCAGATTTGAAAAATGTCCAAAACGGTGTTTCAGAATTTAAAAACTAGCTTGCCAATACTCTCTTCAGCTTCTTTTTAGAGTCTCTTTTGCCATCTTTTGAGGAAACTTTGAAACAAAAAAATTAAGAGTAACTTATATCTGATAGAGTCAAACCAAGCACATATTTACATTGTGTTGTCATAATATTTCAATGCTGACGTCAGACTGTTGATAATTTTACATCCGAAAACAGAGACATACTATATGTAGTTTTATTCACGGCAGTTCTGATTTCTGTATTGTTAAGAGTTCAGTTCCACTGTTTTATGAGATCGCTATTTTGCAGGATAGGCTACTTTGTGATCTTTTGTTCTCAGATAAAATAATATTTAACAAATCTATATGTACGTTTTAAATATACAATCAGAGCTCTGTAGAATCGATACATTTTAACACATAAATGATCTAGAATCATAATGATACTAAATATATGCCTGTTGTAAGTCTAAATAGTCTGATGACACTGAAACTTTGCTTACACTAACTATAACATGTTTAGGAAGACGTAAAAATAGCATCACATGTTTATCTCTGGTAATTTGAGGTGTCCCAGCGGAGCATCTTTGTTTCATGATTTCCCGTCCCATCTCTGTTCTGCTTTCCCATAATGCTTATGGGAGAATTGTGAACAGATCTAGTTACACAAAAGGTCAACACAGTTCTCAAAAATTGCATCGGAAGAACACAACAACACATGCACTTTAAATTAAATTGTATTGATTATTCAAGAGATAATTTAGCCAAAATGCAGAGGAAATGGGGGGGAAAATTTACATTATCAATTTACTCTCATACAACAAAGTAGGTGCTTCACTATGCCTGTAACACCCACATTCAAACTCATCTCCAGCAAAAAAATCTTTACTAACAACTCCAGTGAACAACATTGTATGAAATCTGACTAAACATCATTTTTGAGGCAATACACTTGTAAATCATTACAGAACAATGCAGTAAATTGTAAATGGTTTAAATGAGCATAAAGTTTATTATGTAAAAGTGCTCAATATGAACCTCCTCCAGCTGTACGAACAACATCAAAGCTATAGTCAAATTCATCCCATCCAATCCAATGTCAAAAACTAATCTGAAAAACTGTCTGTGCGAATAAATCTCAGGCCATCATACAGACGAAATTTCAGTACATTTTTGGAGATTGGATTTGGCCCCATCATTTGATCAGGAGAGAAAATAGAAGAGCAGGGATGCATCTTACCTAAAGGGACTCCTTCTCCCATGTTACTCTGCAATAAAAAATAATAATATACTACTGCTATATAAGGCTACTCTGGTATTATATGTCATTATGCAGTCAGCGTACTCGCATCAGTTTTAAATGTTTTATTACATAACACTGTTTCCGACAACCAAAGTGCCGATAAGGTGAATCAGCCTACCACAATTACAGAGTCACTGTAGCAGAAATGCTTCATGCTTGCCCTAAATTACTCAGCCTTTATTCACTATGCATAAAATTGCCCTTTGTTTAAGCGGCAGATTGAGTTTCCATATCCACTTTCATGCTCACTTCCTTTCTCTCTTATGCACTGTTGCTAGGAGAACGATAGTCTTTTATACTGAAACAATGAAAGAGTCTCTTCAGATAAACCATCAGTTGCTAAAGGGCAAAATATAGGTTTATATTCTGTGACACAGGAAGGGCAAAAGATATAGTATGAATAAATCAAAAATCCATCCGCTAGTTGACACATAAACTCACCAAGTTAACGGAGTTTCACTCCTTGGTGTGACATACTTGAGTATCCATTTGCGCTTGGTCTGCTAGCTGGCCCAGATTCTGGAAGCTTCACCATCACCTCTCACGCAGCATGGGCTCTTCCAAATCTTTTACTGTGTCTTTTCTGCTTTTATTAACTAAAATAATACAAAAGGACAAGAAAGAAGAAACAGAGAAAGAACATGGATTATTATTCAACTATTCCAGGTCTTCAAATACTTTTTCAGCTAAAACGATGGTGTTAAATGGACTCTACTAGTGTTAGAGAAACAACTCCATAGCTAGTCCACTCATATTGGGCTGAGTTCAGAGGACAGCGTAATCCCACTACACTGCCTTCGTAAATATAAAGTACATTTATAACCATTATGTTTTTTGTCGTTCCTCTTTCATAAATCTCATAGCATCTTAGGTTCCCAGCATACCTCTGGGATAAGAAGGCAGACACTAACCACTGGGATGTTTTACATAACAGTGTTTGTGGGTTAGGTCAAACCCAAGCCTTCATAAAAATCACTTGACGCCGCAATCTGTCCATCAAATCAGTGCATTATTCTAGGCTCTCCTTTGTAGTCTGTGACCTCCATAGATGCAACTCCAACTAGATGTGGTTCACAACATCTGTGTTAGCTCAGTGCAAAAAACAAGGGTGCTCAACTAGTGCAAAGGCTACAGACCTGCACAGTTTAGTCTTATATCTGCTTCAAGCTAAATTATCAAACAAAAAAATGTGTGTAGGTTGACAGACATTAAGAAATAGAGTTAGTCCAAAATGCCAATGCTGAATAAAATCCCAGTCACCAATTAGCATTATATCAGTTACATCATGCTAAGTGGTGGCTACTATCTCCAATTTATGATTACTTCTGCACCTTAGCATGCTCAGTCAAGCTATTCCTTAACCATGGCCTTACCAATCCTTCATAATCCAATACATATCTGATTTCTGTCATATGACTTGTAGCTTTTTGAACATATTTTTTTTTTGTAACACTATAAAAAGACTGCCATGTAGTAGTAGTGTTGGGGCAAGTTGAACAAGGGAAAATGGTCAACATAAGTAGTACTTGACTTAAACCTAAATCCCTCCAGTAATAGGTCAAAATCCTCGGCTGCCTAATGTGGAACAGCATCTGTTACCCTACTGCTCCACTATGAGACCCCACCTACCAAGACAGGTAAAAATAGATGATGCACCAAGAAAGTAAACGCTCACAATATCACATTCCATTGTGTAAAGCCTGTAGGCAGCAATGACCAAGCATTACCAAGTAATTTATGGCCACAGAAGCAACCTCGCACAGTCATTGTCTTAACTTGGGAATTATTTAAAAAAAAATACTGCTACATTATTAGCTTTGCATTTGTGAAATTGAGATATTCTGCTGATATATGTACTGGCAAGATACTATTTGAAAAATAGACCCAGTCCATTTACATTAATTGTGTTTTATAACACCACTTTAAATATTTATATGAATAATATTTTATAATGATGCGTTAGCCACAACCTAAGGTCAGCACTGAGCTACCATATGCTTACAAGGAGTGTGCTTTTCCTCCCTGTGGAGGGCAGATCAGGTTTTTTGGCTTGAACACTAACAATAGAATTTATGCAACCAATCAAACAATACTTTGTTACGTATGTTAGCTTAAACACTTCCAAACCTCTCTCTAAAGTCCCAGTATTATTTGTAAAAATAATCCAATGCCTACTTTATCTAAACAATCTTTAATTTAATTAATTCAGATGGAGTGCACTGAGATGTCAGGAACCAAATCATAACTGTTCTTCTAAATGCATTTTTTCTAACCTAGATATCCATTACGTCTTGTTAATACTTTGTATTAATTTTACAGGCAATTGCATTTTATTTAACAGGCAAAACACACTTGTTGCATGATGAAGATTTTTAGGTGATAAAAAATAATGTCACCACTAATTCTTAACACTATGGATAGAATGACGATAACCATTGGGTACAGTATTTACTAGCATTCATGGACAAATACAGACACATGCTGTGTAATAAGTAAGGCACCACTGGATGATTTGGCATTTTTTTCCCTGCCGCCCTCCCTCCCTTCCTTCCTCGATCTTTGCACTGGTGTCTCCGTCTATCTTCCCATGATTTTTTTCTGTGCCCCAGGGCATCTTTGGAAGGGATGGCCCCGTTTAAGCCGTACTGATTGGTTCTCATGCCCCAGGTGTAACTAGTCTGCCTCAAAAGAATCCAGAACACCTTTTGTATTTAACTCCCTTGTATGCAGCTAATTGAAATCCTGCAGTCATTGTCAAAGATGGGATCATTGCGAGCAGGCCTATTAGGATTTTTCATATGGATTTCTCTGGCACAGGTGACTATGATCCTCAACACACTCTAAAAGTCCTAAGGCTAGGATTGCTGAAAGAAATATGGGAATTAAATATTGATACACTGATAAATGTTAAGTTGAGTAACATATTTTATTTCTGTCTTTTGTAGATAAAAACCACTCAGGCACAAGGTAGGTCAGCGGCTCAAGCAGCAACTGGTAAAGGCATTTTATGCACTCAGACTAGTTCTGATTTCAAGATGTGACGAATCACTACCGAACTAAGATTTTTAGCCTGTCTTAAAGGTGGGCAATATGGCAAAAATCTAATATCACAATGCTTCAAGAAATTTTCACAGTACACAATATGTCACAATATTTATTACATCTGATCAGTTGGATTAAAGGATAAAGAACTAGCAGTGCTACGTTTTAAAAATAATATCAAAAACTGTGAACGCAATGATTTTTTCAAGTAGCTATACTGTACTGTATTTTGACATAATTAATCACAATAACGGTGTATATTGTTATATTGCCCAGCCCTAGTCTGTCTGATTCATTGATTTTGATATATATGGCTGATCTTAGCTGGGATGTCAGCCACAGAGCACAGGTTTCAACCTGCTGCACACCGAGGACTCAAGTTTAACTGTTATCTAATAGAAATAATGCAACACGGATACGCTCAGTTTAAAATGTACGCATTATTCATATTACTATTAACCATATTTTATATTAACCATTATTCATATTACTATTAACTAACGCTAAATTATTAACCTTGGAGGGACACACCAGTTCCCATTAACACTTAGTGATAGTTTCATTCCCCAACCTAGCTATAAATCCCACATTAATACTGTGTGAATAATAAAAATTGACTGACCAGAACAGTAAATATGGAACCACTTCTCCTCTGCGCACATTTTCGGACTTCAAATTTCGCTAAATGTCAGTGTTTTGGCATTAAAGAAGAATGAAAATACTCAAGTAAAAGCTCTAAAGGGTTTCTCTACACAGGCCCATCATAATTTTGCGGTTTAGTTCTGACCAATCCCTCAGAAAGCGAAGTTGAAGAAGTTATCTGGCTATGCTAATTTACCTTACTAACCCTGAGAGCCGTTACGCTGCCGTTATGATTCGCCACTTTTAAATTTGATTTTCTCGCGCGATCTCTTTTTGACTCGTGAATGAATCGGTCCTTTTGAAATGGCTCTTTTCAATTCACAAGTCCAGCTCAATTAAACATGTCGCGTATACACGGTGTTACAGGGAAATTCCACCATTTTTCAGAGGTTCTGAATAATTCAGTCCCTGCGATGTAAACAGGCTGGTTTGGTGTGAAATGGTTCATTGTAGTGAAACTTACAGCCTGATATCTTTACAATGGTGGTGATGGGAAACATATGTTCCCTACCATATGTCTACACAAATATAGCCATTTTATTTACCATCCAACACCACCAGTGAACCAATACGTACCTTCTGAGGTTTTTATATATAATGTTGGTGATAGTAAAATAGTCATAAATCTGAAAAATCAGTTTTCTTGGGGGGCTGTTTAGCTTCACAGCACCCTGCAGTTTAACCCACAGTTAAACCTGTATGTATCCCTCCATCATGAATTAAAATTAATAAAATAAATTGATTAAACACAATTTAAGTCAAAACTTTATCACAAAAAATATCATAAAACAATGTGTCAGACACCAAACAGCATATATGTAACCACTTCATGCAATAACTTTATGTGAGGGACCTTTTAGAGGTGGACGTCTAGTTCCTATCACCACCACTGTGAAGCCCTTTTGAGTGACGACCGAACTAAAAAGTGTCCTCACTAGTGGACATGTTCACGAGTGACTAGCCTACCATCGGTGTTGTACTGGACTCATGGATACGTTTCATGGCAAATTACACACGTCATTAACTGAAAATCACATAACTACCCATTTTACTTCATGAGTCGATGGTGGGATTATGGGAGCAGCAGTGAAGAATTACATGAAGAAAAGTGCCAACCTGTAGCAGTGAAGAACACCACGAATTAAATGAAAATTACAGCACAGGTTTTCTTAACAATATGTATTCTAAATGTATTCTGAATACATTTTTAATGCATTGTAATGACATATCTAGAACAGCATACTGAGTACTGAGTCATCACTACTTCTCATGCTCAACCCTGTGTGTGTATAATGACAATACATTCGAATTGAATAGAGTTTAAGTGAATCAATGAATCGCTGAATCGGACGTTCGATTCATTTAAACTGACCATTCGAAAGAATCGGTTCTGTAGACTTAATTACCCCACCGTTATCTAACGGCCGTGCTCTGTCAGATTAACCGACCGCTTCTCTCCCTGCAGCAGAATGCAGTATCATCGTATCCATAAAATCCACGTCGGCCTCGTCGCTCCTTGTACAGTGGAACAGTTTTCCAGGAGCCACCAATTACTTTCTGGATCTGAGGGTGGTGAACTCCAGCGCTGTAGCGCCGGTGGTCGTCACCCTGCCCGCCTTCAGCACGCAGAAAGAGGTGTTCGGCCTGCGGCCAGGAGCTCTGTACACTGTGGTGGTCAAAGTGTTTCAGTTCTACAGAGTGACATGCATGGATACGGAGACGGCCAGGACAGGTAAGTGCGCTAAAGTGTCTGTAAAGAGTGTGGCAGATTAATAAACTTGCTTTAAAGAGCGTCTAATAACTGCCAGCTGTAAAAAAAATGAGGCGTTAAGTTAACGTTAAACAACCGCTAACGGTTATTGGACGCTCTTTAAAGCTGGCTTGAAGAGCTTCATAGTAACCGTTAGCTGTAAAGAGTGAGGTGATAAACTGGCTTAAAGAGCTTCATAGTAACCGTTAGCTGTAAAGTGAGAGGTGATAAGCTGGCTTAAAGAGCTTCATAGTAACCGTTAGCTGTAAAGTGTGAGGTGATAAGTTGGCTTAAAGAGCTTCATAGTAACCGTTAGCTGTAAAGTGTGAGGTGATAAGCTGGCTTAAAGAGCTTCATAGTAACCGTTAGCTGTAAAGTGTGAGGTGATAAGCTAGCTTAAAGAGCTTCATAGTAACCGTTAGCTGTAAAGTGAGAGGTGATAAGCTGGCTTAAAGAGCTTCATAGTAACCGTTAGCTGTAAAGTGTGAGGTGATAAGCTAGTTTAAAGAGCTTCATAGTAACCGTTAGCTGTAAAGTGTGAGGTGATAAACTGGCTTAAAGAGCTTCATAGTAACCGTTAGCTGTAAAGTGTGAGGTGATAAACTGGCTTAAAGAGCTTCATAGTAACCGTTAGCTGTAAAGTGAGAGGTGATAAGCTGGCTTAAAGAGCTTCATAGTAACCGTTAGCTGTAAAGTGTGAGGTGATAAGCTAGCTTAAAGAGCTTCATAGTAACCGTTAGCTGTAAAGTGAGAGGTGATAAACTGGCTTAAAGAGCTTCATAGTAACTGTTAGCTGTAAAGTGTGAGGTGATAAGTTGGCTTAAAGAGCTTCATAGTAACCGTTAGCTGTAAAGTGTGAGGTGATAAGCTGGCTTAAAGAGCTTCATAGTAACCGTTAGCTGTAAAGTGAGAGGTGATAAACTGGCTTAAAGAGCTTCATAGTAACCGTTAGCTGTAAAGTGAGAGGTGATAAGCTGGCTTAAAGAGCTTCATAGCAACCATTAGCTGTAAAGAGTGAGGCGATAAACTAGCTTAAAGAGCTTCATAGTAACCATTAGCTGTAAAGAGTGAGGCGATAAGCTGGCTTAAAGAGCTTCATAGTAACTGTTAGCTGTAAAGATTGAGGTATTAAGCTGGCTTAAAGAGCTTCATAGCAATCGTTAGCTGTAAAGAGTGAGGCGATAAGGTGGCTGAAAGAGCTTCATAGTAACCGTTAGCTGTAAAGAGTGAGGTAATAAGATGGCTTAAAGAGCTTCATAGCAACCATTAGCTGTAAAGAGTGAGGCGATAAACTAGCTTAAAGAGCTTCATAGTAACCATTAGCTGTAAAGAGTGAGGTAATAAGCTGGCTTAAAGAACTTCATAGTAACCGTTAGCTGTAAAGAGTGAGGTAATAAACTGGCTTAAAGAGCTTCATAGTAACCATTAACGTTAGCTGTAAAGTGTGAGGTGTTGAGCTAGTGCTAACTGCTAACATTTTGAAGAGCTTCAAAACCGTTAGCTGTAAAGAGTGAAGTGATAAGCGAACTTTAAAGGGCATCATAATCCCTAACGGTAGCTGTAAAAAGTGAGGTAATAAGCTAGCTTTAAAGAGGGTCATATAACCACAGATGTTAGCTGTAAAGAGTGAAATGAAAGGCTAGCATCAAAGAGCGTCATAATAACTGTTAGCTGTAAAAAGTGAGGCGTTAAGCTAGTGTTAAATAACCGCTAACTTTAGCTGTAAACAGTGAGGTAATAAGCTAGCTTTAAAGAGCATAATAATAACCGATAGCTGTAAAGAGTGACGTGATAAGCGGACTTTAAAGAGCATGATAATCACTAACGTTAGCTATAAAGAGTGAGGTAATAAGATAGCTTTATGGAGCGTCGTATGACCATTGATGTTAGCTGTAAAGAGTGAGGTAATAAGTTAGCGTTAAAGAGCATCATGGTTGATGTTAGCTGTAAAGAGTAAGGTGATAAGGAAGCATTAAAGACAGTCATTGTAACCGTCAGCTGTAAAGAGTGAGGTAATAAGCTAGTTTTGAAGAGCATCATAATAATCGTTAGCTGTAAACAGTGAGGCGATAAGCTGGTGTTGAAGAGCGTCGTGTTAAGTGTTTGCTTTAAAGAGTGTGTTAAAGAGTGTCATAATAACCCTTAGCGGTAAAGAGTGTGGTAAGTTGACATGTGCCAATAAGCTAACTTAACCTTAGCTGAAAGGAACGTTGTAATAAGCTAAATGTAAAATGTTTGGTAAGTTTTTTATAAAGATTTTGCTAATAAGATGACATGACTTTAATTTTAAAATATGTCGTAATAAGCTACCGGCAAAGAGTGCGTTAATGAGCTATCTATAGAGTTCGGTAAGTGTCTGTAAAAACTGTACTAATAAGCTAATGTATCTTCAGTAACGTAAATAATTTTGTAGTGATCTAGCAGCAAAGAGTGCATTAATAAGCTGGCTGTAAAAACTGTGGCAGTGAGGTTAGTTAGCTGTAAAGAATGTTATAATGAAGTTCCTGTAAAGAGCGTGGTAATAAGCCAGCTGTAGAAGGAGTTGTAATATGGTAAGTGAGCTGTACAGAGTGTGTTAATATGGTAGCTATGAAGTGTGTTATAACAAGGTGGTTGTAACGTGTGATTAATGTCTGTAAAGTGTGATAAGTGTCTGCAAAGAGTGTCTTATCTAGATGTAAAGGGTTTCTGTCAAGCGTAGTAAGAGTAAAGAGGTTGGTAATAAGCTAGCTATAAAAAGTGAGGTGTCTGGACAGAGAGCAGTAATAAGCTAGTAACCTGCCTGTGTAGTTGTGTGTTTGATTAGTGTTTTTTATGGTCATGTAGTAATGATCTAACAGACCTCCTTGTATGTGTAGGTGTATACGAAGAGTGTGTTTCTAAAGAGTGTCTTCATAGAGCTGTATGTACGGGTTTGGGTGCTCATGGTCAGATACATGTTTTTGATTTTCTGTGAAAATCAAAGTGAAAATAAATTAACACATCCTCTACAGAGAACATGCTTCTGCAACTTTTAATGCTGTTTATTTGCTGAATTTAACCTATTAAGAAAAAAAGGCAGCATAAAATCTGGTTTGTGCATGGCACATTTTATATTTTATGTTTCTTTCCCAATATGTTAAATTCCAATAGATAATAAATAGTAAATAGAAATGTGCACTGAAATTTGCTGAAAAATATTATGTTCAAGTGTATTCTCTGTGGAGGATGTGTTCACTTATTTTGACTAAACAAAACATCATTTGACCTTGGGTGTCCAAACTTTTGCATGTGACTGTAGGTGATTTACTGAGAAAGTGGAGCTAGTAGAACAGAGGTGAATAACCTTTTTTCCAGTGTGTGGTAAAGATCCAGTACACGTTTCTGTGTATATTTGAATCAAGTAATTTTTTATGTGTTGCTCAAGGTTGTCTTTACAGTTCAAAAACAGTAGTACAGTACAGAGTACAGCTCTCACTAAACTCTATAGGCTTCACACCCTCACTAAAGCTGATTGATATAAAACAATAACCCTGATTGTTTTTTCTTCACTCAGTGCCAGACGTATCTCAGATAATCTATTCCAAAGCAATCTCCAGCACAGCCGTCACACTAGAGTGGGAGAAAGTGGCTGCAGTGGATCAGTACTTCCTACTGATGAATTCAACTGCAAGTGGGGAGCGATACAACTTCTCTTACACGGGGACCAGGACTGTGATCCAGAATCTACGTCCAGTCACTTCTTACGACTGTTACGTTTTTACCTCAAACGCAGCGGGCCTGGGAGCACGAAGCAGAGTCCGTACTGTCACCACATGTGAGTGAACCAACACACACACACACTCAGGGTGAAAGAAACACTGGTATACACATGAAAACACTGATACAACTGCAGTGATCGTAAAATAAAAAGGTAACATTGAATTGTTTGCTGTGGTCGTCCCAGATAAGCATTATCCACCCCAAATACAGGGCAGCAAATTTATAGAAAGATTAATGAAAGATTTTATGCAAATTTGTTCTTACACACGTTTTCCAAAATCTGCCTTTCTTCTTATCTGTCTGTCTATCTATCTATCTATCTATCTATATATATATATATATATATATATATTTTTTTTTACATATATACACACATATATATACATATATATATATATATTTTTTTTTACATATATACACACATATATATATACATATGTATATATATATATATATATATATATATATATATATATATACACAAAACAGGAGAAGTCAGCAAGTGAGCTGCTAGAGATGTACAGCATAGCTGTGGCCAACAACAGCTGGAAAATAAAGCACCTCGACTTGCACAAAAGCTGTATCTCTTTTAATAGTGATGAATTCTACAATGTTGATATTTTTATCTAAGTTTCTTGTTGTCTGTCTGTCTCTTCATATGTCTATGTATTGTGAGTGCAGATACTGTGTGTTTACCTGTTTTTCTGGTGTTTTTCAGTGGTCCAGCCACCAGCAGTGGTCACAGTGGATCGTACAGCAAGTGAATCTTTGCGCATTAGATGGCAACCTGTAGACCGAGTGCTGCTCTATAAGGTCACTGTTATAGATTCTCGGGGGACACAGCTTGTGAGCACCACCACCTCGTTGACTTTCCTGGATGTGCAGAGTGTTCTTCCGTGTTCCTTGTACCAAATCTCAGTTTCCTCTGTGAACACATTCCTGGAACCTGGAGAATCGAGACAGGTCAACTACACTACAAACAGTAAGCATCTTTTCTCTTATGATAGGTTATTAGATACAGTCCATACTTTAGTCAGGACCATTTCTATCTGCTATTCTTCACCTAAACAAAAGCTTTTTGTTTACTTTGTTTGAGATATTAATTCATTCATTTAGACCAAGCTTGGAAACTTTATATCTAGGTTCATATGTTTAAAGCATTTCTGGATATGTGTTGAATCAGGCTCTGCAGATTTGCTCGAAGCCCTCTGTCTTTCTCTCTCACGCAGCTCTGAGTCCAGTGACGTCTGTGTGGGTGGATTACAACTGTGTCAGTGCGTCTGCAACGGTGTCGTGGGGAGCCACATTTGGGGCTGAATCTTACCATGTAACAGCAGTCAGCCATGATGGAACGGTACTTTCCTGCTCCTCCAGTGGAACCTCATGCCAGCTGACCAATGTGGGGTGTGGAGGGGACTATGTGGTCCACATCAGTGCCATCGCCAACAACTGTGAAAGCACAGGCAATGCTACTGCATTCTTCCAGTCAGGTCAGTGACACCTCCTGACCTGAGCCCAGTATCGCATAGTTAGTCACTGTATATGCACAGATGTACTGCAAGAATATCTCTACAAAGGTGCACTATACAGCAATGGGCTGATGATAAATAGTAAACTGAAACTGTAGCCATAGTATACCATACTGTAATAGACTAATGATAAATAGCAATTCCATGAGATTCAGATGTGAGACTGATTTTTAAATATATTATTGAGGAAGTAGGGACAGATGGACAGATGCTATTAGCTTCTGACCTGGGATCATTTTTATGGTTAAGGAGATGTGCTTTTGGTGCCATCGAGAATGTGCTGGTCTAGAATCTTATTCCTGTTATGGATTCACATTGGGATTCAGTGGGACTCAGATCAGTCCTTTTCTTTTCCAGAGGTGGTGCAGGGGCCTGTGTTCTTGCTGCTGTGACCTCTTATTCCCCCCAATCCTTCAATAATGCTTCAATGTAATTCAAATAAGCACACATACATGCAGAAGAGTGTTGACAGTAGTCCCCTGGAACGCTCACTATGGTGGGTTTACTTGTTAAAAACCAAACAACGTTATATGTGTTCTTTTCTCTTCAGCAGCACTCTTTTAGGGATCTTTACTACAGGTTTTGTGTTATAAAGGTCATAGTCAGGGCAGGAAGGCTGGAATTTTTCCACTTTTTTGCTGGGATTACATTAGACCAGCATGTGTTAGACTTTATCCATTTTAAAGCAATGGTTTAGCCATTACTTGTTAGCTTTATACCCGAGATATTTTTTCACCATCACTTAAAGAACTAACAGTGTGTAGTTCTTTTTCAACAGTCTGTTAGTACAAAGTGGTGTGAGTTGTTGCTAGTGTCTGCAGAATTGTTCCAGTTTGGGTTTCTTTGGGCAAAGTTGACAAGCTGAAGGCGGCACTGAACATACCTCACAGTCTACAGTGTAATGGAAGGCCGATTTCATTTATAATGATAGACAACATGGCTATACTTTCTCATTCAGTGACCATATTATGCACCGAACATCCGCTGTGTGCTCAGTTTTGTTTCCTTTGAGGAAAAAGAAATACTTTTGGTTTACTTCTCAAGCATGACATGATCTTCCTTTTGTGAACCCCACAACAGAACGATCCCAGGTCATTAGAAGTGCTATCAGATAATCATTAGGGAGTAGCTGTTTACTTCAGAATTCATTGTGTGTTCCTGTTTCTCATGCAATGAGGCCTCTACACACCCTCCACAACGTGAGACAGTGGGTTGTCTCTGGAGGATCGGCTCTGCTATTCAGCTGGGCAGTCTAGGTTACATACGGCCTCCTTTCACAGCATGTTGGACAATGCACTGAAATCCATCGCACAGGTGCAATCGGAAGAATCAATACAAACCATGGCACCAGGGACTGACAATTGTTTTGTATTATTTCTCTTTGTCTGTCTTTGTTGGCATCTCTGACCACCACCTTCTCTGTCCTAACAGAAACCATAACCTTTATCGCTCACCATACACTCTCTCAAGTACTCTTATACATACACACTTTGTCAAGAGCAACCCCTGCAATTTTTTAACATGTCTAGTCTCTTCTTCAGGGCTCTAGCTTAAAAGCCGTATATATCATACATTTTTCCAGTAGTTTTTCCCGTGAGGCCCACTAATAACTTTTGTGCTGTTTTATATACTAAAACAGCCATTATTCATTGTTACATGATAATTTTCTGAATCTCTTTATCCCTTATAATTATACAGGGTATTTTTGTTTCTGTGCTTTCAAGACTATTTGGAAATTACCTCTGTTCTTATTAGCTGCCTCACTTAAAAAGCAGTCGAGGCTGAAACGCTCTTAGCCGAAACTTCAGTGTGAATTGGTCAGGCTAAACCGCTGTGGGTTGAAGTGGCAAATATATGTAAATATGGTGGTTTTTGTGACATCACAAAAACAATGAATTTAAAATGGGATTGTGAAGTGTAGTTTCCCAGTTTTGACTGAAAATGATGTGATTTAAACCTAATACTTTCTGCAAAACGTTTTTTTAGGCTGATTAGCGGGCATTACGTTTATCTACACTCATAAATGACGTATAAAACACATCATAAAGTACCAGGTTATGTTTTTGTTATTGTTTTCTGTAATTTGTGACACTCTCTTGCAGTGCCGTGCGCCCCAGCTAATCTGGAGCTGTTCCGCGAGTGCAGCAGTAATGTCATCATCTTCTCCTGGGCTCCAACTAATAACACAGCGTTCTACATAGCACATGCGGAGGACTCAACAGGGGCCACCCAGGACTGCCTGACCTCCGACACTTCTTGTTTCTTCACTCAGACGGAGTGCGGGCGGAGCTACAGCTTCACTGTCTACTCCGCGACTGGAGATTGCAATGGTGCACCCAGCCAGGCAGTGCATATACGCACAGGTAAAGGCTTAACCTACTGTGTGTGTGTGGGGTTCATTTGTAACATTGATGTTTAGTTGGCAAAACTACTTGCAGTGACTTGAAATACTGTCACCTTCATGTGAACATGGTCTGTACCTTAGAAACTCACAACACTCCACATGGTCATGTAACTCTTATTTTTGTGTTGAAAGTTGTCGGTAATGCTGTTAGTTTTGTTTCTGACACTGTATGCCATTGTGTTGTTTGTGAAAATGGACAAAAAATGTGCAAATCAAAAAAGAGGAGCAGAAGAGATCTTGAAGCCTGAATTTCACTTTTGCACAATTTTCTGATAGAAAGTATCAAAATCTTTTGACAATACAATCTTTGCCCACTCAGCACCGTGCCAGCCCACTAACATGATTACCATGTCGGACTGCCAAACGGACATTTTGACGTCTACATGGGATGGAGCGGACGGGGCTTTACGCTACATCGTACAGGGTTATGGTAACCATGGAAATGAGAGTCGCTACACCTGCAGCTCAGTGACTAACAGCTGTATCATCCCTGGTGTGATGTGTGGAGAAAGCCTGACAATGATGATCACTGCTTTTGATGACGAGTGTCCCAGTGAGCCTGTTTTAGGAGCGGAGGCATGGACTGGTGAGTGCCCCCTAGAGCAACAACATGGCACTGATTAAAATAGGCCTGGTGTGACTGGGATTCAAGGCCTGTGTAGGTAACACTGCAAAGTTGCAGTCTGGGTGATCAACTTAGCCTTTCGTCAAATCAAATGTCGTGACAATGTAAGTATAGAAGGAATATTTTTTATGATTGTCATGTATGTAATTGTTATTTTGTGCATCTGTCCAGTTCCCTGTGCACCTCAGAGTGTCTCACCTGTTATGGACTGTAGTTCTGACTCCATCACTCTTACATGGAGGGGGGCTAATGGCGCGTTGATGTACATTGCCACGGCAATGGACACTTCAGGCACGAGGTACATTTGCACCTCAGCAAATGTACGGTGTCAGATCACAGGCCTGCACTGCGGTACCACATACAGCGCCTCGGTCATCTCCACCAACTTCATCTGCAACAGCTCTGTCAGTAACACTGTTACTGTAGAAACAGGTAAGTGTTCTGCAGGTTTTCAGGCATAAGACACACACATTTGCAAAGACAAGTTTTAGTTCACCCTTTCAAATATCGTATTTTTTGTACAGTTTGTCGGAACTCATCCGAGCAGGTTTCTCCACCTCAGAATGCAGAGTAGAGCCCCTGAACAGTTGTTGTAAATCAATAGGGGATATATCAGTGCGTTAATAAATGTTAATTATTCCTTCTGTTTATCATTTTGTTAGTTATACCTCCTGTTTATCATTTTTGCAAACATATTGGAAGTTGTAGAACACAAAAACAAGCATTATTAAAGAAAAGTAAAAAGACTGAAAAGGATGAACCACATGATCACCTTTTTCCAATCTTTCTCTCCCTTCCAGCTCCCTGTCCCCCAGCTCAGGTGCAGGCTGCACTGGACTGTGATGGGAACAAGGCACTGGTCAGCTGGCTGGGATCACGGGTCACAGCTGCCTATACAGCTATGATGGAGGACCAGAGTGGTGGTCTCCTGAGCTGCAGCACCACGGCCAGCAGCTGCTGGGTGCCCAGCCTTAAGTGTGACCAGACCTATGATGTCAGCGTAACCTACCATGATGGCATCTGTCCCAGCAAGCCCTCACCGCCGATCCACATGAAATCAGGTGATGCTGCATCTATGTTACAGAGAAGGGAATCACTTCCCTCCATAACAACTGACCACTTTGGGGTGTGTTGCTAAAATCCACAGTTAGCTATACAGAGTAAAAGTGTATCCACAGTTGTGAGCTGTTGTTTTTCCAGTTATTACTCTTTAAATATAAAAATTTTCAACAAATGTAATTGTTTCTCACTGAATGTTTGTAAGCTTTTTGAATGCATTATTATTTCACTCATTGTAAGCGGCTCTTGCTTTCAAGTACTGAATCTTCTTAACACTAATTTTAGTGTGTATCTTGAGTACAGGCGTGACATATGACGAAAATGCTTATCACGCCATGCTTCAAGAATATTGTTGGCCATTGCCAAGCAATTTTTTTAGCTCTCACTGGGGGCTTTAGGCTACTGCTGCACCCACAATCCTCTGTGCTGCTGGGCTGCATAGAAAATGAATGGGAAGCGAAATAAAAATTCACCATGTAGTATTTTACAGTGCATCTGCAGCAAATTGTCTTTTCCTCACAAATCTGCTTTGTTTTTGGACAGCTTTGACCAAAGAAATCCCTCAGCACCCAAAAATGTTTATGAGGCTCATCATGAACAATGAAAAGCTGCTAAAAGCTGCTCTTGTTTATGTCTTGTTTTTTTGTTTTCTCCTCCCTCTCTTTTCTGTGTCTTTCTGTAGTTCCATGTGGGCCAGTAAATGTTCAGGCACAGGTAAACTGTGGCTCAGGAGTGTTGGGGATGAACTGGAATCAGACAGATGGTGCTGATGGTTACACGGCTAGTGTGGTTGCCACTAGCAATGGGGATCAGCTGTACTGCAACTCTACTTCGCCATCCTGCAGCCTCAGCTCTCTTAAATGTGGCGAGTCATATGCCCTTCAAGTTCGATCCTACAATGGAACCTGCTTCAGCATGCCCAGCCAACCGCTGATTCTAAAAGAAGGTCAGAGAACTTTTATGTGAATATCTCAGTTTATGCCTTAGAGTTAAGATTATCTTTAGAGTGAGAGTGTTCAATGTGATAGTCTCTCTGTCACATTCCAATGATCTTGGTGCTAGAATGATTTGGGGAAACTCACTCCAGTTGATTTAACTCCTTAAACTGCTTATTAGTCAGTTATTAATTTTTAAGATTTATGAAGTTCCAGTGTTTCCCACACATAGGCTATATTTTGGTGTATCATTTCCATTTCGCCCCATTTTTAAAAATTCTAAAAAGAAAATATTTTGTGTGTTTATGAGTAAAGATGATGCAAAGCATTATTCTTTTTCTCTGTTGTCATTTCCATGACCTAAATCTTCACCTTAGCTTGTCCATTTGTGCTTTACATCTTAAAATGAAAGACATGAAAGGATTAACATTATTTATGTGATGCCTTAAATGAATATCCAACAAACAAATGTTATAATGCGTTTGGATATCCTTATATTCATGTGGAGTGAAGTAAGTAAATGACCCTATTGCAGCATCTGAGTCTGTGGCCTATAAGAGGACTGTACACAGTAAATCTCTTCCATGTTTTATGTGTTTTTCCTCTTGCTCCCTGAGACCTGCTAAACAGTGATTTAGAAATTGAAACAATCATTACATTAGTAACCACTGTATTTTATGACAGTATGAAGAGTACAGCTGTAAGTGCCATGAAAATAATGTGGTATCCAACAGGGAAATACCACATAGTTTCTAAAGTTGTGGAACATGTGAGGACAGCTCATAGCATCATGTGTTTTTTGTATTATTTAAAACAGGAATAGCGCAGTCTCGAGTTGGACTAGCTTTGAGTTAACAATGCTGTGTATGCTAAAAATATACAAGGGTGGCAGATTGAGGTTTTAATAGGTCTTCCTTTTAAATGCTTGGTTTCCTCTTTTTCTGACATGATCTCTTGACCTATTCAGTGCCATGTGTGCCAACGAGTGTGAGGGTCAGAAGCACCTGTGGCAACAGCACTGTGGTCATGTGGCAAGCCAGCCACGGAGCTGTGTCCTACAGGGTCATTGCTGTGGGCAACAGAGGTCACCAGACAGAGTGTCTGTCCAATGGGACCATATGTAGCCTGATGGATCTTCAATGCGGCCAAGTGTACGACATTAGTGTGATGGCCGTGGATGAGGCCTGTACCAGCCAGAAGAGCCAGAGTGTTACCCTGCAGACAGGTGCGTGCTGATGTTTGTGAGGTTTTTATCCCATAGAGGGGAAGAGTTGTTACATATGATTGCTATATTATTCAAATTGTAATTATAGAATGGCATTTAATTGCACATTGAGTTCCACAGTGAATTGCATCTACATTTGGTTTACATTATGTATTAACAGGTTTGTGTCTGCACAAAGGCTTATTCTTTTGGTGCAGCACTTTTCCTTACACTGACATATCTGTTTCTGCCTCGTCATTACTTATTCAGCTCATTATTGACAATGATTAATGATTACCAGTGACAGTGGTTAATAATTTGTATTATTAATTGGCTGTCATTCTTCTCCACAGCTCCTTGTGCTCCTACCAACGTCCACAGTCTCGTCCAGTGCAACACTAACACTGTAACGCTGAGCTGGGACTCTAGCCCCAATGCTGTGGCCTATGTAGGAAGGGGAGTAGGAACCGATGGACACACCGTGATGTGTAACAGTACTTCTTTGGGATGTCAGCTAACAGGCCTGCACTGTGGTCAGGATTACACTTTCAGAGTTGTCGCCAGTGATGGCACCTGCATGAGCCCAGACAGTGACATCTATGTACAACCAACTGGTAAAGATAAAGCTTTTGTTTGCGTTCTTTTGAGCTCTATCTCTGCTTTGTCTGTTAAGAGAGTTTTACATGGAATTATCAGTAAAATAAGTCTTATGTGCCTTTTTTAAAATGGAATAAGTTGTATTCCACTTCTGTTCCTTCTCTTTGTTTCTCCAGGAATAGTTTTTTTTTGTCAAAAAAAGGCTTGAACACTGAACATAGTGTGTCAGATTGCCTGTTAGTTGTGGTTGTGTTGTCATGTACACAGCACATGGGTGTTTGGTTGATTTTGATTGGTCTAACTCAACTACAAGGAGTTCAAGTTCTCCATGTTATTAGGTTAAATTTCATCACTAAAACTGGTAAGGACTTTTTTGAGAAGTCACTCTTGTATTCATTAATTTTTTGTGGTCTATATGTAGCTCCTTGTGCCGTGCAGGCCGTTTCCAATTTCCTGCACTGTGACACCAACTCTGTAAGCGTGAGCTGGGTGGCTGGTGCCACAACTCTGAACTACAGCGCCCTCGCCAGGCCTTCAAATGGTACTGCACTTAGCTGCACCTCAGGCAGCTCAAGCTGTGACATCACAGGACTGCAGTGTGGTCAAAACTACACTGTCATTGTCACTGCAACCAACAGAGTGTGCACAGGACCGGAGAGCGTACGTCAGACTGTACAGACAGGTATGAGCAGTGGTTGTTACGATAAATAGAGGCTTAAACTCAACATCGGAACAAAAAGTTACACAATGGAAATGCCATTTAAATATTTTAAGTACTATTGAGATTGTCGTCTAAACATAATGAGTTTACTTACATGTGATTTTCCATTTTGTTTTGACAGCTTTTTTCATTGATATTATTAAAAAAGGTTTTTAGATGCTTAATAATAAGACTTAGAACGTAGGATTTGCCCAGCATTGCTTGATTTTATAGATCTTAAATGAAAGATATTATCACTATTATGAAGCCAATAAAAGTTTGCCAGACTTCTGTTATTTATTTCTGTTATTTACTATTTTCTAACCTCATCTTCTCTCTCTATCTCTCTCTCACTCTCTCTGTCTCTCTTTCTCTCTGTCCTCGTGGTAGCTCCGTGTATGCCTGTCTCTGTGCGTGCCAGTGTAATATGTGTCAGTAACACAGTGAGGGCATCATGGGGTCAGACGCCGGGCGCTCTTTCCTACACCAGCGTTCTGACTGGTCCAGGCGGATACACTCAGTCATGCTCAACTTCCAGTCTCTCCTGCTCCTTCAGCAACCTGACCTGCGCTCAGATTTACACCCTCCATGTGGTCGCCAACGACAACCACTGCAACAGCACTGTGAGTCCAGACGTCTCTGTGACAACAGGTGAGTGTGCCGTGTGAATAAATTAATATTCTAATAAGAACAGCGTTTGGTACACACTGCACACACTGCTGTATTTGCTGTTACACTAGATGAAATTTTGTTGTATTATATAGTCAATACAGTTACATGCATACACAAGGTTCAAGCTAATTTTACCACATGGAATGATGTCCTTGTCGCTTTTTTCACTCCTCATGAGTTTTCATGTCTGAGTTTAACATGTCAAATGTTTCCAATGACTACAAGTAAGATTACAGTGCACAGTGTATGAATGAAATACACTACTTTTAGAAAGTTTTAAATCACTGCTGTTATTATATCATACTATTGTGTTGAAGATAAATGTGGGAATTGGTTTTAATTAGAGAGTGAGATTTAATGAATGCCAATTCATCAAAACCATATGTGTCCATTCCAATACATTGGTTACAACTAGACTCTATTTTTTTAGGGTTTTTTATGGTTTTTCACATTGAAATACTACAATAAATGATTATATTATATTAATTCATATTATAATATTAATGATTTTTTCTATTTCTATCATAGTGAAAACAGGGGTTATTTAAAAGTGTACTTTCAGTAAAAATGTTCAGGACTAGCTAAACCGTTTCTCTATAATGACATGAAACCTACAACCCCTTTACATGTTTAGTAGAGTAACAACATTAATGTCTTTTTCAGATGAAGTATACATTCGGAAAATGATAAATGTAAAGCTACTGATTAAGTTAACTGACATTAATCACCAGAGGCCGTATAAGTACAAAAATATTAAATATTTAAATGTAAATAGAATAAATACACTACTTTGGATACTTTGGACTTGGTAATTTAAGATAAAAACAAACGTGGTCTAAGGCGTTAGTGAGCCTGCTAGATCAGCTTTTGTCAACCCTTAACTGTTAACTACAGTAATATCATCATTACAGCGAGTTTTTACAGTGGAACTGCATTGGCTTTACTGAATAGCCACATTTGAAGGTACAAGCTTGTAAACACCTTAAACACCATTGATCTTAAATTAAGTTAGCTAACTCTTCAAAAACACAACCACTTATATTTCATGACAATGTTAGCAAACACAGTTGCTGTTTGTTTCATTGGGTGTTAGGCTAATGTAAGCAATATAGCTGCTTGCTACTACTGTTACAGTTCGGTTCACCAGCTTTATAACTGACTGTTACTGGTTAAATGTGAGTAGTAAAAGCTGCTGACTATTTTATATGTTAAAATGAACAATCAGCCTTTAAAAGAGTTAAACTAAACATTTAACAGATCATACCTTGTTTTCTTGACATTTTCCATTTCAGCTATGTCAAACTTCTTATGATCCGTGTACGTGTGGCCTAAGAAATGCTTTTGACAGGAAAATTCAAGTTGTAAAATAAACTCTAATCAAAACTGGGGTGGCAAAACGGTAGAGCAGTGAAATGTCTCCACCCCAGGCCTCTAACAATCTGCCCCAATGTATAACAAAATTTGTTGCATGTCATATTAACATCTTTGCTCTCCATTGACTCTTTGCATTTTCCCTCTGTTCTGCAGCACCTTGCGACCCTGATAGTGTGCATGCTGACCTGCAGTGTGGCTCAGGCGTAATGAACGTGTCGTGGCATGCCAGCGCTGGTGCCAGTATGTACACTGTCCTGGCTTATGGGCAAAACCAGACGGTCCCTTCCTCTTCCTGCCTCACCTCCAGTACCTCCTGCGCCCTCACACAGCTGCAGTGTGGAGCGGTGTTTAACGTTAGCGTTCTCGCTGGTGACTCCATCTGCAACAGCAGCTCACGTGCTGGGATCACAGTGAAAACAGGTACAGAGAAAGGAAGGGAGAGAGAGAGAGAAGCAGTGAGAGATGGAGGAGGAACAGAGGAAAGGAGAATGGGGGAGGACAGAGATTAGAGGGAAGTGTGAGAAGAAAGTAACTATTAATTCTTCAAAGTCTAGAGTCATCAGATTTTTTTTTTTGCACATTTGATATACATTGCATAATAAATGCATAATAAAGTTAAATGTAATTGTGTAATTAATTTCATTGTTATGTAATACAGTTAGATTTGATTCTTTATGACCAGAGTGAAGTCTTCTCTTCCAACTTTGTTTTTGTTTAAATATCAAAAATGCAAAGGATGTCTTTTTTCTATCCAGAGAGCAAAGCTAGTAGTCTGGTAGTTGCCATCTATGCCAGATCATGATAAATATCTCCTTTTCTGCTTATAAAAATTAATGTATTTAAAAGCTGCATTTCCAACATAATTTCTCCTCTTGCTTCAGTGAGTAATAAATTATTAACATAAAATAACACATGAATTGAGACGGAAACACTGAGTAACATATTTATAAAAAGCTGTACATTAACTCTAAAACTTGTGTGTCTTCCTTCTCCTTTCTGTCTCAGCTCCCTGTCCCCCCAGGTTGCAGGCTCCTTCCCTGAGCTGCATCAGTGGCCAGGCCATGGTGTCATGGACTGGTGACCAGGATGCTATGGGGGTCAGCATAAATGCCACATCATCCCTGGGTCACTCTGTGGGCTGCAGCTCTGCGAACCACAGCTGTGCTCTGCAGGGCTTGCAGTGTGGACAGACCTACGCTCTTCGGGGCACCATCCAAGGCCTGCGCTGCGATAGCAACCCAAGTAGTCCACTCAATATAGTCACAGGTATGGGCCATACTGCTGACAGGCAGAGGGTACTACTAGTGGTAGGTAAGGCAGTACTGTCATAAGTTTTGGGTTTGATTTTTCATAAGAGCTGTCAGCTGGGATAGGCTCCAGCACCACACCGCGACCCAGAAGGATAAGCGGTTTAGATGATGTACATATGTATGTATGTATGTTTTCATAAGAGCAGCACCTCAACCAAAATTTCCCTGGCAGACTGAGAGACTTCAGCAATGGATAAGTCATGTGTGTGTACTGGTGGTTGTCAGTAGAAATAATGAGAACTAAATCATAATTATAATCCCAGTGCACAAGACACCTATATTACTCCAACAAGGATGTATGTCATCGATGCAAAGCACTGCTCTTACAAAGCGTCAAAAGCTATTTGACTGCTAATGGTGCCTCCTTGTCTGTTTTAGCCTGCTAAATGTAAGTGAGTTAGTAAGAGGCTGAGTGATGAAGTTGCATGTGAATTCCATGAGATACTTTACATCTAAAAAAAATGCTAGTGATTTGAAGTAATGAAAGCTTATGTGCACCAATTTACATTTTACAAACTGATACAAATGTAGTCGTGCTCATTGTCTCACTTTCTAATGAACAGTCAGGACGGCACTAAAGTGGTGAATCAGCAATCTTAATGGAGTGTAAGCAACCTCGTTTAATTTGCTGAAAAGTTAGTTTAAAAGTTTATGTGTCACTGATCATTAACCTTTCAAGTTAAACCAAATTTAATTTGGAATCTTCAAATGTAAGACATGAACCTTCAGTTGTGAACTATTGAATTATGAAACAGTGAGCTCTTAGCATTGACTAATGACTCTCTGGGTCCTTGTGTGCTGCAGCCCCCTGCACTCCCGCAGGGGTGAGTGTGGATTATGTCTGTGGGACAAGTGTGGCAGTGTTGAGCTGGAACGAGAGCTTGGGGAGGCAGAGCTTTTTTGCCCGTGTGGATACGAGGGATCACACAGACTCTTGCAGCAGCAACCAGACCCACTGCACTATCTCATCTCTGCTTTGTGGACACATGTACAATGTCAGCGTACAGGCAGTGGCAGGACAGTGCAACAGCAGCAGTGTAGCCAAGACGCAGCTGCAGACAGGTATTAAGACCAGTGCTACTGTAATAAACACACAACACAAATAACACTTAGCAGTCAACAGTTTGGATCATTTAAAAGGGAATCCCACAGATATTTCTGAATTTCTGTATAATTCAGTCAAAGTAAACAAAGTAATTCAGAGTGGTTGGGTCAGAATTGTTCACAGCTAAAAGTATAGGGTGTCTGGAGCATTAAATGCTGGTAAAAGTTCCTTCCCAGATGGCTATTACACAGTGCTTGCAAATATTTTGCCAGATGCCTGAAACACTGAACAATTGTTCTGCAAAAAGCTTTTGAGGTAAAGCATTATAAGCCAGACTGTTATAGGCCAACATAATACCCAAAGTATTTACCTCTATTTTAGCATTGTCAACATTACATATAAAAATGTAAAAAATGGTATTAAAGCACTCTGAACTACTTTGTTTGCAACAAGATTTAATTTTTCGGATGTTTTGAAAAATCAGAATAATCAATATAAATATACATGTATATGTTCAATCACACACACACACACACACACACACACACACACACACACACACACACTGAACAACACACAAACTCTTCTCTTCTCTTCTCTTCTCTTCTCTTCTCTTCTCTTCTCTTATCTTCTAGCCCCCTGCATTCCTCAGAATGTCTCTGTTAGTCTGCAGTGTGCCAATAACACAGCCTCAGTGTCTTGGTTGGCCAGCCCTGGTGCAGTGGGCTACAATGTCACTGCTGTGGCACATGACGGCGATGCCAAATTTTGCCGCACCTCAATGACCACCTGCCAGCTGCCCAACATGCATTGTGCTCAGACTTATGACATCGTGGTCACACCCTTCTCAGACACATGTAATGGGTTCCAGAGCAGTGTTTTCACCTTCAGTGCAGGTGTGTATGCACAGGACAGCTATTCACAAAATTACCAGAGCATGAAGTTTAGCTTAACTATCACAAAATGAAAAATACTTTTGAAAGAATACTTAAGGAAAAACAAATGTACAGATTTCAGTTTAACCCAAATGTAGTCAAAATACCAAACTTGTTTACATTTGAGTGAATGAAGTGGGGTAAGCACTTCATTTTGGGGGCTTGCATACTTCAGGTGCATCTATTTACACTATGACTTTAACATTTTTAGTGAGCTCTCTATTTGAAAATCACACCCCTCTATGTATTATCATCTCTGTTAGGTCCATGTCCACCTACTCAAGTTAAGGCATCTCTACACTGTGAAAATAATGTTGGTTCCATCAGCTGGCTGGCCAGTTTGCATGCCGACATGTACATTGCTACAGCGACAGGGATAGATGGCCACACTCACACCTGCACTACTAACACCACAAGCTGCTCGTTCTTGGACCTGCACTGTGGAGAAAACTATACCATTACTGTGGTAACTGTGGAGCGTGGCTGCCGAAGTGAACCCAGCACACCTGTCAAGCTGAGATCAGGTGAGGGGAGGGGCGAGGGTGTGTACAGACATTGTTAATGCTTTCTGCCACAGATATGAAAAAAAATGTCATTATGTTAGAGCTGTACTGAGTCAGAGCAGGCTGGAAGGTTTGCTCAATCAGAAGGGTGAGAGCTGCCGTTATGCTGATTATGTATGTGTAAATTCTTATCAATTTATGTTTGTTTTTATTGATACCATATGTATTTGTTCACTGACTGTCATTACTGCCCTATAATGAGACAATTAGTTTGGCATGAAACCTTAATGTGGCAGTAACAGCATTATCCCTGTCTCTCTCCTGCAGCTATCTGTCCTCCAACCAACCTGGCTGCGCATGCTTTCTGTGACACCAATGACATCTCTATTACGTGGGACCCCAGCCCACAGTCCGACGTCACCTACTACTTGTTTTCCCAGCAGGTGGGCGGGCCTAACTACACCTCCAGCACCATGACCCCATCCCTCACAAAGACAGGCCTTCAGTGTGGCTGGGTTTTCACAGTGCGGGTGGCTGCACAGGACACCACTTGCACCAGCAGTTACAGCGCACCTGTGCAGATCTATACAGGTAGGCCACGTAGAAGCGGGTATAAACAGCAATTTCTGTATCTTAGTGGATATATATATATATATATATATATATGGAAAAAAATCAAATGGAAAACATTTTGTAGAATGTAAGCTATGTGAATTAGCATTCTGTGTTAAAAACAGAAATAAATCACTAAGTGAGCCCATTGATCAGATATGGACCACCTTTAATGTTGGTATGTTTATAAAGATATAAAAACGCCAATTCCTAATATGAATTATTCATTGTTTCTGCTACTTTATGCTCTAGTGCATATGTTTCTTTTTCCCAACCTATCAGGGCCCCCCCCAGATGGTCCACATTTTTGCTCCAACCTAACTCCTAAAACATAGGGATGAACAAAAAATGTAGATGCTCTGAGGGGCCCTGAGGACTGTCTTAGAAATCACTGTTCAGTGACCACTCTGTAATGTGACAGTTAAGTCTTGTCTCTCCTGCCTTGTTGCTCTTAGCTCCATGCCCACCGTTGGACCTGGCAGCTACAGCTGAGTGTGGCACTAACATGGGAGACCTCAGTTGGCAAGGTGGTGCTGGTGCCCTACTCTACATTGCTAATCTGTTGAGTGATGAGGGTCATGCTGTTTCCTGTATGTCTAACACTACATCCTGCAAGGTGAAGCTGGAGTGTGGACATCATTACACAGCTGCTGTTGTCTCCTCCACTGGGTACTGCAACAGCACTGCAAACAGCACCATCCAGTTTGACTCAGGTAAACAACCACAAGCCAGTGCACTGTTGCTGTAAACAAAGCCATTCGAGATCTTTGTTCATGCCATATTTTCAGTGTGTTCTTTTTTTTCCTCATTGCTTAATCTCATAACATTGAATGCATTTCCTCATCTCCTTTCCCCTCTTCATACCTGTAGCCCCATGTCTGGCTAATAATGTGCAGGCTCAGCTGGACTGTGATGCCAACACACTGGCTGTGCAGTGGGCCGCTATTAGTGGGAGTCCAAACTCCTACACTGCTCTGGCCATTGGGATGAACGACACACGCTCATCTTGTGAAAGCAACAGCACTTCCTGTACTATCCAGAGCTTAGACTGTGGCCACACCTATGGCATTGCTGTGACTGCCTCCACCATACAATGCCATGTCCAGGGCTCTGAGTACCGGGTGCAGTCAGGTATGTACACTCAGAAGGTGAACGTGGGTTGACTGGGGAAACAATTGTTTAGTTCGTTTAGCAGATCCTTTAATTCACAACAAGTGGACTAGATCAGTTTAGATCAGTTCTATTTTGACACTGGATTTCTCCTGTATGTTTCGAGTTTTCCCAACACGTCAGCTAAATTTGAGGAGAATTAAAGAGAAACAACACCCCCCAATTGTCAGATAACCCCACCCCAAGTTTGAACATCTGAAAATGCTCAAAAAAGGGAGGGATTTCGTGTGTAAGTAGGGCTGCTTTAAACTCAGTGTAGGAAAGCAAACATTCACCATTATTAGCTAGACGCTAATATAATAATGAAAACCCCATAAACAGTCTAGTTTGTTATTATTATTATTATTATTATTATTATTACAAAGCAATATGTTAAATTATTACAAAGCATTATGTTACAGTCTGAAATGAAAAAACAAAAAGGCTTTAGGTTATCGTAGGAACAGTTTGTATAAAAGGAAACGTTTGTCGAAAATTCAAATGTACACAATTTCCCCTTTACCCAAAGTGTAGTGGATCAACCGAGACATGTTTGATGCCCAAAGCTGGCTTTTTTATGATTTTGCCCTGGAACTACATAGCTAATGTGGGCCTTTACCCCACCAATCATCATTATTAGCTTAGCTAAAATATCACACACTTGCCTCAAATTCATTTTAAATAAACTTGCTTATGCGGTTGTTTTATAGATAACAGTATGTCATACAGTGTCAGAAACCACATAAGCTCTGTTAGGGATTTATGCAGCCACTCAACATTTCAAGCTCATGTGATCATTTAGGCATTAAGTGTGCATGTTGTTAATTAGTGTACATGAGCTTTCATTACTTTTCAACTTAGTTTACTTTATTTAGTTTACCTTGATTAAAATGAGTATGGTTAAGCATGGAAGACACTAAAATAGGCTGCACATTAACACTCCAGGGCCAAGACTGGTAAATACTGAACTAGGCTATGCAACACGTGAAATGTGCCACATATTACATACTTTACCTTTTACTCAAAAAAATTATTCTGTGTACAAGTGTACAGATGAATATTTTCATTTATTTTTTCATTTATTCAGCCCCATGTGAAGCAGAGAGCCCATCTGTTTCTCTGGAGTGCAGTACTAACATTGCCACGGTAAGATGGGACACCAGAGGGGCGCAGCAGATGTACAGGGTGTCTGCGGTGAATTTCACTGGTGTTGGAGCAGAGTGTATGACAACAGGATCATCCTGCACCTTTTCCCAATTCCACTGTGGAGAGACTTACACAGTAACTGTTATGGGAGTGACACAGCAGTGCACCAGTCAGCCCAGCACCACCATGGAGCTCAGCACAGGTAAGAGATAGGAATGCTTGCTAATATATTAGACAGATACACTATAGGCCATGAAATTGGAAGCATAACATTAATGAACATTTTATTTTTTCAAGACATAGTGGTCAGTATTACATTTATTAACATAAAACAAATGGCCTTTACTTAAGCCAGCAGCATACTTTGAATGAAAACAACATTTTGAAGCAAAGCAAATTTCTTGGTATACACAGCTTGCTGAACAGAACTCCTTATCAGTGCGTTGTTTGTTCTAAGACCTCTCTTTGACAGTGATTGGTCTACATGTTATTGTGTGGTTGCCTGCATCACTGCACAGGCCTTTAGCAGTGCTCAGACATGCACTGTAGTATATTTACACCAACACCATGTGTGATGGACGTTTGATTTCTGTGGCAATAGTGTACAGTTAACTGATTTTTTGTTGTTTTGCTCCTGGTGATGATCTTCCACAGTTATATTGTGACCCTGATCATATTTACCTAATTCTCACATTAAGATGCTTGTTAAAGCTTGATTGAAAGCACTTAAACTGCAAGAGGCATTAGAAGGGCCCACATTTTAGTTCTTTTCAAAACTGGTCAGTGCAAAGGACTGTCATTAATCAGGCCTATGCAGGCTTTTCCCATATAATATGTGGGAATACATTACTGCAGACCAGTGGAATATTTTGGAGGAAACTTCTTAGTTAACAATATATCTGTCTTGGTTGTGTAGGTTGTTGGTGGTAGGTTGTGTTGGTTGGTAAGTTTGAATCTGTAAAAATCTCTGCTTGTTTCTGTACTTTTGAACATGTAATGTATCTCTCACACACAGAGTCACACCTTGACACACACTTTTGTCATCTCCAGCTCCCTGCATCCCCACCCATGTCATGGCAACCTATGACTGCGACACTTCAATTACCACAGTGACGTGGGACATCGCCCGCGGTGCTGACAGTTACACAGTTTATGTGGTGGGTAGCCATGGAGACAGTGCCAACTGCTCTAACACAGACACCAGCTGTGACTTCCCAGACCTGCCATGTGGACAGGACTTCAACGTCACAGTCATTGGAGAACATGGTGACTGTCAAAGCCTGCCCAGTCAGCCTGTCATCGTATCTACAGGTAACAAGTGCCAACAGGGGGTGCCTCAAAATTAAATACGGTGGCGGAAAAAATAATTTTCCCTTTCCCTCAGTATTAGCCAGTCTTTTGTCTAAAACTGTGTTGTTTTGTTTGTTTGGTTTCTTTTTTTGTACTAAAGAGACAAATGTAGTTATCAAGTAATGGCACACCAATTAGCATGGATAAAATGGCTAAATCATCCATCATCTAAACCGCTTATCCTTCTGGGTTGCGGTGGGGTGCTGGAGCCTATCCCAGCTGTCATTGGGCGGAAGGTTGCCAGTCCATCACAGGGCAGACAGACATACACATTCACACCTAGGGGCAATTTTAGCATGTCCAATTGGCCTGACTGCATGTTTTTGGACTGTGGGAGGAAACCCACGCAGACACGGGGAGAACAGGCAAACTCCACACAGAAATGACCCTGGTCGCCCAGCCGGGAATCGAACCCAGGCCATTCTTGCTGTGAGGCGACAGCGCTACCCACTGCGCCACCGTGCTGCCCGCTGGCTAAATCATTACTCACTATAATTATACACTGTAATATGATGTACACTTGTCTATAAAAATTGACTGTCTGTCGCTAAGATAGCTGGAAACTCTAGTATTGCTTATCTTGAGACCTGAATTTTGACCATACATTTCTCCATTTTTATTGATAATGTCACACAGTGTCAGAATCCAGATAAATAAGATTACTTAACAACTTAACAACTTCTATAAAGTTTGTTTCCTTTGGCTAAATGTACTTTTTAATGACCCTCCCATGTCTTACAACCTCGTTTTCTTACCATCTCTCATTTTCTCTCTCCCTCTGTCTTTCTTTCTTTCCCTCTCCTTCTCAACCTCCATCTCTCTTACTTTTTCTTTCTCTCTCTCTGCCCAGGTCCATGTCCTCACTCTAATCTTCGTGTCTCATTGGACTGCAGCAGTAACTCTGCCCTTGTTTCATGGACACCGGGTGATGGTATTCTGTTTTATAACGCCTCGGCTGATGCTTATGATGTGGCCGATCATGTGACCTGTGGCACATCCGGCACTACGTGTAACATCACCAATTTGCAGTGCGCTGCAGTCTACCAGATCAGTGTCAGTGGAGAAAGTCACACCTGCCTCACCACTCCCCAAGAGTGGGTCACTGTTTCTACAGGTAGTGCTCTCTAAAACCTTACATTTTCATCAAATTATAAAACCAGATCTCAGCTCAGCTTACGGTTTACATAATCCAAAGATGTCCTTTTCATCCTTGGGTGTACCTTTGCCTATTTTTTGGGGTAAAACCTTCTTCTTTCATCATTCTCTCATCCACAGGCCCATGCCCCCCAACTCAGGTGTCTGTCCTGTCCTCATGTGACTCAGACATTGTGTCTGTATCCTGGGCAGCCTCTCAGGGCTCTCTCTTCTACCTGGCGATTGCCCAGAGTAGCGGAGGTCATAAAGCAAACTGCAGCAGCAATGGTACAGAATGTGACATCAGTGGACTGCAGTGCGGAGAGATGTACGAAATTTTTGTGTCAGGGGTGGACGAGAGCTGCATCGGGCCAAAGAGTGATGTCCACACTCTCAAAACTGGTGAGACAAAACACAAACTTGTCTATGATGCCTGAGTTTTTTTTAAATAAAGCAAAGAAACTGAAGCAAAAAACCAAGATGATGAGTAGCCTCACTTCAGATTGTTCATTAATTTAATGTACATGATGGGGCCAGAATGTACACGGTCTATCAAATATTTGCAGATGTCTAGCTTATCAGTGTCAGCACTTGTAAAGGTTTACACTTTTCAGAGTTTTTACTGTCTACTATCTATGTGCTTTCAACAAAGATTGTGTAAAAGTGTTATACAAATACATTTATTATTATTATTATGACTTTTAGTGCCATTACTGTAGTTATTAATATTGTTATTGATGTATTGTACATTAATGTGTTTACTTCTTCATGTTACTTAGAATGCTTAAAAATGCTTGTGGTTAGGTGACTCATTTTGATCTCTATATCTCATTCCTGCAGCTCCTTGCGTGCCTCAGAATGTCCAGACAATACTGGGGTGCCAGTCAACCATGCTTAATGTTACCTGGCAACAGAGAGGCGAAGCCTCACACTACCAAGCCATGGTGCAAAGCAGTGACGGTCATGTGACGACCTGTGACACGAACAAGACCTCCTGCGTGGTTCCCAACATCATTTGTGGCCTGATGTACAACGTGGCAGTGGTTGCCCAAAATGAAAAGTGCAACAGCATCCCCAGTTCTGTGCAACAGGCCATCTCAGGTAGGGCACAGAAATGTTATAGCATAAAGTTGTAAATACATGTACAGCACCTGTCAAAAGTTTAGATCCACCCGACTGAATGTGCCCCCAGAATGATAACTAGAAGTTTTCGTTTAGAATTTTACGGAAATTTGGTATTGAAAAACATATAACCACGGTTATCCTTATTATTATGTTTACCTCATTAAAATCGTGCAGTGTCTGTCTTTGATAAGATATTTCAGCCATCTCAGTTCAATTCAGAGTCATCTGTGTTGTGAGGTAGAGTTGGTAAAATTAGTCCTATGTAATAAAAAGTCATTATTTCTTACCGTAGTAGTTCTGTATGTATTATTTCTTCATGCTGGTGTTTTCACTGTTATTCTAAATTGTGGAAAGAATAAAGAAACCTTCTTAATAACTGCTTTTATAACTTTTTAAACTTTTTTCTTTGGCATAGTGCCTTCTCTGATCTCTGTGGTCTGTCTCCAGCTCCCTGCCCTCCCCATGATATTAGTGCGTTCCTGGACTGTGCTTCTAACACAGTCTCAGTGAACTGGTCCTCCAGTGTGCCCGGTGTCCAATACATGGCACAAGCCATCTCCACTACCAGCTATTATACATGCAACAGCACAAACACAGGCTGTAACATCACTGTGCCATGTGGTGTGACGTACAACATCACTGTAGTGCCCATTCAGAATGGCTGTGCTGGAGCCCATTCACCCTACAAGATCATTCAGGCAGGTTAGTGTTGAAGCGTTTGCACAAACACACAATAAATGGTGTCATTTTATTCAATAAAACATAAAATGTAAGCTAGTCTAGATGTCACAATGTGTCTTTTAGGACCACAAGTTATTAATTGATAAAATCATTTTTGGCATCTGTATATGCCTTTTATAATCATTTCTTGATAAGTTATCTGCCTGGAGATTTGATCATCACTTTTTGAAAAATGAGTCATTCTGGATTTAGAAACTTATAGAACTGATTTTATTATAACTTCATTGTCAATATCATACAGCTTTCTCAGTCGTCTTAGAATCATCTGCAGTTCTGTTCTTCATTCTGGACATATCTAAAAAAATTTTTTGATTTTTTACAGCTTCCTACAAGTTAGCCAAAGTTGAAAACTACCAGCATCATATTAAAATCATATTTTATTTAACATTTTGAAATGGTAGTTTTTGTTTTTGTACAGTACTATTCCATGTTTACTTGTATGTGTATATGTGTGTAGGTCCCTGTGCCCCTGCCCTGGTGAATGTGGAGATGGACTGCCTGTTTGATTCAGCCTGGGTGATTTGGAATGAGTCGGCAGGGGCGGATGTCTACGTTGCCGTGGCGATGGACAGTGATGGACATCAGTATGAGTGTAGCTCCAATGACAGCATGTGTGCAGTTCCCGACTTACAGTGTGGAAAGCATTACAACTTCAGTGTAACTGCCTTCAACAGCCAGTGCAGCAGTGCTGTCAGCAACTTAATGGAGTCTGAGACAGGTGAGAGAGAGAGAGAGAGAGAGAAAGAGAGAGAGAGAGAAAGAGAGAGTTCCAGGAGTTGACATTCTGTAGGCCAACTGGTAGTATTAAAAACAGAAATGTCCACACTGACTCTACAATATCAGCAATGCTCTCTTTTGGTAAACTCCACATGTGGCAAAATATTTTAACAGTTACTTATTGTTGGTTTAAAAGCAGTGACTGGCCTGTAGATTTTAGACATTAGCTATGATTATCTTAATTTGACCTGACAGTTTTCCCACCTCTATATTAAAGGGCCCATATTATAGAAAACTGACTCTACCTTTCTTTTTTTAAATTAAAGAGTTTGATGTAGTATGCAAACTTTGTTAAGGTTTGAAAACATGGGATTCACTCCCCAGCCCATACAGTTCATATGTAGAAACTAAGCTGCAAAAACAAATCATTTTAAGTTAATTGTTTTTGTGTCATGAAAATCAATGCATTTACATATATCCCTAAGGGGTAAAGAGAGAAGTAAAAAGGACATGTAAAAATCAGTTATGATTGTTCTTAGTTTGCACGCAAGTATTAGAAGGAGACCTCAGGGGAAAAAGGTAGAAAGCAAAAAAAAATAAGATGGGGCACTTTAACTAGTTTTGTTATTTGCTTATGCATCTTCGTAAACAAATATCCAAATAGCGAAGAAAGAAAATATTCTTATTATCATGCATAAAACGTCATGGAAGGTTGAGTTCGTGATTTATCTTTGTTTTAGGTGTATGTGATTTAACACATTATCAGTTTACCTGCAGAATGACAACTGGAAGCCACACAACTTACAACGTACAATTTTGTCATTGTTTTGTCATTGATTTCCATATATACCTCTACATTTCACTTAGTATGACACACAAAATCAGCATTTTTTTCAGCATGACCCAACATTGGCTATGTTTCTGCATTAAATACTCAAAAAATGTTTACAAGTACAAGGTAAAATACACTTAATTTACTGATCAAATTTCTTATTTGAATACTAAATTTAAATAAACAAAGACTAAGATGCAGTTGTATATCCAAATATTTAAATAGTCATGCCCTTCCCTATTAAAACAGAGGTGTTCATGTTTTCTCTCACTCTTTTTTTGCCTCTCTAGCCCCCTGTGCTCCTGTAGGTGTGGATGCATCGGTGGGGTGTGTGAGCGGCACGGTGAGTGTTTGGTGGGAAGAGAGTGTTGGGGCTGTGAGCTACACTGCTACACTCGAGCGCTCTGACGGCAACACCTCCTGCTGCACTGCACATAACACCACTTACTGTGAGGTCACTTCCCTTCCCTGCGGCCAAATGTACGTTTTGACGGTCACTGCAGAGGGACGCACCTGTAACAGCTCTCAGAGCACAGCCTCTATCATACGGACAGGTGACATCTACTGTTTCTTGTGTCATAACTGGTGATAAATGATAAAATACATTTGCTTGATACATTCATGAAATTCTTTGTTCAGTAAAGCTGTTTTATAATCATATGACAATATGAGAAGCGACAGATTATGATTAAAGCAGTATGCCTCTGACTGAATGTGCCACAAGTACACCTTTTTTTCCTGTGCAAACAGACATCTAACTAAACTCTTCTTCAAAAAATGCAAAATTACAAAAGCACTAATAACGTAAAATAAAAATAATAAATTACTATTAGATACTTAGAAGTGCAAGTGCACTGTAATGATGAAAAACATTCCTTGAACAGCTTTTTCTATAAAGGCTTTTCTGTAACCAAAAATGAATAAATGTATATGTTTTATTTTCCAAATACAAAAATGAATAATTATAATATTTATTTACTTAAAAATCTCCTTATAGTGATGCATGTTTGTTGTGACAGTGGCCATTACTGCTTCCCACATTTTAGACATTCACTGGGAGTGAGAATAATCATCACAATTGAAGCATGTTTATGGGTTAGTAGTTCATGATAGACTTTTTTTGAGCTGTGCAGGTGTATGACTTGTGATTTTCCTTTTAGAATTAAGTTAGCTGGTTAAGTTATTCGCCTTTCATGCACAGATGTTCCAATGCTTCATCCCACCTCTTTAATTACATCATTCTGTTGCTGAATGTGAGGTAATCTGTTCTGTCATTGCAGGCTTTAAGATTGTGTTTGTTGCAGAATATTGCGATGATAAAAATGTGATGTCATGTTGCTACAAGCTTTCCACTGATTTCACTGTAATTCTTGGGTCATAAATTATTATATAATATATAATTAGTGCTTTGTGTATCCTAACGGCTGCTGAATGGTTTATGTCCTCAGCACCCTGCACCCCGCTGGGTCTGACCTCCAGTGTGAACTGTAACACTAACATAGCCACCATGTCATGGGCGAACAGTGCGGGCGGTCTGCTCTACACAGTCTACGCGGTGAGTGAGGACCTAATGTTTTCGGACAGCTGCGACGGCTTTGATGGCTCGTGTGATCTGAGTGCCCTGGCTTGTGGACTCCAGTATAGTGCCACAGTTGTGGCGCGGGACAGCACTTGTGTCAGTGCGCCAAGCACACCCACACATATCAGAACAGGTGAGTAGGACTCACCCCCGCCCCTCAAGCTAAATTTTATTACAAGTAATATCCACTTCACATTGTTGTCATTGTTTGAAGTGATTGTTAGTGAAAAATGTGAACAAAAATCTCAAACTTTCACCTTATCTCACATTTGAAAATTGATAGAATTTTAAAGCCTGAATATTACCCATATTTATCCATACAGCGTCAGAAACTCTGTTTAATATAAGGGAAAAACTGTGTAAACTTGATTTTTTCATGAAGTATTGTTTTAAAGCTGGAATTCTAAGCTTCCAGGCTTCCGTTGCTTACCCAATACATTTCTAATAAACGGTGGTTTTCTTCCTAGAATATAGGCAGGGCGCATTTAATACCTTTTCACAGTAGCCATAAAATGTGATTTCTGCCTGCTTTGGAGGAAGTTCCCTTAGTTGAACAATGCTTATTGTTCTTCAGCAACATTAATATATTTTAGTGTACATATGTTTGATCTACAAAACCACCAAACTAGATTTTCATCTTTGTGGCTGAGCAAACAAGTCAGCATTTATAGAAGTATTTTGTATTCTGTTTACATGTATCTATTTATTTTTATTTATATTCATTTGTACATTTTTTTTTTTATCAAAAATTCTGCAGTGCTGTCTGTTTTATGTCAGCATGGCCGTCCTTGTGTAGGGTTGTGAAATATTTTCACACTAGAGGGCTCTCGCCCCTCCCTCTTTCACCTCTCTTTGCTTTCTAGCAGCTCAGTACAGAGTCACATTTCACACGCACAGAGCCAAGTTAATCTGATAACAGGGTTAGGGGGTAAAATATTTTTCTCAGATTATTAAGGAAAAAATATTCTCAGAAGATTCTCATTCCTGCAGTAGAATGGCCCCTAGGGGACCTGCAGAGAGAGACTGTTTTGTCTTAAGAAGCTTTATATATGTACTGGTAAGAAGCATCCCAGGTGATGCTGTTTGAGTACTACTGATACTTTCTAATGAAAACTTTTGTTTAACAAACATTCATGAGCTCATAGAACTCATAGCTTATAGCAGCTGAATTATAACGTTGTCTTCAAGGCCAGAGCTGTGTACAATGATTTGTCCCAAACAAGTGCTAAACTAACAGGATTTGACATTTTCAAGACATCCACCAAATTCGGCCTTGTGCTGTGCCCATATCTCCGCTAGCCCAACGTTGACCTGTATTCTCTCCTGCTTCAGTACCGTGTGTCCCTCCAAACTTGAGGTTGGAGGTGGACTGCCAGACTCGCAACCTGAATGTGTCTTGGGAAGAGAGTCCAGGGGCGTCTTTCTACACAGCCACACTGATGGACAGCTGGGGGCGTTCTACTAACTGCCAGAGCCTGTCTAACAGCTGCAACATTAGCAGCCTAGCCTGTGGAAACATCTACCATGCCAGCGTGGTCGCTTCTGACACATACTGCAGCAGCCAGCCCAGCGATGTCGTCGATACAGATGCAGGTAGAAAACATACACGCACACAAACATGTTTGTGCTAATACTGACAAGGTGATGTCAAAGAGATTCACAATTTTTGGAAGACTTACACTTACTGCACTCTTATCAACCATCAGACGTTTAGAGACATTATATATGTCTGAACACATGACTTGGCAACTGGCATTCCTCTCTGAATCTTTCTGTGTATTGTATCTCTCTATACCATTCTATCTATTTTGTCCTCCCCTTCTCATCCTCTCGTTATGATGTCCCATAGTGTCTGCCTTTTTCATATGGCAGAATGAACGGAAAAAAAACACTTTTCGCTTTTCATTTTTCATGTTATGTAAGTGGCGATGTAAACTGTTGAAGTTAAACAATATGCCCTGTGTCAAAAATGCTGTTACAAACCTTTCATTCTTTTTCTCTCCCTCTCCCAGTTCCTTGTGCCCCGAGTAATATCCAGGCAGTGATGGACTGTCAGACTGGCTCGGCTGTGTTGTCCTGGCAGTCCAGTGCTGGCGCATTGGAGTACACGGCCACAGCAGTCAGCACGTCTGGCCACGCCGTCTTATGTGAGAGTAATGAGACAAACTGTGAGCTTCTCCACCTAGTGTGCGGATCCAAGTACAGCATCTCAGTGCAGGCCAAGGGAAACACCTGTGGAATCTCTGCCTCTATGAGTGGTTACCTGGAGACAGGTGAGGTATCAACACTGTCATAAATACTTAGACATAATTATAAAGTGACAAAAGCATCTATAACAGAGTTAAACAGAATCTGGTTTATATAGTGCTACTTGACATGACAGTGCTGTTTACTTCATAATATACACTGTAATATAGATTTGTAAAAATAAGTAATCCTGTCATACAGACGACATCTTGACATACGCCCCGGTGTAATATTCCTATGCTTTAATGATCTGTTTTACCTATAAGTAATTGTGTGGAATAAAGCAATAAATGGATAAAAGAAAAACTTTTTACAGTTTGTAATAAAAATAAAATGCATTACTTTCAATACTTTATTTTTTTATTTACATAAACTGTAAACCACTTTGAGCTTTATTAGTAGTGAAATGCCCTACATAAAAACATTATTACTGTCATTAGTAATAATAGTAGTATTAGCATTAAATAGAAAAATTAAAGAGTGAATTTAAGGTATTGTACTGAGTTTATTGATGTTTACATGAACATGTAATGTCATTTTTCAATACATTACATCATTTAGATCTTATAGCATAATACTGTTACTTAATAACATTTTATTATACTGTTACATCTTTGCAGCAAAGATTAAAACTGTAATGCAATACTTCAGGTAATTTCGATTTCTATAAATGTATTTCATCCATTTGTATCCACCTATTCTAGGGCCATGTGTTGTGGAGCATGTCAGTGTGAGTTACACCCCGTCTTTGGGACAGATCTCATGGGACATGAGCAGAGGGGCGATAGGCTACATGGCGATGGCCCTTACCGAACAGGGCCTTCAGGCATCCTGTTTATCCCAGGACACTTCCTGCGTGCTCTATGGCATGGCCTGTAGCCAGACCTACAATGTCACCCTCACAGCCAATAACAGTGTCTGCCAGGGTGGGGTCATATCAACTCCTGTCATAGTGGACACAGGTGAGCAAGCAAAGAAAGCCTAAATGATAATATTACAAAACAACACCAATAACTCTTAATTATAAGAGCTAAAAAGCAAAAAAAACTGCTTGAACATCTGCAGTGCATTTCTCTTAAAAATGACGTTTATGTGTCATGCTGATTAAAAATATGGTTTGGAGTAGTTTCAATTGATAAGCAGATATTTTTGTTAGCATTATTTGGAACAAACATATAGGACATGGCTAGAACACTTTAAACATATGATAGGTAAGGTCCATAAAGCATTGAAAGTAATAGTAAAAAAGTGAAGAACTGTAGAGTTAGGTCTGTAGCCTGTAAGCTGCTTTGTATACAACAAAATACATAACATTTCCTGCTCTATTCGAAACTACTGTAAAGGAAAATCAAGCTGGTTATATTTGCCACTTCAAATGAAAAGACAGGTATATAAAATGTGCATTTGTCTTCCAGAACCGTGTCCCCCAACCAATGTGCAGGTGCGTGCGGTGTGCTTGCATAAGGAGGGAGTGGTTGCGTGGGAGGCAAGTGCCGGGGCGGTGAGCTATGTAGCTGTGCTGGAGGGCCGAGAGGGCGACACTCTGTCCTGCCAGACTACAGAGACTACCTGCAGCGTGCCTGAACTGCATTGTGGGACCGTTTACATCACCACTGTACAGGCCATTGGCCTCAGCCTCAACAGCTCTAACAGTGATGCTGTACTGCTGACAACAGGTTAGTAATGCATACACGCACACACACAGAACTGGACTGGTCGCTGTGACCATGGACTCACTCACACTCACATACACACATGCACACACACACACACACTTCATGTAAGTCACTATGATCATACATTCACACATACATATAAATTCCAGGTTAGAAATATTACTCTTAGGGATGTACATCTGTGACCACACCACCAAAAAAACTGGATCATGATTCTTTAGGAAACCATTCAATACATTCAGAATTCTTTTATAAATAAACTGAACACACAAATGTAACTGGAGGAAATGTTTACACCATAGTGGAATATAAACAATAAAAAACAATACCCCAATTAAGACAATGACAATGAAGTCTTTTTATTTTTTGTTTTACAAACAGTATGAGCTTTTTAATTTGGCTAAGTGCAAAATGTATTTGTGTCCAGCCCCCTGCCTGCCAGACCCCAGCAGTATTACTGTGGCTGTAGGATGTGATAATGACACTGCGTTGGTCAGCTGGGCTTGGAGTAATGGTGCTTCATCCTATGAGCTCACTGCTACAAGTAATGATGGTTATGTAGCGACATGTGCCTCCCAGCAGAACTACTGTAACTTCACAAACCTAGTTGTGTGGACAGACGTACAACCTCAGCCTGACATCTGTCAACAGTGTGTGTCAGGTTACCCAGGATACCAGCATCACCTTCCAGACACGTAAGTCAGTGGTTTAAGCAACTTAAGGAAAAATAAGGTTATGATGTAAAAGTATACAGAATTCTACTGATATATGTTTTTGATAACTGGCATGGAATTAGAACTAGACTAGCAGCAGCTGGTCTGACTGCTTGCTGCTGGTGTATTTCTTAGTTGAAATACACATGAATGATGATGTTAATCCTTATAAAATAACTCAGACCAGGAATCAATGAGGCAAAAATTAATTTCTCCCCACAACTATTAAAGCAAAGATTCTGCCAGAAATACTACACAATTTTCCCTTGACCCCATAAATACCTGATAAACCAAGACATGTTTGGTGTTTGGTGTGAAATTTGCCTCCTTAGTTTTGTACTGTAGCTACAGAGCTAATGTAGATAACACGTTATGCATGCTGAAGCCACCAGTTAACATAAAGTAAACTACAAGCCTAAATTATTGTACACAGTTGTTGTACACACTGAGTTGTTAAATAATCTCAAATAAATTTGCTTACTTGGTGGCTGACACTATATGACATACTGTTAATAGCATGATGTTAGTCAATGTGGTATGAGCTTCCATGACTTGTTAGCCATATAAGCCTTGCAGCTCCAGTGAAAAACTGAACAATCTTCAGACACCAAATGTGTCTTGACTGATCAGCTACATTTGAGGAAAAGAAAATTTGTGTGAATTTGATTTTTTTAACAAAACAATGCTTAAAGTCGCTGTGACATTTGCTGTCTTTAGGACCCTGCGTACCACTGCATGTGGCAGTGAACCTGGAGTGCGGCTCATCCACAGCTGTGCTGTCTTGGGAACAGAGGCTGGGTGTTGTGTACTACCAAGCCAGCGCCAACTTCATGCCAGGAGGTGCAGCTACACTGTGTAACTCCACCACTGACAACTGCCGATTCAGTGGGCTGCAGTGTGGAGTAGAATATTCATTCAGCGTCAGAGCGCACAGCCACCAGTGCCATAGTGACCTCAGCACCACTGTCCACATCACAACAGGTTTTTCTCTCTCCTCTCTCTTTCTCGTTCTCCCTTACTGCTACTTTGACGCTTTCTTTCTGTGTCTTACTTTGTTCCCTCTCTCTCACCATTTCTGCCTCTATCACCCTGTTGTTCTGTTTCTGCTTTCTTTTACTGCCACAACTTGACTTTCGTTTCATCTCATATTTAAGCATGATCTCTGATTTTAGCACATTAAATGAATAATTCAGTCAGCAATGCTAATGTTGCTAATAATGAATGAAAGCAAAAAGCCATTAATTGACATCATAAAAATGACAACATTCTAATTAGTGCCTACAAGGTTTCATCCATTGTTATCAACATTAGGATGTGTGGTTGGTTCCTTTTAATACTCCTCAGGTATTCATTAAAGCCCTGCTCAACTGCACTTGATTTTGGCCTAATTAAGGCTTTGTCTTCTTAATCCTCCTCAGAATCATGTCAGCCTCAGCACCTGACTGTGAATGGCTCCTGTGAAAACAGCACACTTCTCCTGAATTGGGACGATGCTGCAGGCGCACTGGGCTATGTTGTCATTGCCACAGGCAACCTGGGATACACCAGTGCCTATCAGACCAATGTGTCCATCCTGGAGGTGGAGCTTCCCTGTGGGCAGAGCTATAGTTTCACTGTCATGGGGCAGGACGAACTGTGTAACAGCCCACTGAGCAGCCCCGCAGAGTTCACAACTGGTACATCATTACTGCTGTTTCTATTAATCTTAGTGCAGATGAATAATATAGAAGCATAAATCAGCCTTAATAAATATACATGGTGTTTGCTTATGGTTGGGCCACAGAGATCTGAGATCACTAGTGGAGTGCTTCTGTTTCGCATTCTTTTCTAATTTATTTAAAAAACTGGTCATTACGAATTGTATTATCAGCACAGCAATTTGAGTGAATAGAATATTTGAAATATGAACATACGTTTCTGAATTTTTTAGTGTTATGTCCCCCTTTGCTTTAATGATAATGTGCAAATCCACACATGCTTCAATAGTAGGCATAAGACTCAAAGAACAAACTGGACCTTTTTTTTTTATAAAGGCTTTAATGTGGTCAGTATTAATTTGCTTAAATTTGAATGGCAACCTAGAAATGGTCCAGAATCGTGAATAGTTCTTCTTCATTTGACTTTTTTTTTGTTTAAAATTTCTCAGAAGTCTAAAACTGTTCTGTTGTTTATTTCCAGATTTGAATTAAAAAATGTAAATTCTCAGACTTTCTGACCCCACTGTATTATTTGGTTACTATTTGTACTATGTATGCGAGTGTGCGCAAACAGTGTATGTTAGTATGTGTGTGTATATGACTGACTCCTGTTTCCTCTTCTGTAGCCCCGTGTGTGCCACACAGTGTGGAAAGCTTTGTTCAGTGTGAGAACAGTGTGGGCTCTGTCAGCTGGGCCAGCAGTGATGGGGCAGAATCTTACACCGTGGTTGCTAGGGGACAGCTAGGCCACACCCACATGTTTAGCACCAATGAAACTGTGTGCACCTGGAGTGACCTGGAGTGTGGAGAGATCTACACAATCCGGGTCGTCGCCAGCAACCTCCGCTGTAGCAGCGCCCCCAGCAACAGCACTGTCATCCGCATGGGTGAGGGACAGAGCCTGTCGTTTTTTCTGTAATTCTTCTACTTCTTCCATTAGTCTAACATGTACAGATTATAGAGGTATACAGCCATATAAGAGCACAATGCAGGAAATCTGGTCTAGTACAGTTTTTCCCATAAACTTTGGCCAATCAAATGGGTTCATCAAAAAGTATGATCCAAATAATAATTTCAGTAATAGTAATAATTAGTGATAGTAATAAAACAAGAAATACATTTACAAACACACAAAAATGAAAAGAAAGACCAAAAAAGTATTTAGCAAGGCTCAAATGAAAAACTAAATTTCTCAGAGCATTAGACAAAATTGGTCTGTAAATATGTAAATATTTGTTTTTTTTGCCATTTTTTGTTATAAAAAATATTAAACTTCTAGGACTGTTGTGACTAAGTGTGGTTGTTGTGTCTAGCTCCCTGTGTCCCTCAGAGAGTGTTGTCAGCTATGGACTGTGATCTGAAGGTGGGCTCGCTGACCTGGCTGCCCAGTCAGTCTGCAGAGTCCTACCTGGTAACTGCAGAAGCCAGCAGCGGTCATCATGTGGAGCTCTCCACCAACAGCACAATGGCACAGATCTCAGAGCTCCAGTGCGGGCAGGAGTATTATCTGACTGTCAGAGCCATCGGGCAAGGGTGCAGGAGTAGTGCCAGTAACTCCTCACTGTTGCAGACAGGTGTGTACATGCACACCAACATGAGCGCATACCACACATACACATGAATGAAATTAGATTAGCATTTCTCTGTTCCAGCTTTACAGAATACTCAGTATGACATGTGAATGCACACGAGTACATACAAACAGTGAAGAGCACATGTGTTAAAAATGACTTAACATTGATTTTAACTTACAGTGTTAAGTAAAATTTTGGACACCCTCGATCAAATTACATGTTTTGTTGATTTTCTAAGTGAAAATAAGATCATCCACAGGGAACCAGCTTAAATATGGCATTTGTCTGCAGAATTTAGAGCACAGTTTCTAATTATTTGCTGAGTTTTACATATTGGGAAAAAAAAAAACAAAATGAAAAGGACACATTTTATGATTTATTTTCTGTTCCAGTATGTTAAATTTAGCAAATAAAAAGTATTTGTGCATTAAATGTGCAGAAGAGTGTGTTCTGTAGAGGAAGTGTTAACTTATTTTTTACTTAGAAAATCGACAAAACATTTGACCAGGGGTGTCCAGAAATTGTAGAGATGAATGAGTAACAAAGACACAAGCACACAGTCCAAAAACTATAGAGATAAATGCGTAACAAGGTTACCAAAAGCTAGTTGTGTGCTAGTAGTGCTCCTTTCTGAAGAATCTAAATGTAAGTGAGTTACAGGACGGATCCATCGGGTGCTTTGCATCTAATAAGCAGCAAATTCGTTAGAATCAGAATCACTCTGCTGGCCACGTTCAATTCCGTGTTAGAGAAATTTGTCTTGGTGAAACTGGTGCTTACATAAATAAAAAATACATAATACACGTAGTAACCACTAACGCAAATAAGATTTAGACATATAGAAAATATACATATCCACAGTATTTTAATGTATAATTTAACACTTCGTTCCGGTCTTGAAAGGCCACATTGCTGCCCTGTTTAGTTTTTTCCTTCTCTAACATAATTGATTCAAGTAATGTCAGACTTAATAACTGAACAGTTTAATTTGGACAATTAGAGCAGGGATGACACTAAGGTGTGCAGTATAAATTAAGGTAATGGAATTTATAGTGTTCCTCTCTCCTGTATCTGTCAACAGAACCATGTCCACCTTCTGCTGTCTTCACCGAGATAGACTGCTTCTCCAACATTGCTGTGGTGAGCTGGTCATTGTCAGACACTGCTGACCACTATACTGCCAAAGCTCTCGGGCCCGATGGTCAATCAGAGACATGCATGTCATCATCCATGAGCTGTGGCATGGCCACTCTGCAGTGTGGAGAGAAATATAACGTTACAGTCACTGCATCCAATCGCCTGTGCACCTCTGTACCCAGCCAGCTCACTTACCTCAACACAGGTGACCTATGCAATACTATAGAAAGTAGTTAAACATGACTGCCAGTTTCAGTTACCTTATATGGATTAGCCTCTTAAAAGCCTTTCTAAATAATCCTGAAGGGTAGAATGAGTTCTCATATACTATTTACACTACTTTGTGCTTGTACAAAATAATTTGGAACATAAATCATACCTAACATGTTCTGTTGCTGTCCTGCGTTCAGCGCCCTGTGTTCCAATGGGTGTATCGGTATCGATGGACTGTACCAAAAACGAGGCACATGTGTCATGGAGTGCCAGCCAGGGGGCAGTGTCCTACCAGGCCCTTGCCCAAAGCAGAAGAGATGATGTCTCATCCTGTAATAGTACTGGCAGTGACACACACTGCATTCTGCACAACCTCACCTGTGGGATAGCGTACACTGTCCAGGTGGTGGCTGTTGGGGACCAGTGCTCCAGTTTACCAAGTCAGCCATCAGTGTTCCGCACAGGTATGGTATCTTAAGAAGACCTGACACTGTGAGTGTGTCTCAGAACCTAGTGGGCTCTCTAAGTAGCCGCTGCCTACATAGGCAGCTGTCTAAGTAGGCAGTGTTCCAACCGTCATCTATCCTTATAAGATAGATGAATGAGACGCTCTAGTTAGACAGCAGTGACGTCGCCGCTTGTTCCTGCCCACTGCACGAGACCGGCGTTTACTTACCTCAGGCGTCAGAATCACATTTAGCCAACATGGATTCTGCTCTGGCAGTTTATATAGCAATTTTAACTGTATTTGCTCTGAATGAAGCAGCAAAATAGACAATAGATGTGGTCAAACGCGGAAAGTATAGGCTATTTGTGCACCTTTATGACTAGAAAACAGATAAACACCCCAGAAAATCAGAATAACTCACATTTGAAGATGACGTCGCTGCTTGGTGAAGAGCTTCTGCCCGCCATTTTCAAACAAAAGTTGCGCCGCGCTGCATCGCGGGATTGCCTCGGCGGCTGAGGAAACATCCAATGCTCTCTTGATATTCGAGAGACCTCAGTAGGCAGCATATTTGAGATATCTAAGAATTGGGACAGTCAGAGCACGCATATTGTGACATAAAATGCTGTCTGTGTAGAGCTCACTAGGTTTTGAGACACACCTGTATAGCTAGTTATGGTGCTATTGCGAGAACAGAAACAGAATATTGTCACAGTGCCACTGAAACAGGACTGTATAACATCTGTGCACAGTGCTACCTTAAAGGGGAATTCCATCAATTTCTACATAATTAAGTTGTTGAGAAGTAATTCACAGGAGTTTGATGTGAATGATGGTTCATTTTAGAGAAACTTATTGACTGACAAATATAGCCATTTTATTTACTATATAAAATAACCAACTTTGTCTTCTGTCTTCTTTTTATTTGTAAAGTAGACACTGTAAAAACCAGTAAAACACTGGTAAATCTGAAAAGTAAGTTTTCTTTGGGTACTATTTTGCTTTACAACACTCTGCATGTACCGCTCATGGAACTGGAACTGGTTCTAAAATTATGTTTTAGTCTACAACTGTGTCTCAAAACTATCATAAAACATTGTCTCAGGCATCAGGCAATGTATTTTTAACCATCCATATAGTAACTTTTTATGAGGTTGCTTTTATAGGCATTATATTCTTCAAATGTCTGGTTTTTATTATTCTGTAAATAATTGTGACCTGGTAAGTTTATCTAAAATGGAGCATTTCACATCAAACAATCCTGAATTGCTTAACAATCTTAACAATGTGATTATTATTATTATTTTTGCATTTTCTCTTATAGTAGTGCATATATTATCTGGATAGTCACAGGCTGATAGGCCAAGCAACAAAAAAAGCAACAAAGGTCCCTATGATGAAAAATTAAAATGTGGTTAAAACAATCTTTAATCGTGTATGATGTTGTTTTTATGTATCTGCTGATATGTTTTACTCCCTGTCTCTGTGCATGATTAGTTCCATGCAGCCCTGATATTGGCTCTGTGCTCCTGAACTGCTACGCTAACTCTTTGCTGCTGGACTGGACTCCCTCTGGCAGCTCTGTCTCCTATACTGCCATCGCCCAAGCACCCGGTGGCCAAGTCTCATCCTGCAGCACCAACTTCACCAGCTGTGAACTGACACAGCTGATGTGTGGTCAGACCTACAATTTAACTGTGGCAGCCTCGGATGGACAGTGCAGCAGCAAGCAGACCACTGCCATGCAGGTGTCATCAGGTAACGCACTGATTACTATTTAGTAATCCAGTAGAGGATGCATGTTTTACAAATGTTCAATGGGAATCTTTCATTTAAAAGGTTCATATTCTAATTTTGTTTTACAAATAAACCGTTTCTGAAACTCACTTACCTCCTTACAGTTAAACCATGTTACTGTGCCTTTAAGACTGGCATGTAGAAGTGGTCTTTCTTCATTTAGACCTTCTTTTTATCCTAAGGTTTACTTTCAATTGCTCATTTTCTCTTGCTTTTTCAGTGCCCTGTCGTCCTGAGAGTGTGCTGCCCAGCATGAACTGCTCATCCAACTCTGCACACGTGCAGTGGGACACTGGCAGTGGGGCAGAGTCTTACGAAGTCCATGCCATTGGCATGAGAGGTCACGTAACAGGATGTAACACCACACATCCTTCTTGTGATTTACCCAACCTGCAGTGTGGCGATGTGTACAACATCAGCGTGGTTGCTTTTAATAACCAGTGCACTGTAACAAACGAAGCAGTGACACAGCTGCATACAGGTGTGTGTGTGGATAGCTGTCTTCATATATTTCATTATCTTAAAGCAATGATTTGGTAAAAAAAAACAATTTTCCTCTTATCCCAAATACAGTTAAGACATATAAGGCTAAAGTGACTTACAAAATATTTAATGTATCAACTAATTAACTTTTTTTATTTTTGTATATGTACACACTTTTTTTAAGTTTATGAGTGCAACATTTGGGTTGTTTACTACAGTGTTACATAACCTTTCCTTATAACAATGTTCAGTAATCTTTTGAGGAAGGATACAAACTGTTGGAGTTTTTTCCCATTCTTGCTTGATATAACACTTCAGCTTAACAGTATGGGGTCTTGTTGTCGTATATCCCACTTCATAATGCACTACACATATTCAGTGGGGGACCAGTCTAGCACCTGCATTGTCTTGCTGAAACCATTATGGACGATCCTGAAAAAGATGCCGTCTAGATTGTAGCATATGTGGCTCCAAAATGTGTATGTGGTTCTTAAAATTAATGGTGCCTTCACAGATGTGCAAGTTACCCATGCCACTCGCACTACCACACCCCCATACTGTGAAAGACACTGGCTTTTGAACTTTGCGCTGGTAATAATTGGGATGGTCCTTTATTTCCAAAACCCTTTGAAAGGTGGACTTGACAGGCAACAGCAAGTTCCACTTTGCATCAGTCCATCTCAGATTAGCTTTAGCCCAGACAAGTCGGATGGATGTTGCTGATGTATGGCTCTCGCCTTGCATAACAGAGTCTTTATTTGCGTTTGTAGATCCACCAATAAAATGTGTTTCACTGAGAAGGGTTTTCAGAAATATCCTCGGGCCCATGTGGTTAAATCCATTACAGAAGCATGTTGAAAGAGATCGAAGGTCACAGACATTGAATATTGGTCTTCAGCCTTGCTCATTATGCACAGAGGCTTCTCTGGATTCTCTGAATCTTTTAATAATATATAGACTGAACATGGTAAAATCCCTTATTTACTTACAATCGCGTGTTGATAAGTTTTTAAAATGTTAAACTGGACTATTAGTTCATGCAGTTTTTCGCAAAAGTGGTGAAAGTTGTGAAAGCTCCTTTTATACTGAATCATGATGGCATCACTAGTAACATATTCACCTGTTTAGCTGTGGAAACGTGTTTTTGATAATTCCACAAACGTCCCAGTTGTCTCTTGCCCTTGTCACAGCTTTGGAATGTGTTGATAAAGTAAAATGTCAAATATCTGTTCTTTGTGTTGTTTTAATCAAATACCTGTAAAAGACATTATCACAAATCACTGCCTTCTTTTTATTTGCATTTCACAAAGTGCCCAAACACTTTTGGAGCTGGGTTTGTGGCATTGTACCTTGTAGCACTGTGGACTTTCTTCTGTTTCTTCTGACACACCAAGTGACATGCTGTTATCTATAAAAATTAACAACATCACAGTCATTGCTAAAAACTCTCTTAAAAGCTACATTTTTGTCAGCCTAAAATGTCTAGGCTGATCAATTACATTATATTTGGGGTGAAGGGAGAGTTGTGTAAATTAATTTTTTTGGCTTGCATTTTAAATACATGACATCTGCAGTCATTTGTGCACAAAATAACACAAAAGTAAAAAGCTGTTACCCATGTTCTGTCCATCCCATAGTGCCATGTGTTCCTGCCCCCCTGGACGCCAGTCTGGATTGTGCATCTGGAGCTGTTACAATGTCCTGGCAGTCTAGTAGTGGAGCCACGTCTTACACAGCAGTTGCCCAGGGTTATGCTGGTTTTGCTTCATCGTGCAACAGCAGCAGCACAACATGTGTGTTCAACAATTTGCTGTGCGGCATGACTTACAGCTTCACCGTCTCAGCCTCTGACAATGTGTGTAGCAGTGCATACAGCCACAGCATCGAAATGAACACAGGTAAACACACATAATTGTAATACTGCTTGATACTACAACAACCCTGATGTTGACTTTGAAAAAATATAGTTTCACCAAAATACATAAATGCAAAGAAACGAGAAACAGCAGAAATAACTTTTTTTGTGTCTTGCTTTCATTAAGAGGGCCTGTGGTCCAAGACAGTGATTGCTTATTGTCTAGTTTTGACTCACCAAACCCATCAGAAGTCAAGTTTATCAACGGAACCCAATGGCAGTTTTGCTTAAGGCTCTAAGGAGACTTAATGGTTATTTTCCTAAAATTCCTCAGCAGAAATAGCATTAGAGAAAAAGAAGACATTATAGATAAATATGAGTGTTACTACCTCTGCAAATCTGAGCACAATGTTTGACTTTATTGAGAGCTCTGCTAAAACTCAAGAGAAGACGTGAAATTATTGGGCTCCTTTTCTCAGCAGAAATATCTGAGCAGCAGGACAGACTTAAGCAAAAGTCTCCTTTGTTTTTCTATCTGAGCTTGTTTTCCAAGATTTTTACCCAATTTTCTCCCCAATTTTGTTGTTTCCAATTCCACCTGCTAGTTAGGACTCCCCCAATCACACAATACTACCAACGCTAGAAGGGTGAAGGCTAACACAGGCTTCCTCCGAGATCTGTGAAACCAGCCACCGCTTCTTTTCGAACTGCCGCTCACGCAACGTCATTGGACAGTTGAACAAGCTTGGAGGAAAGCGCCAACTGTCAGATCTGTTACGTCAGCTAACAGACGCCTGCGCTGACTAGCATCGCGTTGAGTGATGGGGGGGGGGAGGGGGGGCCATCCTACTCACCCAGAGAGCGAAGCCAATTGTGCTCTCTTGGACTCCCAGCTATGGATGGCTGTAGCATCACCAGGGATCGAACTCGCAATCTCCTGATGATAGGACCAGCGCTTAGACGGTTGCGCCGCTCGGGAGACCCTACGGACATATTTTTAGATTTTTCTTTCCAAGGGGATGATACGGCACACAGCAATGAAACATGCTTATCTTTTTAATCAGTGAAAAAATGACCAGAATTGCTGTTTAAATGTAATATGTAACGCAGAATCTTTGTCTGTAATTGGTCAGTTCCATGTGAGCCACACATGCTCAGTGCTCACGTTGACTGTCAGAGCAGCACAGGACTTCTGTCATGGGAACCTGGAGAGGGTGTAGTCTTCTACTTGGTGCAAGCAGTGGGAGCCGATGGACACCAGATGGAGTGTTACAATACCAACACCAGCTGTTCACTACCCGACATGCACTGTGGCCAACCATACAGCCTCTCAGTCACTGCTGAGGACAACCAATGTAACAGCAGCTCAACCCATCTTAATCTGCAGTCAGGTACTGGATTACGTTTCCCATGCAAATTCATAGAAAGCATAAAAAAGAGTATGGCAGAATAGCTCTTGCATAGGTGACAACCGTTCAGTACTATCTGTGACAACTGAATACAGATGCCATTTTCTTTGTGCTATATCAAACAACAGTATCTAAATGTGCACAATTACACATTTTGATTTTGTCAACCCAACACAACATAAGCATGCACTTATGAACTGTTTCTTAAGAAAAAATTTCCATGTAACCTTACCACTCTCCACCTTAACCCATTTTACTTCCTCACCCTACTTTTTTTCTCAGTGCCCTGTGTGCCCACCGGTGTTCAGGCCTCCCTGCTCTGCAGCTCTAACTCTGCAGCTGTGACCTGGCAGACAGCCAGTGGGGCGCTGGGGTACCAGGCAGAGGGTGTTAGTACAGACGGCCTGCACAAAGTCTCCTGTAACTCCAGCCTGCCTCATTGCAACCTGCAGCAACTGAACTGCGGAATGTCCTACAATGTGACCGTGGTGGCGCTGGACAACACCTGCCACAGTGGCAGAAGCACCCCGACACAATTGCACACAGGTGAGGGATTGTTGTACCCATCAACTTTTTGATTCATCACCAAGCAATCGCTGCAACAATTGCTACTCATCTTTTTTTTTGTCTGATATCAGAAGTTAATAGATATGTAATGCTGAGATCCACAATGCTATAAACTCATGCTGCACACCGTACCTGCTAATTTTCACAACATACAGTAATTTGATATAATTATTGCCATTTCTCTCTTAGCTCCCTGTCCTCCCCAGCATGTGAATGTCCAGATGAACTGTTCTGCTGGTGCTATGACTGTCACTTGGGCAGCCAGTCCAGATGCAGAATCCTTCCATGTGGACGCAGTGACCAGCAGTGGCGCTAACTTTACATGTGACACCTCAGGCACGACCTGCTCAATCAGCGGCCTGCCCTGTGGCTTTTCCTACTCTGTCACTGTGAGAGCGGTCAGAGGTGACTGCCAGAGTGGGCCAAGCACAGCTGTACAAGCTTCTTCAGGTAACAGCAATATAAAGTCCCAAAATCTCAAATAGGCTTTCCTGTTAGTTAAATGGTATGTAAATTGACTGATGTGCTATATGCTGCTGGAGACTATTAGGAATAAACAAATAAATGATGGTGGTGCGACTAACTTGCTAAGTATCTCAACTCTAAATGTCCAACAAACTTTCATTACTTAAATGTGTATCAGTCTAGTTATAATCAAGTTATACATCCCATTTCCAAAAAAAGTTGAGTTGCTGTGCAAAATGTACATAAAAAACAGAATACAATGCAGTGCAAATAAACCATATATTAAATGAAAATAGTACAAATAAAACGTATGTTCCATCCATCCATCCATCTTCTAAGCTACTTATCCTTCTGGGTCATGGAGCGTGCTGGAGCCTATCCAGCATTCATCGGGTGGAAGGCAGGAAACACCCTGGACAGGTCGCAGGTCGAAAACATGTTGAGATTTTTTAAACTCAATGCCCATTTTGAATTTGATGCCAACAAAATGTTTCAAAAAGTTGGTACGGGGGCTTGTTTACCACTGTGTTGCATCACCTCTTCTTTTGACAACATCCTCTAAGTGTTTGGGAACTGAGGAGACCAAGTGCTGTAGTTTTGAAAGTGAACTGTTTTCCCATTCTTGCTTGGTGTGGGATTTCAGCTGGTCAAGGGTTTGGGACCTGTATATATCATTCAGCATTATTGTTGCTTTCATAGATGTGCAAGTCACCCATGCTATGTGCACTAATGCACCCCCAGACCATCACGGATGCAGGCTTTTGAACCGTGCGCTCATAACAAGTTAGATGATCCCTGTCCTCCTTAGCCGGAGGACTTGGCGTCCATGATTTCCAAAAAGAATTTTGATTTGTCGGACCACGTCACCTCAATCCATCTTAAATGAGCTTGGGCCCAAAGAAGGCGTTGATGTTTCTGGATCCTGTTTATATATAGTTTCTCCTAGACAGTGGTATACAGAAGTATTATATATCATAGATGATGAAATGCCCAAGTTCTTTGCTTTTATTTTACATTGAGAACATTATTCTTGAATTGTTGTATTATTTGTCCATGCAATCTTTCACAGAGTGGTGAATCCCCTCCCCATCTTTACCTCTGAAAGGCTCAGCCTCTCTGGGATGCTCTTTTAATACCCAATAATGTTACTGAGTTGTTGCCAATTAACCTTAGTAGTTGTGAGATGTTCGGGTGTTTTTTTAGCATGACACAACTTTACCAGTCTTTTGTTGTTCTTGTCTCAACTGTTTTGAAATGTCTTGCTGGCCTCAAATTCAAAATGGACATATCTTCTTTTAAAAAGAGTAAAATTACACAGGTTTAATATGTTGTCTTTGTACTATTTTGAATTACATGTTGGGTTTAAATAATTTGCACATTTTGTACAGTTTTCCCAACTTTTTTGGAGACGAGGTTGTATTCATCTTGCACTATTCATGTTGTGAATATTGTTGTCATGCCTTCAGTCAGGCTTAACTGAACTCGTTTATGTTTTTTCTGTGTGTAGCTCCATGCATACCTCAGGGAGAGACAGGTAGCCTCGACTGTGTGACCAACTCTGTCTGGGTGTCATGGCAACAAACTGCAGGGGCAGAGTCTTATGTGGTGATGGCAGTGGCTGCAAGCGGTGCAAACTCCAGCTGCAGCAGCTCTGCGCTCTTCTGCAATGTTCCTGACCTGTTGTGTGGAGTTCAGTACACCTTCCACATTACTGCTCTTAACTCTCAGTGTACCAGTGCCCACAGCAACACCTTCCAGATTGAGACAGGTATGCACAAACTCTACATAACAATGTCTATAAATTTATCAGCATCATTCATTGTCCTGATTATTTAATGCTGATACATATTGATAATTAAGAGCTGCATATCCCAATGTTTTTAATATGAAAATCATTTTGAAGAAAAATAAAAAAAGAAAGTTGCAGTTGACAGAAAGACAGAATTACTTAAAATATAAGTAAGTAAAATATAAGAAATGTATAAAAATATAAATCAAAAAATGCCTAGAAATAAGTTAAATAATCTTGTAATATTCATACTTTTATTCTTCTAATATTATATTTAGTGATGATATTTAAGATGTTTTCACTTGCTAAAGATATGTTATTTCTCAGTGTTGCTGGCCAACTGACCTAACTGTCCCATTAGTTTGAGCTGTTCTGAGTGAATTGGCGTGCTGATGTCCAGTATCCATCTGTCATTTGTCCTCAGCTCCCTGTGCCCTGATGGCCATCACTGCAGAGACAGAGTGTAGTAGCACCTCTATAAGAGTGAGCTGGCACACAGAAGCAAGCTCCTCATTCTACGTTGCCGCAGCAGAGGGGCAGGACCTGAGCTTCCTGGAGTGCAGAAGCAATAGTACTTCCTGTGAGCTGATGGGGGCGCGCTGTGGCATGCGGTACACCATAGTGGTTTCCTCCTCATCAGACAAGTGCAACAGCCTCCGCAGTCCACCATACTTTATCAGCACAGGTACTGCACACACAGAGTAAACCAAATCAGTTTCAGGCAAAGCATCAGGGGCACATATCTACATGCACACATATGAAAGTAAATCATTAAAACAGGAACTCACAGACACACCTAAGCAAAAAGAAAAATAAACCAACACAGATACTTATTGTTTCTGGCTTTGTCCTTCGGAGATAGGAGCTCAAGTAAGGTCTAGCTCTTTATTGTCATCTGCACTAAGTGCAGTAAAATTCTTATTTGCTTGGTGTTTCCTACAAAAAAAAGAACACACAGTAAAAAAAAATTTGCACAGTAACGATACAACACAACAAGTAAACTAAATTAAGCAGAATTAAACACAAGACAGGATGGTATTACATACACACAGTCATATAAAGAAGTATGTACATGTCATGAAAAGTTTCTCTTTTTTGACATATATGGACATATCAGTATTTGATCTTTAATTTAACAGCATGAAAAGATGTGTAAAAGAACAAAAAATGGACATTTGACTTTGCAATCATTTATTAAAAAATTAACTGAGATATCATTTTATTCTGTTGAAAAAGTATACTTGGCTTCACTACTTCTTCACTACTCCTTCATGCAGAATTGTTTCAACTGTGTAATATTGAGGGGTTTCTTGCATTTATAGCCTGTTTCAAATTTCTCCCACAGCATTACAGTGGGATTCAGCTCATTCAGATCTAGGCTTTGAGGCCTCCAGATCTAGACCATTGCATAAAACCCATTTCTTCATTTTGAGCTATTCCTTGGTGGATTTGCTTGTATGTTTGGGATCATTATCCTGTTGGAAGGTCTACTTCATCAGCTTCATCCTTTTTACAGATGGTCTCACTTTCTCCTTAATCACTCTCTGGAATGAAAGAATTCATAGTCGATTCTATGATTGCAAGTTGGCCAGGCCATGAGACAGTAAAGCAGCCATTTCTACCATCATGTTTTACTGTTGGTATGAAGTTCTTCTGATTCAGCGCTTTTTCACCAAACGTGGCTACTGGTACTTTGGCCAAACAACTCCATCTTTGACTTGTCTGTCCATAGCACATTGTTCCATAAGTCCTGGTCTTTGCCTTGATATTTCTTAACAGACATTAGACTTGCCCCGATTGTCTTTGTAGCAAAGGGCACATGTAGGTCAAATTTGTAGTCTTTTTGTAATGGTACATGCATGCACTTTTACGTCAACAGTGGCAAGAGCTGCCTGCAGATCCTTTGATGAAATCCTAAGGTTCTTAGAGACTTCTTGTGGCATCTTACGGTCTGCTCTCCAGTTAAATTTGCTGGGGCGAATTGGCCTGGACAAGTTGCCAATGGTTTTAAATCCTCTCCACTTGTAGATGATCTTCCAGATAGTGGAATGATTTATTTTGGAAATGTTCTTAAACCCCTTACCAGACTCTTAGGCATCTACAACTTTCTTTCTGAAGGCCTAAGAGAGCTGATCAAGACATGATGATACCACACACTCAAATAACAAAGAGCAAACCAGACCAGATAACTGAGGCTTAAATAAGACAGGTTCCTCAGAGATATTCCCTAACAGTGTTCTAAACATTAGCACCTGATCGGGTGCAGCTAATTTCAGTTTGACTCATTTCACAGCGATACACCATTCAGGCATAACATTATGACCACCTCCTTGTTTCTACGCTCATTGTCCATTTTATCAGCTCCACTTACTATATAGGTGCACTTTGTAGTTCTACAGTTACAGGCTGTAGTCCATCTGTTTCTCTGCATACTTTGTTAGCCCCCTTTTACCCTGTTCTTCAGTGGTCAGGACCCCCATGGACCCTCACAGAGCAGGTACTATTTGGGTGGTAGATCATTCTCAGCACTGCAGTAACACTGACATGGTGGTGGTGTGTTAGTGTGTGTTGCACTGGTACGAGTGGATCAGACACAGCAGTGCTGCTGGAGTTTTTAAACACTGTGTCCACTCACTGTCCACTCTATTAGACACTCCTACCTTGTCAGTCCACCTTGCAGATCTAAAGTTAGAGACGAGCTCATCTGCTGCTGCACAGTTTATCAGTGGTCAGAGGACGCTGCCCACAGGACGTTGGCTGGATATTTTTGGTTGGTGTTCTATTCTCAGTCCAGCAGTGACACTGAGGTGTTTAAAAACTCCAGCAGCAGTGCTGTGTCTGATCCACTCAGACCAGCGCAACACACTCACACACATGTTGGGGTGTACTTATTTCAGTTATATAAAGAATGACAAAATGTTCAATTATATCACCTGTATCCATGTTTAAATGAAGACTTAATATCTGTATCTCTGAATATGTTAAAAAAGTAGGAGCGTACCTACTTCTTTACATGACTATACAAACAGAACATAGTACCCATTAAATTGTTTGACATGGTAAGCTTAGTTCAGGTGAAATAGTATATTGCTGCAGTCCAAAAAAAACCCAAAACATTTTAGTTCCATTTTTGTAGAACACACCAGCTGTGCTTGATATTGTTTAAAAACTTCATGTTGAATGGATACACATGTTCCAAATACACATGCTTCAAAATCACGTGGAATAAGATTTCTTTACATTAACTTACACTGAACGTTGAGACCCTTTTCCCTCCTCCTGTAAAGTTACCATTTTGGAGTTGCATGTATTTTTTGGACAGTGATGGACTTTGTCATTTGTCATTTTAAATGATGAATATGACATTAAATGACAGTAGTTACCCCTGTATTGTAGTCTCACCAGTGCACCAGAATGCTCCAGAATATTTCATTTTTAATTTCTCTTGGGAACTATTCCACTGGACTCCACTACAAAGGATTTGTCACCTTTTTCACTGCTCATGAGATTTCTTGTCTAAAAAACAGAAATTACAGTATTTAAAGTGCATATAAGTACATTCTGCAGTTTGGAATAGCATATCGTCACAGTTGGACCAATAGAAATGGCCCAAAAGTACTTTAAAAACATCTTGTTACATTAACTTCCAGTACAAGTTAAAAATGTTTTGACTTCTTCTATAAAGTTACCAATTTGGAGATACAAGGTTTTGTTCTGTCAGTGACACAAAAAAGTCAAAGCCAACAATTGTGGGCAAAGTGAAAAATTGTGCAGTAAGTAAAATAGAGTCCAGAAAATATAGTATGAAGAAGTTTATATTATAAGGGATTTAGTGAATAATGAGCCAACTCATCAACTCATTCAGCAGTTTCTGAAGTTTTCGTACAGGAGAAAAAAACAACTGTTAATGTAACATCTGTTAGTGCTTAAATACTTAAGTAATTTTGGGATCATTTCTTTTGGTCTATTCATCATGAAATGTTTATGGCAGCTGCCATTTTCAGATAATGTCTGAGAATAAATAACTAATTAGATCACATCACCAGAACTGCATTACATCTCTTACCTCCAAGGACATTAAAGTGACTTTTATTACAACAGACATTCAGTGAAATAAATTTTAAACTTGTACTTACCTTTGTCAGCTTTAACTTTTTACAGATGGTCTCACTTTCTCCTTAAGCACTCTCTAGAATAAGAATTAAATTATTTTCTGGTGCTCTTGACCCCTGCAGCCCCCTGCACTCCTGTGGGAATAACACTGAAGCCGCTGTGTGAATTAGAGGGAGTGCTGGTGTCCTGGGCTCACTCTGCAATGGTCCAGTCCTACTCCCTGACAGCCACGAGCCAAGATGGTGATGTCCACACCTGCAGCGGACCAGCTGAGAACTGCAGCTTGACCCACCTGCACTGCGGCCAGCCTTACACTGTTAGCCTCTCAGCTTCTGCCGGCAACTGCACCAGCCCCAGCAGCCAGCCCCTCACCTACCACACAGGTTAGACACTGTACAGAATAAGATACATTCACTTGCCGCCACACGTGGGAGATCATTCGAGCCATGCACCAAGACTGCATTTTATTGCCTGCACAATACACACCTCCATTCTCATTTCAGCAGCAGACACGTAGTAATGTTGATTAAATTCCTTAATCATTTTTTGCTTTAGTTGCTGCAGTTTTCTCTTCAGTGGTCTCCCTGTGAAACTGCTTAACTGGCTTCAGTTTATTCAAACCTTTATATTCATGATATCATCAATAAGCTGTTTGCTGCTTTCTCCTCAGCTCCGTGTGATCCACAGGGCCTGGCTGTGTCCACGCACTGTGAGACCAGCTCGGCTACACTCTCCTGGTTCACCAGTCAAGGCTCTGTAAATTACTTCGGCTTAGCTCACACTTCACTAGGGGTCGAACTCTCCTGTGAGACCACGGGTACCACCTGTAACATGGAGGGGCTGCAGTGTGGGATGATGTACAACTTCAGTGTGAAGGCTTCGGACGGAACTTGTAACAGTTCCTTGGGCCAGCAGCTACAGATAGGAGCAGGTAACGTACACATATCCTGAAGATATAATAACAAATGTGTTAAAGCCTCAAAAAATTGCTAAAACAGCACCACAGACAGCACCACAGGGTTAACTAACAAACATCATGATTAAAGCATACAGTACCAGTCATGAGCTTGGACACACCTTCTCAAGAAAGGTTTTCCTCATTTTCTACTTCTTTTCTTATTTTAGAATATTCTTTTAGAAAAGACTGTGTTATTAAATAACACCTATGGAATTACGCAGTGATCAAATAAGGGTTAAAAGGGCACAAAATAAAAAGTGTAACCATTGCTACATCTGTTGTAAACATACCTACTCACTTCCAACAGCAGTACAACAGTAGCCTCTAGAGGAAGATTTTCTAGTTTAAAGACTAGGAAAAGCCCTGTCTGATGACATATTTTGAAGGTGTGAGGAATGTTAAAAAAACTACAGTTGCTTTGAGGTAGATACTTAAGGGTGGGCTGTTTGAATTTGAATTGAATTTTCCTGGTAGCAGAAGGCTAATGCAGAAGGATGCCTGATAGCTAACTTTTCTGCTAGGTAGCCAAGTAGCACATGTTTTTTTTATTTATTTACCTTTACATCACTGTCTACAGTCTGGATTTCTTTATCACAGTAGGGGGGGTTTCCCAAGGGTTACACTGACACACTACAGTATATTACATAGCAGAAACACGCCCAACCACCACTCCCATTTCTTTGATGCATCTTGACACTTTTGGTAATCTCCAGCAGCTTCATGAGAAGCCACTTTAGATGCTTTTCCAGCAGGCCTGAAGAACATACATAGAACTGGACTACTTGTTGTGGGGGCTGCATTTAAAAACAAAATCTAAATCTTAACATTTAAACTTTGGAAATAAATTAACTAATAAATAAATAACCAGGTCTGTTTCTAACTTTGAAAGGTTTTACAGCTAAGCATGGCAAATGTAACATTAAATAACAGTCAAGTAGTGTCCATTCAAAACAAAATGGAAGTGATCAGTGATAATAAGGTACTGTATTTGTAATAATGCTGAATCATGCTTAAAATGTGGTATCTCAGGGACCTTGCTCCTTACCCTCTCCCCTTTCCTTCTCTGTGCAGCCCCATGTCCCCCAGCCTCAGTAACTGCCCAGACACGTGCTATGGAAGAAGCCACTCTGGTCCGCGTGTACTGGAGTCAAGTGACTTGTCCAGGAGTTGAGTACCTGGCAGAGCTAAGTGGCAGTATCCATGATGACCCCCTCGCTCTTGTGCAAGTATCGTCCTACTGGACAGATAGGACGTACTTTGAATTTCTGGTACCCTGTGACACGCCCTACTCAGTGACAGTCAAGGCCAGGAACCAAGCAGGGACCAGTGCACCATCTGCCGCTGTTACTGGACCTGCAGGTACTTTCACTTCTGACTTCTTTTCCAAGGCTGCTTAGAAAATGACTTGACCTGTTAAAACACTAAGTAGGAGGCAACCTGGAGTCAGATGCTTTAAACAAGGACACAACAGATAGAAGGGACATTTGAAGAAACAGCCATCTGGTGCTAAGTCGAGCAATCGTCCCAAGGATTTGACCTGAAATCCTTCAGCTTCTGTGCCTTAGATAAGCTAAGTTAGATTCACCATGCATTAGAATATGGCCAGACACAGTCTCTTAAAGTGGTAGTTAAATTTAATTGTACTTTTTTACTTTTTCCCCTTACCCTAAATGTAGTCATTCAGCCAAGACATGTTTGGTGCGCACAGACCACTGGAGCGACAAGTCTTATGTAGCAAGTAATGGTAGCTTATGTCCCACCAGTTAGCATTGTGCGAACTGAACACGTAATTCATAGCACACTTGTGTGTTGAGTTTTAAGAAATCTCTACTGTATCCTATATAAAAATATACAAAAGTAGTATAGCATAAAACAGACGTAGCAGTTTCAAAGTCTGATTTTTGCCCATACTTTTGTTCATTACTGATGACAATTGTGCATACATATGTCATGGTTTTAACAATTGGAGAGTGAAATAGTTAATTTCATTCAGATTTAGGATTTTCCTACGATGTGGAAAAATAACACTTATTCTGTCTTCCTCTCTTTCTCAGTGCCCTGCACAGTGCCACCCATCAACAATGCAGGTCTCCCCTACACCTACACACATAAACGATGATCTGGAATTAATTTAATTAAATGAATCTGTGATCAAATACACTTGTAGATTACATACTGCATGATAATTATGCATATAAACAGGTTTACTGTCATTTGGTCTCTGTTCGTCATGCACTTGTCTAACATGAAGGATGTTTTGCAGACATCGTTGGTCGACGTAGGAGAGATTTGCGAGAAGCTGAAATGTTAGCTGGACTAAAAGAGAAAGGTGAGCATATGCTTCATAAGACATAGATCACACATAAAGACAATGTTTTATATATACGATACTGTGCAGTGCTCAGAAAAATTATATTTAAAAAACTATTTATCTAGACTGTGAGAATTTATTTGCTCATAAAACACTAATATTAGAAAACATGCAAATAATATTAACACAGTGAACAGTGATTTTATGTAGATCAGTGTTTTTGTTTAACCATTTCCAAACATTTCCTCCTGGCAGCCCAGTATTATGTAGATTGTCATCCAGTACCTGGTTTAGCAATGTAATACTTCATTATGTTGCATCAGATGTACTGTTGGTGAAATTTAATAAATTCATGCAATGGCTCAGGGCATTTGGGGAGAGATGTGGAACCAACGTTGTATTTAGTGGGCGCCGCGTGTATCTACAACAGATTCAACATTTGTAAACGCACAACAATGAAACTTTAGTAACACAGTTGTGAGGATGCTTAACCTAGAATTAAGACATTTTGGCCAACAGGTTCACAACCATAAAAGGGTATCACTTGTAAAATTGCCTTGGCTTAGAACATGAAACTTTTCCTTTGCACCACAGAGTTGACGTTTTTTTAAAAGAGAAAAAGGCCAAACTGAACAGGTGAGATGCGGTAGTTTGTTTATTTGGACTTCGTAAATGAATCACTGCATAAAGAACTAAATGAAAAATGCCTAAGTTCCCTCTAGTGGACATTTCTTGAAATAGCTGCTGCAAAACTGTCACTGAGGGCAGATTTACTTTCTGTCACAACACCAAGGGCAAAATGGTATGTTGAAATTGCCATGCAAAAAAAAAAATAATAATAAGTAAATGTAAAATCACAAAAGACATCAAAGAAAGAAGAATATGATGCAGTAATGTAAAATAAAATAACAAATTAAAAATATAAAATAATAAAAAATAAAAATAAAAACTTAAAATAATTGAAATGATGTTAATGATAATAAAAAGTCATTTCTTTTCCCTACTCCTGCCATTCCAGAAAAGCTGCTGGTGCCTGAAGTGAAGATCACCCGGGTGACTGGAGTGACCCTGCATGTGGAGTGGACACCAGTCACAGGAGCGAGCTATTACACTCTGATTGTGAGAGAAGACACACCGTCTCGTCCGCTCAGAGAAGTGTTGACCATCTACGATGAGATGTGTGTAGTCACTGACCTTGAACCTGCCACCCGCTACTGTGTGGTCCTGTCTGCTAAAAACTCCGTTACCCAGAGTGCCTATTCCTCCCATGTGTGTGTCACCACTGAAGCAAGCATGTAAATGATGTCTGAACTGTTTAAGCTAAGTTAGTAGGGAGAGAGAAGAACCGAGAAGAAGAAGATGTTTTGAGAATGTCGCAGAAAAGGGTCAAATGTTTGCTACACTACCAACACAACTTCTCCATTTCTGAGAGCTGTCATTAATTTTCATAATGAATGCAAAAAAATTGTAAATTTGAGACACTAGAAAATAGTTATATTTTGATTTTATGCTTTGTCCGTAAAAAGACGAGTTTGAATCAGCGATTTCGGAAACAGTGCCGCTAGCTCTCAGCTTGTGCAGAAACAGCTGGTTGCATGTTTTAGAGGTCAGAGTTTTGTTGTCTGAAAGTCTTTGGTGTTGCAGCACCGAATGCTTAACCTGTCAAAAGAAGCTATTCGTAGTTGGTGTTCGATCTTCTTTACTGAAATCTAAATTAAGCACCAAAATATAACTGTTGGTGTATTTCGAATGAGAAAATATGTCTAGGTGTCTGATTGAACCTGTTGATTTAAATCCGTAAACTGTTCTGTAGACGTCAGTTGATTTGATTTGATTATCGTTTGCTGTAATGGCTAGCTTAATGAACTTTAATGGTATATTACTAAGATGGGCATAAAGAGTCATTTTCTGTAATGGTAACATTAATTGTTTCAATCATGAATGTATGGAGACTACATAGACTACATATAGCAAATAAAATGCTATTTATCAAGCAATATTTTTTAAACTATATATTATACTGTCTATTTGATGTACTATACGACTTCATTTTGTGAATGAACTCTTTGCAGTAGTCCTTTTTATATATATAAGAAAAGCCCAGAGATGAAGGAATAAAAAAATGTGAATATCTTAAAGTACTTCTCTCTTCATAAGGAACCAGTCAGTTTTGTGTGTCACAATCTTATTCTCTTCTGCCGTAACGCTCTTTCCCATCATCTGTTTTTATCCATCATTTACACTGATGATAAATGATAAAGCTAATATTTTGTGTCAGAATTTTCTCGTCAGTTTACCTGTATATAATTTTATATATAACGAAATCTGGGCTTGATGGTGCTGTCGAAGAGGCCCGTACTGGAGTCTTCAATTTACGTTACAATATATTTATATAGAGCTTTTTTACAACATTATTCCAAATCAAGATCAAGTGTGCCCACTTACGTAAAACAGCTTAAGTTGATTGTTTCTCGTAGGATTACCTGTGGCAAGTATTTATTAAAGGGGATTTTTCAAAATGTCTGCCAAATTCAAGTCATTGAGATGTAAACAAAGTCTTTTAGAGTTGTTTGATTTGAAAATGTGCATTGTAGAGAAGCTCATCAACTGGTGATAGGAACCAGGGGTCATGTGTACAACCAGTCCAAAACAACCAGTGAACCAGTTTTGATATGTTGATAGTAGTAAAATGGCAGTGAATTTGAAAGAATAGGTGTTCTTTGGAGGCTCATTTTCCTTAAAATGCTCTGTATGTATTTCTCCACCCAGAATGTTTATAAACAGACCAAAACTATTACTCAAAACTACTGCAAAATAATGAATCAGGCGCCAGGCGGCACATTCATACCCATTTCATTCAATAACTGTTTGTGATGTAGCTTAAGAGAAATACTTTATACAAGCAGCCACTGGTCTCTAATGAACAACCCAAGAGAGACAGTGTACATGAGGAAGAACATAAAGGAGAACCACTGAGAGGAACCAAGACTCAAAAGGAGAATCTCTAAAACATGAGGAAGAACCACTGAGAGGAACCAAGACTAATCATTAATGTCCATATAAGAAATGGGTCTATATGTTGAGTTTGCTTCAGCACAAATCTGGAGAATCTTTTTCAAACTGATTGAACCAACTGATCGAAAAAAAGTGAGTTTTTATCACTTAATTTATCTTATTAAATTCAGTCTTTTAGTCACATGGTACTACTGTTTTTACTAAAACACTGGAAAATGCTAGTTTTATTGAACAAAAGTATAAAAATTGCATAATTAGAAAATTCAACTGGGTTCTGTTAGATTCTGTTACATCTGCGGTGTAACTACACCAAACAGCATCACAAGTTCCATGGCTTTTTCCTTTGTCATAGTCTGTTTAGTTGTTGGACATAAATGGGTTTAATGAGAAGCACTCAGATCAGAGGAAAGATGTGTGAAACAATCCATAACGCAGTAAACTTGGAGAAAAGGTGCTGTGGGGCCTCTGATTGCAGTGGATAGTGTCAGGATGAATGACAACATGGTGGGTAAAGAGTTCAGTAAGAGTATGAAGACAGATAGATGGACATTTCAAAACATGGAGTAATAATAAACTTTTTATCTCAGATCAGAGATAATCAGGATTCATAGAAATAATGCGTTTAACATATAGAGAGAGAGAGAGAGAGAGAGAGAGAGTGAGAGAGATGCAATTATTCATAACAAGTACAACACATCACTACAACACACACCGTTACGAGTAAATTAACAGCAGCAAAGTAACTAAATAATGCAAAATAAAATACAATAAAATAAATAAATAAACAAGATGAATAAATGAATAATAATAAACGACAGGACATATTTCCTTTAGCTATATTCATGTTCGTTATCTTCTGGAATGATCTCCAAAACTGGTTCTCCTAAAAGAATGTTGACTTAGTAACTTTGAACTTGTATATGAACTAATTTGGTTTTAATAAACGAATGTGGAAATGGATTTTTGGTTAATGATGAAAGCAAAATAATATTACACAGATGTAGACTATTAAAAACCGCTGTTTTTGTTTTTTTAAAAGGAATTTAGTCTTTTTGTACAATCTTTAACATTAATGAATAGTAAAAAAAAATAGCTTTAAGCTTCTTTCATTTTTCAGGAAATTTTGAAACTATGTATTGCCACGAATTATACTTTTACTTATTATTTTATTATTTTATTATACTTCTACTGCTGAATGAATGTGCTTAGTGTTTTAAGTTTATGTAACATCATTGTCGTTCTTGAATGTTCAGTATGAAAAAAAAAATCCTGAATAATCCTAAAGCTACGCCGGGTGTGCGTGATGACGACAGCGGCTTGCGTGATGACGACAGTCTCTGGCGTCCCGGTCGGAGAGAGACAGCGGACACAGACTTAACATTTCTGAAGAAGATTTCAAAGACAAGCAGCGATGGTTTGGAGTGAAAACCCGGTCCGGCCGGTTCTGCTGACTCCTTTTTACTGAACACAGGCGGAAAACGCGAGCTGAGCGGCCGCGGCTGAGCTGACAGGCTTCGGTAAGTGAGCGGGCGGAGTGCCGGAGGGAGTTTGTTTGGTTTCGGACTCCAGCCAGAAAGTTTAGCAGCGCTAGCGAAGCGCAGCGAAGCTAACAGTGTTTACACCCAGAAACATCAGTCCTTCAGCGCCGAAAACACAGAAAACACCACAGGTCTGCGGTTTGAAACCGCCTATTACAACTTTATTCTACGGGACAGGGGCTTGTTTTCGAGTTCATTGTTGTTTCTTGAGATTGTCCGCTCTGTCAGGTCGCTAGCTGTAACGATACAGCACAAACCTTATTTTGATGTGACCGACTCCGTCAAATCAGCCTACTGCTGATCAGACCAGCATGTCTGAGGAAGATTAGTTAAGTTAACGTGTCTTCTGTGTATGTTTTCCGATAGATTCAGTTCACACAGTCCTACAAAACAACCTGTGGGTCAGTAGCTGGCTAGCTACCTTAAACAAGACCCAGTTATTTAGTTGAGCATGCTAAAGGGGAGGTCCACCGGTTTTTCAAAATGTATATGTAATCCAGTCATTGAGACGTAAACAAAGTCAATTAGAGTGGTTTGATGTAAAACAGTTAAGTGTAGAGAAACTTATCAACTCTGATTTCTGTACAGTGTTGATAGGAATCGGGGGTCTCCATGTCTACGACACAAATATAGCGATTTTTTTACTTTTCAAAACCACCAGTGAACCTACGTGTGTCTTCTGACTGTTTATATGTAATGTTGATGACGGAAAAATGGTGATTAAATCTGGAGAAAAAGTTTTCTTTGGGGACTGTTTTGCCTTACAACACCCTGCATGCATCTCTCTACCATAAATAGATTTTTAAAAGTACATTTTAGCCCAAAGTTTCATCTCAAAACTATGATAGAACAGCGGCTTGGGAATCAGGCAGCGCATTCAGAAGCGTTTCATGTAATAACTTTATGTGAGAGAGCTTTTAGAGGCATTAAACTCTTCAGACGTCTGGTTCCTGTCACCACCACGGTGAACAGTTCTGACTTGGTAAGTTTTTTTTGAACAGAGCATTTTGCTCCAAACCTACTCTGAATGGCGTTGTTTACATGTTAACGATTGAAATTTAGAAAATTCGGTGGAATTCCCCTTTAAGCAGCTAGTTAGGTAATAACTTACACATTTGAATTAAAAATACCCAAGAAAAAGGTCTGGAAATTTCTGAATTTGCTCTACGCATCAGCCACGTGGTATGAAATCGGAATGTGCCCAACAGTGAACTGTACATAAATAAATAAGGCCAGTGATGATCACAGTGTTAGACAGACTTCCTGATTTAGTGTCAGTTTTCCAGGCTGGGATGAAGCCTAGTCCTAGACTACACAGCATTCTGCACAGAGATTCTCAGTTGAAAGGAAAATGTAGTCCACAACTGGACTTAATTCCTGACCAGGAAACCATGACCCCTGACCCACGTTTCTTATAGGGAGGTACCGATATGGGAATTGTGAGCCGATATTTTTCATGTACATGTCTGCTGATAAATTTACACTTATAAAATGTAGAACTGGGGACTAAATCTCTCTGGATTAGCATTACAGAGAAACATTATTACTGTACAGTTAGAAATGCAGTAAACTGAAGAAAAAGACAGACGCTTTAGTGCAGTCAGCCAGCATCACCTAACTGCTCTTCTCTTCTGGCGTGCAATAAATACCTCATCACATGCTGGTTTGAAATATTGGTCAAATCTAAACATCTCTCTGATGGCGAATATCTGCCAACACTGATATGATTATGATATCGTCATGCATCCTTAATATTTTGAGCAGCAGTTGCCTACATGTAGTGAAATGTTTTAATAAATAATGAGATCTTTATTACAATCTATGTGTTTACATACACAATAATTAATTTCATGACTTGTATAGAATATCTGAGCTCTTGTAACTTTTTAGTCGTTGCTTTTATCAGCTCTAATATTCTGTCAGTGTGCATGTGGATGTAGATTACTGCTTCTGCTGTTACTGATATATAAAAGAAACAAGATGTGTTGTCTCTAAAGAAACAACGAAGCAACTAAAATATGTTTGGTTATTGCTTCAGTAAAATAACTCCTGAAAGTGATGAGCATCCCGTTTATGGTAGGAAGGTTGGAACACTGACATATTAAATAACTAATTTATTGACCACCTAGATTACAGTTATGGTTACATTTATAATCATAATGAGATTATATAGCAGGCGCAAACAATTTCCATGTGAGTTAATGTAACAAGATTTTAGTCATTTTGGACCATTTCTATCGGATCATTTAAATTTTGACACTGTAAATGGCAGCTGGTGTCTTAATTCTGTAAACAAAAAAGGGACAAAATTGGCAGGTTTGACGATGTTATTTGTGACAGTAGCACAAAAGTCAGTCATTTTTTCAATGTTATTGTTTTGCAGACGTTGTGACCCAAAAGCTTGTGCTTCAGCTATCTTCCCTGGCTCCGCCGTTTTGAAAATGGAGGAGCCTCATGTTCACTGCGTTTCGTGCGTGAGCCGGCGATGCATGGTCAAGCCCGAGCCTGGCATTTCTTGTGACCTCCTTGGTTGCCCACTGGTCTGTGGCGCCGTTTTCCACGGCTGTAAGGCTGTTGAGCACCAGCTGCTGTGTCCATTAGAGAGGGTTCCGTGCCTCAACCACAGCATTGGCTGCCCTTTCACGTTGGCTCGGGGCAAGATGGCTGAGCACCTTGAGGTATGTCCTGCTGGAGTGGTTTGTTGCACAATGGAGTGGAATAGGTGGCCGGTGAATGATGAGGATTACCGCTCCTATGAAAGATTGAGTCGAGATGCGGATGAGGAAGAGCAGCTAGACATGGCTCTGGCTTTGCAGGACCAGCGCACTATGTTGGCCTCACTTAAACTCGTCTCTCTAGCACCTACTAATGGCCCTGGGAAAAAGGCACAGCCTGTGGAGAACTTTGAAAAGCCTAGTTTACAGACAGACGGTCCAGTTCCCACTCCACCAACTGAGCGGCCTGTGGATGAGGCGTCTGCAGCATGCTGCTCAAAAGACAAAATCAGCAATGGAATTAATGGATTGAATGAGGAACGTTATGGTGAGCTTTACCAAACCACAGTAGAGACAACCAAAAGCCTAGCTGCAGCCCTCAATGTCCTAATCCACCTCAATGCCTCAGACACACAGTGTTCCACCACAAGTGTGTCAGCAGCGCAGTCAGAATTAAATGGAGAGTTACATAAAGCACTTGTTACGAAAGAAGATTCCGGGTCCAACTGTGATAAAATAGCAAATGGGGTTAGCGGTTTGAATGAGGAGTTGCAGCCTCAGCGACATCAAACCTTAATGGAACTGGGCAGAAGCTTGGCCTCTGCCCTTGGCGCGCTAGGGGACACCGTCAAAGGCACTGAACCAATCAGCAGCTCCAAAGTCAACAAGACGAACAGTGAGATCAACCAGCCAGAAACTGCAGAGTCAGCAGACATCGAAATGGAGGATGCTACGTCTGAAGCGGAGGCCATGTTTGGGGCAGTTGGTGGAATTGATGATGGAGGCATTAGTGAAGAGTTTTCTCAAGAGTCTTCAGGGCATTTGCTCAGGCTGGATGATGCAGATGAGCGGAGCTTGTGTAACAACTGTCACAGTGCTGTAGCAGCTACAGCGGAATCACAGGAGAATACCTTGGAAGCGGCTGAGGTGGACCATAAGTGCCCGGAGGCCAGTGGTTCGTTGGAGTTTGTTGGTCCATTAATTCCCCACAGAGCACAGGTAAGATATGATCTAGCCCCTGTTGCTGTGCAGGAAGCATCAGGATCCCAGGCTCCATTACTGCAGCCACCTGTCCATGCCCAGGCACTGGTTATTCCCAGGGACTTTGCACTGCCTTCCATGGCATTAGACTTTGAAGACAGGGCTTTTGAGAGGAAACTCCAAAACCTTCAGTTGCTGCGTAACTTTATGCCGCTCGCACTTAACGGACGGAGGAGTTGTCCTGTGGACAGCTTCCCACACAGACCTCCTCGCTGCAAAATGGAAGACAAAGCTGTAGATACATCCGACCTGGAGCAGGAGCCTCGGGATGACCCCATGGGGCTTGGAGAGATTGATTTCACGGCCGCTGCCCTGCTCTTCTGCCTGGAGGAGTCCCCCCGGGCCCGGAGGATATCAGACACTGTCTATGCTTTTGGCGGTTCACGGGTCGATTTCGGTACCCAGACATTCAGCTTCCCTGCTGCGATCTTGGCCACCAGCACAATGGTCGGAGAGGTGGCATCAGCCTCTGCGTGTGACCGAGCTGCACCCCGCCTCTCACAGCCCAGCCCCTTCTGCACTCTGCGGCTGGACCTGACGCTGGAGCAGCTGGTGCCCCGACCCAGCTGGGCCCCGCGTGAAGGTTCCATGTTCACCTTTGAGTGCGGCCAACTCTTCCGCCGGGAAGAGTTCCTCTCACACTTCCGCAACGTCCATGGAGACATCCACTCGGGCCTGAATGGCTGGATGGAGCACCGCTGTCCGCTGGCCTACTATGGCTGCACCTACTCGCAGCGCAGGTTCTGCCCTACCACTCATGGGTCAAAGGTCGTTCACGACCGCCACCTCAGGTCATTTGGGGTGCAGCCCGTGACGGATGTGGTGGTGGAGCCTGGGTGCGACCGACTGAGTGGACTGCCCTTTGAGATTCTCCAGCATGTAGCACGGTTCCTGGATGGCTTCAGCCTCTGCCAGCTGTCCATGGTGTCCCGCACCATGAGGGACGTGTGTGCCAGTCTCTTGCAGACACGGGGCATGGTGGTGGTACAGTGGGAGAAGAGGCAATACCCAGACGGAAGGAGAACCTGGCAGATAAAAGACAAGGTAGACCATATTTTCTAAACATAAAAGGCATTTTACGTTAACATAAACATACTGGGTATGTTTAAACTAATAGTTTCTCAAAAATCATAATCATTTTTGAATGAGAAGCCATTTAAAACAGGGCTTATTTACATATAACTGTCTTAAAGGCACAGTATCAAAAACAGCCTGTTGAATTCTGTGGACCAAGGAGATTAAAAAAAAAAATGTAACGTGAAAATTAATTATGTTTTTGGTGTGCAAAACCACACAAACGTGGACATCAAGGGGGAAAAAGTAAAATGCGACAACAAACATAGGATATGCGTTAACAGTATGATATTTATTAAATTAGAAGATAGAATTTAATAATAAACAATCAAAGCACTGCTACTACAGGTGATGTTTATTCCCAACAGGTGTGGCGGTTCAGTACGGCCTTCAGTCCGGTGACTAGGTGGGAATTTGCGGACATTTCCAGCATGGCGGACCACCTGAAGCACTGCCCGTATAACGAGGTCCACCGGCAGGTGGAGGCGGTGCCACTGCCCTGCATGTGCACGACCAGGGAGCTCACCCGGGATGGACGGTCTCTACGCTCCGTCCTCAAACCAGTATTATAACAAACGAAACACTTAACACCAGAACGCAAGAGCTAAAACACTACCTTACCTAACCTCTTTAATCAGTACTATCTATCACTGTGTACATAAGACGAAATATTTTTTGCTTTGATGTTAAGATTATTTTTTATATATATATTCAGTACATAAATTGAAGGTTGATTCCAGGTTGTGTGTTTAAAGTTTTAAGGTCGGACACATTTTTCTCGCAGAAGTGTACGTTCACATCCAGAGCTGTTCTGCAAGAGGGCTGACACTGAAGTGAGGAAAATGTTGGACAAAAACGACTTAACTGAGTGGAATTAAATGAAGAGCCTTAATCGGTGCACTTGATTTATTTAACTCGCCACACTAGGGTAATCCCAGTAATCTTTCACACTTAGGTCTTCCAGTGCTCCAATCAAGTGCACGTCTACATTATATTACATCTGCATGCTTCGGTTTATGGGACAGTACCCTAACAGGATAAGTCGTCTTTTCTGGAACGAGTGCTAACCTGGCTAACGCTGACTGAAACATCATGAAGATGCTTCGGTATAGGGTTAACTTGCCCCTACCAGCTTTCATTCATTATTAGCAGCGCTAGCAAATCTGGAGGTGTTCCCGTGAGGATCTCAGAATAGTGTTGATCCTCAATAAATGTTCCTTTTCAGTCTGTGAGTTTGAGGTTATGGAGAAGGCAGGAAGCTGATCCCAAATCAAAACACATATCTATTCATTACAGATAAAGGTCATGAGTAAAGGTGCTGTTCCAGGATCAGGCTTTGGCGGTCATATCAATGAATATGACTGTGGATAAGCTGAAGCTGATCCTAAATGAGTACTTTTGGATAAAATATCATAAACATAAACATAAAGTGTTTTCTGATCATCGGAAAACACCAAAACGCGAACCGGTTTTACAGTATGAGCTCATATCTAAGTGTGTTGGCCATATATATATATTTTTGTTTTGTTGTTGTTTTTTTTTGGTGTAGCAAAAGTTACACCCAGCACTTTACCGAACTCTGCCACTGGCAAAGACTCTCCGTCTTCAGGCAATAGAACATTGGGTTGCACTTTTAAACAGGCACTTCACAAGCACTTAGTAACACATTTGTAAAGACATATGTAGCACTTTCCGAAACATTTAACGTTTACATTCAAAAAGGCTTGCAAGCACAGGTTTTAGCTCCGTGTGCATGTCATGAAAGAAAATGTTTGCGTTTGTTATTGTCTGAAAGCTTTACATATGTGCAGCAGATGTGTTATGAAGTAAAAATCTGGGCCCCAGTGCAGTGATTTTCTGTCCCAGTCCTGAGAACCTGACTGCATTTTTTTTTTTTCTCTTCCTACCCTTACAATTCTGGTTTAAGGGAATACTCCAGTGTTTTTCAGGCTAATCTTCAGCAGCTGTATCCTTGTGTGGTTAATTACCACAGATGATCATTTACACATGTTTCCCTCTACTTCAGAAAAGAACAGAAAACCTGTTGAGGTATAATAGAAGCCAGGCACTGAAGCAACTTCTCATTTGGGTTTTCTGTTTCTTTCTAAGTACAAGGAAAATTATCATCAGTTTTGATTGAATGTTCGTCAGGCCTGGCATTAGGGGATCACTTAGTGGGGCAGTGCCCCACCACCAAATCATCAGGCCCTGCCGAGCTCACTGTTTTGTACAGGTAACACTAAACTTTGGACACCCAGTTTTTAAGGCCACACTGATTAACAGAGGGTTTGAACGCATCACTTAGTATTTTAGGGATGAGCTGCATGTTGTAGGTGTATCTGGTGACTTGTAAATGCAGCTCTTCTGTGGATTCTGTCCTGAATGTGTGGCTCTTGGGACAGACCTGCCATGTATTTCTGCCTTTCTGCTGCATGGATGCACTGCTACCCCACCCCGGCCCCCTTCAATTCAGGTTAAAAAACAACGGAGTATTCCTTTAACTCATGTAATGACCAAGTTGTCAACCCTTCATGAGCTGAATCAGGTTTGATAGAGCAAGGAAAACACAATGTGCAGTGCATGGTATGGGATGTGGATTGCAAACCACTGAGCTAGCCTGCTACCCAAAGCCATGTTTTTATTTGTGTCTGTATAATCCCAATGAAGGCCTTACCAAGTGTTTTGTGTACGCAACTGTCACATGCTGCTGCTGCTGCTGAAGACGAAGGAAGACGCCTTTTGCCTGATCAAGTGTGCTGGCTGAATGGATTAAGCAGAATGATATCCAGGAGACAAAAGCCAGGACATGATGTAGGCTGGAGATGCATGTGGTTTTTGGTTGTGTTAAATAAAAAGATATTTTATGATCTTTGACAAGACTCTGTGATTGTAGTCTTTTTTTCATTTGGTTACTTTGTGCCTGGTCGTATTAAGTTTGACTCATCATAAATGACAACTGTAATCTATCAAAACATGATGGCATGTTGCCTCTAAAACGCCAGTGCGCCAGTGGGTGGGGAAAACAATTTTAACCAATAATATTGAGTTTCACCTCCCACTTCAATGACCCCCACCTTTTATCGAGAGAAAAATGCTCAGCTAGGTCAGAGACCATCCCTGATAATGTGTTTCACAGAAATACATCATGATATGGAAGAAAAATGAGCTATGATTTCCGATTCTCAATGACTTTAAGGCTAAACGAGTGCTGACTGCACAGAAACTGTACTTTTAGTTCATTTACACTGTCCGAGTTATTAGAAAACTCAGTGACCCCAGAGGACTGGCATTTTACACTGTCTTGTAACCAGCTTCTATAACATGAACACCAACACAATTGCATGAAGCTACTGAAGTGTGATCAATTTGATTTACCCTTTACTTAAAAAGGTCACCTGCTTGGTTGAATAAGTCTAGAAGTGTTTTCTGAAACTTATTTTGTTGGTGGAAATAAACAAGTTGCACAGCACCAAAAGCTAACCCTTCACATCCATCAGCAGCTTCTTCTCAAGCTTAGTCCAAGCTGTCCCCTTATATTCCAGGAGGAGTTTGTGTCAGTTTATTTCTTTCTAGCTTAACAATGTATTATGTTAGGGTACAATTTACACCAGTTATAAAAACAGTAGTTTTTCAGGCCTTTGAATGGTACGGTCTGTTTTCTGATGTAGTTATGTTATAACCCCTCCTTCTTCCAATCTAGCACCCTGTAATTTCACATCCTCATGTGACCAAATGTTCGCAGTCCCCACTGCCACCCCATCTCCTCCTAGTTCCTCAGTCCTACATCAGTACAGCTATGAGGGGGATCTGGCCTTCTAGCTACAGACAGAAGCTGCCCAGTTTTTAGAGGTCTTCCCCCTCCCTCGATCAGTTTTCTCTTATACTACCACCACATGTTGAAGGCATCGTCTGAACTCAAAATAATTTTGGCTGAAAGTGTCCTTGTGGTCCCTCCCTCACTTTGGAGCCCTTGGTCCATAGAGACAGGCTTTATGAGTGAATGGAGCACCACTGATGTTATTTGGCCATTCTGAACATGCAATCATGGTGATGTCACATGTTAAGAAACAAGAATGGGTACAGAAGTCTAAAACATCCTACATTAACCTAAGTAAGTAAACAAATAATGACCCAGAAGGAAATTAGTTACCAAAAAACTGGAGAAGGGCTGATTGTGGCCAAATTTGGTCCATAAGGATGTTGGCCAGGAAATCAAATATCCTCAAGGTCAGAAAACCTAACCCCACCACTCACCCATGACAAAACAAATTACATTTATGTTTTGTACTATATCGCTGTTGTCGGAACGAAACCTCGTATCTCCAAAATGATAACTTTACAGGAGAAGGAAAAAACATACTCTACTTTTAATGTAAGTCAGTGGAACCAGACTTTTTTCAAAGTCATTTTGGGTAATTTCTTTTGGTCCATTCATCATGAAATTTACAAACAACGTGAAGAACAACAGGCATTTTCAAAATATGTCAAGAACTGGAAAACGACAAAAATGGAGATACAAGGTTTTGTCCCGACGGCAGCGATGTGTAACTTATTTAATTTTTATTTTTTCTTTCACGTTTCTATTTTTAAAAGCAATTTTATAACAAAACATATATATAAAAAAATCTTTTAACAACATGATTTAAACCTTTATTTATCTGGATACTATTTTGTCTTTTTGTCCCTCGGACCACCACCAAGACTGCACTTAACTGGCCCCCCAGTCCGGAGTAACTAGAGTGAGGGTAAAAAGTATCAGGTTAAAAACACCTGAAAGTAGAGCGAATGCTAATCATCACAAGTTGAACTTTCGTTCTCGACACAGCGTGATTCTGTATAGAAACGAATACTTTAACAGGCCTTATGGAGAGTAACCTTCATCTTGTTGTAAGCTCTTCTTCCTCTAGTTGTCGCTGAGTAGTCTGCTGTTTGTCTCTCTTCGTCTTGGTTGTACGCAAAGCATCATGGGAATTGTAGTTTCAGCTCACGACTACTCAGAACTAACCGCGTTCAAATGTCTCAGTTTGGAAACTACAACTTGAGCAAAACAGTAGCGAACCGAACTCAGGGAACAAGTCGAAATGCTAGCTGCTAGTAATTAAACCCAAATGGGTCTGTGTCGGTATGTAAGCACCCACACTCAACAAAAAATACTTACAGCGCCTATGAGGGTGAGGTTTTCATGAAAAATGACCTGAGCTGCCCGCTCACTCCCAGCTGAACGCTGCCAAAGAGTACACAAGCCTTATTTTTAGCTCTGAGCTCCACTCATCTCTTCTAATGTCAGGGGTCTGTCAGACCGACTGAACACGACCAGTGTTTTCTTACAGTCGCAGTTAAAGACATATATTGTATTTCTTATTCAAGATGCTGATTTTCAGGTTCGGGGTGATCTTAACCCCGGATCGCCCGGACATCGAGGTGTTTGTGCTGGGCTCCCGCCCGGAGCTCGGTCAGTGGAGCCCGGATAAGGCCGTCCGGATGAGCGCCGCACGGCCGCTGCTGTCCACCCGCGAGCCCTTCCTGTGGACTGGGCAGGTGCATCTAGCCGAGCCGTACACGGATAAGCACTGGTTCAAGTTCATTAAGCGGGTGGACGGGAACTTTATCTGGGAAGGTATTTAACATTACTTAGAAATAATAATCCAGTTCAAAGCAGCAGCCTGAACACCATTTTAATATCTATCATGTCTGAGTTTTCCTGTGCTGTTTGGAAAATAAAGGCGTTTTCTCTCAAACTCCCAACATTAGGTTTAAAACCTGATGGCTTTGCTTTCTAATGGGAATTGGCTTAATGGTTGCCATTAGAGACCACTAGTATCATGTAGGACACCTTTACATTCCACCTTTAAAAATCATCAAATCCATCTGGAATCAGTCTATTACACCATTAGATTCCTTGACCCCTGTGATATCAACTTATCTGGACAACACAAAATACCTTTAGTGACTATTGGACAGCATCAGGAACCAACAGAAACTTTTAATGGTTTATATGATTTTTTTTTCACCTGGGTGGTGACTTTTTATGTGTGAATACCAATTAAATGAGAAATGCATTCTAATATTAAAACATAATTATTGATTAAAAAATATGTATACACCAACCAGCTGCTTCATTAACACCACCTCTCTGTATCTACACTTTTTGTCCATTTTATCAGCTCCACTTACCATATAGTTTCACTTTGTAGCTCTACAATTACAGACTATAGTCCATCTGTTTCTCTGTGTACGTTGTTACCCCCTTTCACCCTGTTCTTCAATGGTCAGAACCCCACAGAACAGGTATTATTTGGGTGGTGGATCATTCTCAGCGCTGATGTGGTGGTGGAATAAGTGTGTGTTGCGCTGGTGTGAGTGGATCACACACGGAAGTGCTGCTGGAAAACATAGTAAAAGGGGGCTAACAAAGTATACAAAGAAACAGATGGACTACAGTCTGTAAATGTAGAACTACAAAGCACAAAAAATGGAATTAAAATGGTATGCAAGTGGACGTGGACCCCCTGAAGTTGTGTCTTGCGTGCAATTTTAACAACAGAGGACTATCTGTTTTCTATAGAGTTTACAAAGTCAGGAAAGAGTCATATTATGAATATTGCTAGATTCTGCGCGTTGAACAGACATCATAAGACTGACAACCTCAACAAAATACCCCACACAAACCAGCAAACTTCATCAAATGTGGTAGCTAAGCTGCTTTGGCATCCTACAGTAGCTGGTGTTGTTATATAATAAAGTTTAAAGGTGCACTTACTTTCATGCAGCATCATTAGAAAGTACAGGAGCGGTAGCTTGTCTGTAGCAGGAGTGTAGCATCGCTCGTTTTTCGACTGCTAAACAACCTCGTAATTCTGGGATTTCAAAGCAGGAAATTTCCACAGATTTATTCATTTTTCCCATAGAAAAATCTGTGTCAAGACAGAGTTCCCAATATGGGCATGATGCCCTCTAAACAGTTTAGAGGTCTGTTAAATATAAAAGATATTGTTCTGTTGATAAAGTGAACCTTATGACTAGCTACATAGAAGTCATTTACAAACATACACCATGTATCAGACATCAAATGTAAAAAATCACTTTTTATGATGTGCATTTTTGATTAACGTTTTGAGTGTTGTGTTGTGCTAACATGATCTTACTGATAACTACTCTTACACCATTTTTCCTTCAAAGATGAGCTCAGATTGCATGGTCATTCACTGCTGTCCATTTAAAGTGTGAGGATTTTTCCCTGCTAAGTGCCCTCAGTAGACTTCATTTATGCTGTATGGACAGCACTGTCACACTCAGACTGTCATCTATGCTAGGCTAGTCTCCTCAATTAGTCTGCCCTCTCTGAGGTTTCCCAGTAGGCCTTGTCAAACAAAGAGCCCAGCCAAGTGTACATTTCACTCGATCAACAAGACTTAAACCAAAAGTGTCTGTGATTGATAGAGGCAGGTTAGCTAAATTACTGAACTTTATCAGCTTCAATATGCTAACGCTTATTTTACTGGGACTGAGTTCACACTCCTCTTTTGGCAAACTGGCCGAAATGTTGGCCAAAGTGTGGTCAATTAGATTTCCATTAAGTTAATTCAGGACTCTAATCACCCAGAGTGTTCACCCAGCCTTGATCAGCCACAAATCAAATGCATTATGTAGCCTAGGCTAAATGTTTAAAGAAATAGCCAGACTGTCCATTAAGTCTGTTGGATTTGTATATTCATTACAGCATATTAGATTAATGAAGGCCACGTTTTACCGGCAAGAACCTCTTCACACCGCTGTATCTGTTGCTGGGACTGGGTTTACACAACAATATTTAAAAAAATTAAAGTATAATTAAACGGCAGAACTTTCTACAATAATGCAGTTGTATTCAGAGAATGGATGTAATGTAATGGACTATGTTTACCCCTAGATGGCAGTGGTGGCACAGAAAATATGGACACCCCATCTCAAGGCCCTTGTAGATTCTTTTATGCTAAAGTTAGAATCTTCTTTGTGTTAGAGTCATTTTCTTGATTCACACCCAAGTGCATGAGCCGTTAAGTTTTGTGGAGCCTGAGAGTAAGAAAAGCTCCTCAAGTGAAAAGCATTCCTAGTCTCTTCTCTCTTGGACCTTTGTGCTTCTTAATTGGCCTCGGTTCCTCTGTGTGCGTTCCCATGTGTTCCGTTCTGCCATTTTGTTGGGGTTCATTCATGTTTCACTCCGAATGCGTCTGCTTAACTAGCTGATGAGAGCCAGAACATATTTTCTGTTGTTTCTCTTTTGCTGGAATCCATTCACTTCCTTTCTTTCTCGGTTTGTTGGCAAGCTATAATTTCCGACTTGTCAACAAGCAGCGCAACTTCCTTAGAACATGTGACACATTTATTAAAACAATGTATGGTGATTGCGCCGTGTGGATCTAGGCCCACTTTCACTGAGTGCCAAGTCTCAGTTCCACCTGGCAGTGTAGCCTTCCAAAAACACAGCCCTGTCTCAGGCTTCAGATAGACAGATAGATAGATGGTGTTATTGTCCTCGAAAGGAAATTCTTCGCATGGGGGGTTATAAGTAAAAGCATACTGATGCTGTATATCAAATACAATAACAAAAGGAAACAAATCTCAGTGACAAATTGTTGCTGTCATAACAACACCATTATAGTCACCACTGTCACGTGATTGTCATCACCAATACATCATAGTTATAACAGATACATCACAGACACATCAGTCATCACCACAAACACAAGTCGTCACTAACATATAGTCATCACTGACATCATCTCATCATATGACACATCATAGTTGTCACCAACACACTATAGTCATCATCAACATATCAGTCGTTACTGAGACATCAGTCATCACCGACACAACATAGTAATCACTGACATTTCATAGTCATGCTTGAAACATCAGTCATCATTCACATATCATGCTTATCACTCAGTCATTACAGACACATCAGTCATCACCAACATAGAGAAATCACAGAACATCATAGTCATCACCCACATATCATAGTAATCAGACACATCATAGTCATCACCCACATATCATAGTAATCACAGACACATTATAGCCATCACACAGATTATAGACGTCACCAACATTGCCGTCATCACAGACACACCATCGTCATCAACGCAACATAGTTATCACAGACACATCATAGTCATCACCAACATGATCGCATATCATAGTCATCACCCACATATCATATAATCACAGGCACATCATAGTCATCACCCACGTATCATAGTAACGCAGACACATCATAGTCATCACCCACGTATCATAGTAACACAGACACATGATAGTCATCACCCACGTATCATAGTAACGCAGACACATCATAGTCATCACCCACGTATCATAGTAACACAGACACATGATAGTCATCACCCACGTATCATAGTAACGCAGACACATCATAGTCATCACCCACGTATCATAGTAACACAGACACATCATAGTCATCACCCACGTATCATAGTAACACAGACACATGATAGTCATCACCCACGTATCATAGTAACACAGACACATCATAGTCATCACCCACATATATAATCACAGACACATCATAGTCATCACCCACGTATCATAGTAACACAGACACATCATAGTCATCACCCACGTATCATAGTAATACAGACACATCATAGTCATCACCTACGTATCATAGTAACACAGACACATCATAGTCATTACCCACGTATCATAGTAACACAGACACATCATAGTCATCACCCACGTATCACAGTAACACAGACACATCATAGTCATCACCCACATATCATATAATCACAGGCACATCATAGTCATCACCCACGTATCATAGTAACACACATTATGTTCATCTCAGACACATTATAGACGTCACTAACATTGCATAGTCATCACAAACACACCGTCATCATCAGCGCAACATAGACACCACTAACACATCATAATCATCATCAACACAACATAGACATCACTAACACATCATAATCATCACCAACACGTCATAGTCATCACGGACACATCACTGTCATCATAGACAGACTGACAGTGTCACTGATGCCTATTTCGTGTTGGTGATGACTACAGTGTGTTGATGATGATTATAATGTGTTGGTGATGACTATGCTGCATTGTTGATGACTGTGATGGTGATAAAGGTGTGAAACTTTCGAGTTGAAGTTAGTGAGGGCATGCTAGAAAACTTGTTGGACCAAATTCCAGCTGACTACTGCTAAATCACACAGCATTATAAAGAGTTTTTTGACATTGACAAATATACTTTACACCCGACACTCATCTGGATACTAACGATAAACTACAAAATGACGACATGCTCAGAGATATATGAATACACACGGTGCATCTCTTGCTTGCGCAATAGTGCATATGCTATCAAAGCATTAATATTTAATAAGAATAAAATTGATACATAGATTCCATGTCTTGCTCTGTCTCATGAGTTGTCCCGCAGGCTCATGGCTGACAGGTCAGAGACGATGATAGATGAACAAATCTGCTGCATTTTTCTGTTTTCCAGAATGAATCAGGGTCTGTCTGAAAATATGCGCCTGTGGATCTGGGCTTGGTTTGCATCAGTAAAGACCTAAACACAACACAAAACACAAATCATTGTACAGAACATAATTTTAAAATGACTGTAATCATTAAAGACCTTGTTAGGGCAACTGAATCCTGATTGTGTGATGGTTATTATAGCTGTACAGGTTCTCTCTCAATTGAATTCAGTTCATGGAGAATAAGTTTGACCTGCTCGGACTTTTCATGACCCGCCAGCTCCAATTAAGCAGAATTACATGGCTATTATCGAAAGCTTGAGGTAGACGTGAATAAAATGCAAAGGCTCTGCTCTGTGCTTTAACGGCTCTGGTTCAGTGAAGGCACTGATGTTAGGCCTCTGCCCCGATACAACCTCATTTACCTGACCTTCTGCTTAACAAAATAATGATTTTTTTTACAGTTTGCTCGGTTCAATGTGGCTGTTTTTAAAGGCAGGAAACAGCATAAAGAGAGAGATTGCATTTTTTATAAGTTTGTGTTAATGACAGGTTAAAGTTTGCTCAATATCAAATGTACACAGTTGCAGTCAATCACCCAAGACCTGGTGTCTGAAGTTTGCTTCCCTAGTTTTGCACTGGAACTACAGGGCTAATGGAGCTAACAAGTAATGGAAGCTTATAGCCACTGATTATCTCTGTGCCTGCAAAGACATGCTTGTTGTTAAATATTGATCAGATAGACTTGCTTATATGGTTTCTGATACTGTATGACATACTATTATCTAGAACAGTGGTTCTCAAACTGGTCCTTGGACTTTCAACCTCAAATGTTCCGCTCACATAAAAATGGACCTTCTGAGATCTTTCGCACACAAAATTGGCCACGACTATTTGTTTTTCCAGCTATATTCTAGTCAACAGTAGTGAACAGCTGCCTGCTCTACCTAATAAGCGACACAAGCAGCTGCTTAGGGCCCCACTGCTGCCAGAGTGCCCCTAACAACTTCTGGGTTATTACTGTACCACTGTGTTCCCTAAGATTGTCTAACTGGTTAATCATGTTCCAAAAAAAGAATGTATGAATCGGTGTTTTGTGGTTATGCCATTCGTGTTGGCATACTTGTTTTGCAACAGCAGTTAAAAACTTTCACTGTTAATCCAGATCTAGATACTCAGGCTGTGATTAATGCTCATGAGCGTGAACATAAAAACATGACGTTTATGATGAACAGCCAATCACGTGAAACATGAAGAGGAGTCGCCAAATCAGGAAGAAGAAATCATACTCCCTAAAGTAGTAGAAAGTAAAGCATTTATTTAGGTTAAAAAAACAACACTGTCGCCACTGCCACCAGGGTTACATCCAACTAAGCTAAGTTAGCTGGGAAAACATGAAGTTCTTCGTCATGACACAGACCACTGAATCCAGAATGCTGAGAAGTCTATGTGTAATTTAAACTGTAACTTTTCATAACCCCAAATGAGCATTCAGTCATCAGCAAAACACAATTAGCCAGTTACAGATTTAGATAATTTAGTCATTGTCATTATTTAGTCTCTAGTTTTACAATATATCAGCTAGCTAGATACAAAAAAATCCTGCTTAGGGCCCTTAAAGGCGAGAGTCAGCCCTGCCTGCCCTGGACATCATCACAAAAAAATCAGAGCAATATATATCTGTGGGTTTTTTACCATTGCCTCCCCTTACACACTGTGCTAAAATGGCGGGTTCTGATTGGTCGCTGCCTAAAAAGATAGGTGGTTCTTGGCCATGTTTTTGCAATGAAAAGCGACAAACATTCTGAAAAAAAGACAGAAATCTGGCTTGCAAAACTATCATGGTCTCTCAGACGGTCCACATTTTTGCTTGATCCTAATTCGCAACACACAGGGATAGAATAAGAAATGTGGACCATCTGGGGGCCCTGAGGACCAGTTGGAGAATCACTGATCTAGAAAATGGACAAAAGTAAGTCATGTAACCTGAATTTTGACATTTTTTTGAGTAGCATTGTCATACAGTATCTGTGTTTCTTGGTTAATGCTTTATTGGAACTCTGCTACGTGACACCGACATAACCTTGCCGTAAACATGTGATGGCAGATGTCATATGCTGTCATAATTTGTCATAACAAATTATGTCCAGTAATGTAACAGTGCCATGCTACTATTACCAGTAATTGTCATTACAGCTTATATCACATGCTAATTATCGCTGTGTACTTCTGTTAGCTGTCATTACATGAAACACCTGTCCTGACTGTCCTGGGATAACATAGCAACAGCCTAGCAACATCTTAGCAACCACTATATATTATACCATAGAGGCAGCCAAGCAACACCATAGCAAACACCATGGATTCCATAGCAGTGGCCTAGGAACATCTTAGCATCCACCTGGGTTTTCATAGCAGCTGCTTTTCAAGCCAACTTAAGTTTCATTCACAGACTTTCCTCTTCTAGTTTTAAGTGTTCTTTTGAATCTATTCCTAATAAAACCATTTAAGTCATTGAAGTCAACTCTGTCTCCAGGTAACGGTCCTCATCATGACCGTGAGTGTGTGTATGACAAAAGCAACATGGTGGATGGCGTGTACTGTCACCCGATCGGTCACTGGATCGAGAAGAGTGGCCACACAGACGAGATGAAACACACGACCGACTTCTACTTCAGCGTCGCTGGAGAGCAGGCCATGCACTTCTCAAAGTATGTACAGTAATGATCACAAGTGGGGAGTCACTGTTTTAACGCTATAGAACCAATTTGGCTGCAGATACATGTGCAAAATTATTTGAATATGATTCTATACTGTACATCTTCACAGTTTAGTATGTGTCCATAATGATGGACAGAGGTGTAAATCATTCTAAAATGACCGAGAAATCTACAGAGCGTTAACGTATAATAAAATAAACAACCAGAATGCTTCATATTTCAAAAATAGTTAATAAAAAAATGTTGTAGCAGATAACGTAATACAAAAATTGCTATAAATAGAAAATTAGTGAGCTGTTACTGCTGGATATGAAATAACATACATTAGAAGAGAGAAACTTTCCTTTATTTGTTCACTTTTTCTGCTTCGTTTCTCTCTTTTGCTCTTTATCTCGCTCTCATGTTCTCCTTCAGCTCTTTTTGTGGTTAAGCAGCTTTTCTTCTCTGTTCTCTCTCTCTCTCTGTCACAAGCGCATGTAGGTCGTAGTAAAGGTCAGAGCTGTGCGTGATGGTCTCTAATAGACTCTAACAGGGTCACAGCGGAGGACAGGACATCACACACCTGCAGTCTGTGTGCATGTGAGTGTGAATTAGTCCATTGTTGAGCGCAGTTACAAACACTATTATGAATATTAACAAACGCCTTTGAGTTGAAAAGCCCTGGGCGAGACTGTGTGTATGATGGAGGGGTGGATGAAAAGCAGTAGATTAAAAGTGGAAAAGCAAAGGACAAAGCATCAAACAGTTGGAACTAGAGAAAAAATGAAACTCTTTTTTTTAAAAAAAGACATTTTTTGACTGATCAAGCAGATTTTCAAGCTGCTGGCCACTTTATTTTACTGCTGTCCTCTTTGCAGTCCCCAGGTGTGTATGTGTGTTTGTGTAGGTCTGTCACGATCATTGTCAATTTTAGCTGATAATTAATCACCCTACAAATAATTGTGATTAAAATTTTATTGTCCTTTTTTGTTCATTGTATGCAGCTTTTAAAGTATAAACCTAAAGTGGCCAAATTGGCTGATTAGCTATTTTACTTCTTAGATGTCAATATTTAGTAGTTCCTAACTAATGACAGACACAGCTCAAGCTCAAATAAACAAACATTACTCACCGCTGCCCTCTGAAGGTGTTATTAACATTAAATAAACAAACATTATTCACTGCCGCCTCCTAAAGGTGTTATTAACGTCAAATAAACAAACGGTACTCACCGCCACCCTCTAAAGGCGTTATTAACATCACATAAACAAACAGTACTCACTGCCGCCCTCTAAAGGCGTTATTAACGTCACATAAACAAACATTACTCACCGCCGCCCTCTGAAGGTGTTATTAACATCAAATAAACAAACGGTACTCACTGCCGCCCTCTGAAGGTGTTATTAACATCAAATAAACAAACGGTACTCACCGCCGCCCTCTGAAGGTGTTATTAACATCAAATAAACAAACATTACTCATTGCTGCCCTCTAAAGGTGTCATTAATAAACATCAAATAAACAAACATTACTCATTGCTGCCCTCTAAAGGTGTTATTAACGTCAAATAAACAAACTTCACTCACTGTCGCCCTCTGAAGGTGTTATTAACAAACATCAAATAAACAAACATCATATTATTATTAAAATTAAAGAATTCAGTGAACAATAAATTATTCAAAGATAAATAATATACTGTAGTTATCAGTTTACATTAATTTTTTGTCAAGTTGTCTGCTTTAAGAATTGACCTCTAGTTTTGGTTCCAGTATCACCCTGGAACCATCTAACATAACATGTATTTACAGGTCCCTAGTGTATTAGGAATTAATTGATGATTAATTGATGATTAACCTGTGGTGTTTTTCTATTAGAATCATTTTATACATTTGGCTGCAACTAAATTGGTTTTATGTCATTGAAAACATTGATTATAAACGTTTAGCAGCTGTGAATGTGTGTGTGTGTGTGTGTGTGTGTGACAAGTGGGGTCATAGTCAGTTTCACCTCTAAGCTCAAATACTGAATGACTGTGCATTAATACTGGTGTTGAGCTTTCAGTGCCACCTGTAGTAGTTTCCCTGTCTCTCTCTGTCAGTGTCTCTCACCCTACTTCTCTTTAACAATGCTTCATGAAGTTCTTCAGCAGGTTCAAAGTCACCGCTGCCCTCAGCTTTTCACTCAGCCTGTTTCATTTAAGCTCTCTGGGATTTCTTCTGGGAAAAAACAGCAAGAAGCAGCTAAAAGGATTACTTCAGAAGCATCGGGCGGCTGCACAGATAACCTTGTTAGTATTGTCTCTAGGAAGTCAGATTGCGACAATTATACGTCAGAAGATTTTTCTCCAATTCGCTGGAATGGCCTCAGGGTGGCTGCAGAGTTTTGTGGGGAACATCACTGCCGACATCATTAGATGACACTAATCCTGATATCCTGAGGCTCAGTTACTTCATCGCACTGCTGTGGGGTTGAATTGAATGTATTAGAAGGTTGTTCTATGAAAAGTGGACAGTTTTCAAAAATGTTTGAGATCCTACAGGTCAGTCAAAAGGCCTATTAAGGACCTGTAATAGATGCAAAATATCTGGAAGAAAAAAACATACTAAACTATGGTGTCTGTACACTGCTGCAAGTCACTCTGTAAAACCTGATGTTGCATGCAATTACTCATTTCCACCAGAGAGGTCTCCAAATCTCCAAAACCTACATAGTGAAGCTTTAACAGACCAAATAAAAATAAAACACAAAATATAAGATGTGGCATAACTTTAGCACAGGTCCCATTTTATATTTTTTCAGTATTTCAAATTCAGTAAATAAAGAGTAAGTGTGCTTTAAAATTTGCAGAAGTATGTTCCCTATAGATCAGGCATGTCAAACTGGCACCGAAGTGCTGTGGAGATTTGCGTTTACCCTCTTTTAATGCTCTGAATTCAGGTCATGAAGGCTGTGCGAATTAGCTGATGAGCTGAATCAGGTGTGTTTAATGAGGCAGTGTGTTGAAGTCTGCAGTGTTTTGGCCCACGAGGACTGGAGTCTGACACATGTGCTACAGAGGATGTGTTAACCTTTTTTTAACTTATTAAAATCAACAATAGCAAGCTTTTGCATACGATTGCATATTGATTAGATTTAAGATGATTTTACTTACAAGATATATTTTTTGCAGCAGGCTAGTGTTAATGTAAATGACTAAATTGCCAAACCCATGATAGAAATAGAAGCTAGCTACATAACTAGCTACAGTCATTTGCTATAAGAACAAAACTGGCAAAGCAAAGCAATGGGCAAAACTGTCATTATCCAATTTATATTCTTCTTTTTCGCTTGATCACTGACTTGTCCTGCAGTTTTCGAGATATCAACGCTCTTCTAACACTAGATTGTTCAGCATTGTCAGGAATGGTGTGCTTGTATACAGCTTTTTGATTGGATGCACGAATGTCATATAATGATTGTAAAAAAATGAATGGTGGAAAAAAGTTCGTGCAACTAACTAATTCATTATTATACAAGTCTAATGGCAAAACCCTGTTAACCATGTGAGCAACACCTTGAGATACCATAGCAACAACCTAGCACCCACAGGGAACACGTTAGCAACAATCTGGCAACCCCCAAGAAACCTCGAAACAACCACCTAGCAACCGGAAATGCACTTTTGTAGTTTATTTTATTCCCTAATTGTTGCGAGTTGACTGAGCTTTTGTCTTACATATCTTGCAGTATTGCACATCTTTTTGCTCGGCAGCTCATAAATATGCTACTTATGGAAACTGAGGGTCAGATTGGATCGATTCAGTCCACTCATAAGGGGAATCAAACCTGAGCAGAAGGTACTGTTTCTTTAAGGCTCTTCTGTGCCTCAGGAATATACTGTGTGATCTGGAAGCACAATCTGATTATTATCTTAGGATTTCGACTGATAAGAGTACAAAGCAATGTGGTTCAGTCTCTGACCCCGCAAATGGTATTACTCTCTGCTTCTGTGTATAACCATGAAGTTATATCTGAATCACCCTGTTATCTTCTTTACCTGCCACTTCAGTACAAGATTAGACCTCTTTGCAGATGTTCAATATTTACTTGAAACTAAGTACATTTGCAGCATACTAAGCAAGCTAATTCCAGGTTGTTTAGCTGTTCTTCTGTCACAGCTGCCGACTGAAAAGCTGCTCAGTGGTGATGACAGTGTGGGAATTTAGTGTAGTCTCATCTTCAGAGTCTGACCAAATCGGCTGTCGGTCAAATGTGATCTTAAAAGATCCATTTTCTGTTTGTGGCAAAGTAAGAAGTAAAACCGTTCAAATCACTTGAGCGTCTCCTACATCTGTCAAACTCGTTGCTTAGCAACGGAGTCATACAGTGTTTGTGAAAAACCCGTGATGTTATGGTGAAATAACAACACAGTAAGAACGCTACTCAACCAATCAGCTTGCGTGGCCAGAACTAACTGTTGTATAAGATTAAATACACAACTTTTCAGAAAAAAAATTGTTATTATTAGTAAAAATCGACATAAACAAGTGTTCTGCCCAGAAATGTAGTTCCTTTAGCGTACCATTAATTCAAGCCTGTGATATTAATGATGGAGTTGTTAAAGCTGTTGTCTATCTTTTAGCCTGTTGGGTAGCTGACCGGCCTAGTTGTAGTTAAGAACATAAGTTGCCAGCCCCTCGGTTTAAACAAAAAACAGGAATTGCAAATATTGAAGCATATTTGATACAATATTCAGGGCTTTGTGCTTTCATTTTTATAATTATTTTGCAGAACTGTTTTATAAAAGCTATAGAACACTCCAGGTGGTGTATTATCATGAATATCATCACCATGATGATGACAGTAGACATGCCTGCAACTGAGTCACAGCTGTGATGTTATTTGTGATAATACACTCCCTATAATGCACTGTTGCTTCAATAGAAGTCATTTAATGTATCAATTTTCAGTTTTTTTACAGGCAAAACATAGTAAGTGTTAGCTGCAGCATATAGCAAGTGGTTACTTAGCAA